TATATCCAATAACACATCGAATATTTTAGTCCGATAACCTATTGGATAATATAATACGCTAATTGAAATGCGCTAATTGTCCTTCCCGGACGGACGAGGGGATACAGCGTCCTCCTGTAGAAAGGCGTGAAACAGCGCAGCCTCGAGTGGGTCGGAAGAGGCAGAGACAGGGTTGGCCGGTGAGAGTCAATTGGCGAGGGCGGACAGTTCGCCCGTGGAACGGCATAAGATCGATGGAGCCGATGACGATCGGGTCAGACGCTTTTTTTCCCGGATGATGTCATTGCGGTAGAGATTTGAAAATTACCGAAACTCTGACAGTTGCAAGGTACCTGATCAACTTGCAGGTTGCCATGTAATTATTACAGTTAACTCGTATACCATACGGAGGACACAATACGGATAACATCAGCCGGTACTTCTGGAGTGCTACATCGATGACTATGTAGGGCTATGTGCTGTACTTCCTTCATAGCCCAGTAGAGCTGTCTGTCTGGCATTGATGCATGCAGCCAACAGTAAAAAGGTATGCCCGACCACTGCACCCAGCATAGACGACCCATTGATTATTGCAGTATTAATTCGCAATCGCGAGTCCCAGCTTCAGCGTAATGTACCATCACCATATATAATTACCGCAATCATACGGAGTTACAGTAAGACGGAGAGCGATTGCCCCTCCACCCCACCTCTTCAGTGTCAACAGCGTCATCGCCTATCCGGGCAGCCACCACCCCACCTGCGACTACTTCTTAGCCCCTACTTCCTGTCCAACCCTTCTTCTTCTCTCATTACATACTACCCAATTGAACCACCATCATGTCCAACGGAAAGACTTTCACATTGAGCAACGGGGTCAAGATCCCCGCCGTCGGTTTCGGTACTTTCGCCAGCGAGGGCTCCAAGGGCGAAACCTATGCTGCCGTCACCACTGCCCTGCGCACTGGTTACCGTCACCTCGACTGTGCCTGGTTCTACCTCAATGAGGATGAGGTTGGTGAGGGTATCCGCGACTTCCTCAAGGAGAACCCCTCCGTCAAGCGATCAGACATCTTCGTAACCACCAAGGTCTGGAACCACCTTCACCGCTACGACGACGTCCTTTGGTCCGTCGAGAACTCCCTCAAGCGCCTCCAGCTCGACTATGTCGACCTGTTCCTGGTGCACTGGCCCATTGCCTCTGAGAAGGAGGATCAGGAAACTCCCAAGATTGGTCCCGATGGAAAGGTGAGAGCACGCGCGAGTCCCTCGCACTTTTTTTTGGCCGACCAGTGCCGAGCGCGATAAGAAGGCAGTGAAGCAAACCCTAGAAAGAGCCATCTGGCTAACTAAATAAAACACAGTACGTGATCCTGAAGGATCTGACCGAGAACCACGAGGAGACATGGCGCGCCATGGAGAAGCTGTACGCCGACGGCAAGGCCAGGGCCATCGGTGTCTCCAACTGGACCATCCCCCAGCTGGAGCAGATGGCCAAGTTTGCCAAGGTGCAGCCGCACGTCAACCAGATCGAGATCCACCCCTTCCTGCCCAACAGCGAGCTGGTGGAGTACTGTTTCTCCCACAACATCATGCCCGAGGCCTACTCGCCCCTGGGCTCGCAGAACCAAGTCCCCACCACCGGCGAGCGCGTCGCCGACAACAAGACTCTGAACGAGATCGCTGAGAAGGGCGGTAACACCCTGGCTCAAGTGCTGATTGCCTGGGGTATCCGCCGCGGTTACGTCGTGCTCCCCAAGAGTTCCAACCCCAAGCGTATCGAGTCCAACTTTAAGAGCATTGAGTTGAGCGAGGCCGACTTTGAGGCGGTAAACAAGGTTGCTGAGGGCCGTCACTTCCGTTTCGTCAACATGAAGGATACCTTTGGTTATGATGTCTGGCCCGAGGAGACTGCCAAGAACATCTCTGCTTAATTTTCAAAAAAAAAAAATAAGCTGTTTGGCGGAGTAGGAAGCGATATACCCGAGATGGGGATGGTCAAAACAACACGTAATGAATCTCAGATACGAAATATAGATGAATTGGATATAGTATGCTGTACGGAAACCAAATATTTTCTACTTTCAAAGTCCGTTCCATCCTTATTATGGCATGCCTCAATTCGAAGATTCCCATGCAACACCTATACTCGCCCTTACCCGCCAAGCTCCACGCCCACACCAGAATAGAATCGATCCCAAAAACGAGCCATCAACTACACCGCGACCTCTATAAGAACCCCTCATCTAAACAGCCTTTCCCATAATAAGCCCATGGTCTCAAATTTGCAAAATTCAGCTTTACCTAGCCAAACCAAGTCATCCACATGCAACGTTTCAAATCAGGAAATGACCTCAAACTATTAAAAATCCAAATGCAACAATATTCCCGCGTTGAGGCAGGCCCCCGCCAATGAGGGACACGGGGCATTCCTCCTCCCGACGCACAGCCTCTCGACAGAACGACACCGTGCTCCGTACTCCGTACATACTCCGTGTTTCTTATCATGTTAGCATATTAACAACCGCCACGCCACGGCTTACGGGCTACGGCTCTCGGCGAATATCTAAGTTCTGAGCTTTGACAGGGATCGGGATCGGGACAGGGGGAGGCGGGAAGGGAGGGAAAAGCTTGTAAAATCTCTTCACGGTTATTGCATCTTTGCTATTCTTTTCGTGGGCGTTTAGAGATGTGTGTTTGTGTAGGGCTGTATACTATATCGTTGTAGGTGTATTGCAAGATACCTAAAAAGGAAAGTATGTACCTCATTTACTTACATATTCCATATCTATTGTCTACTGCACATCAGTTCTATGTCCAATATAAACGCATCCTTTCTAGGCTAGGCATTCGAGCTAGCGAACGCCAGCCCACGTATTTGATTGTCAGGTACAAACTAACTAACTACTTGCAGTGCTTCCAACCAAGATCACGTATGTCTTTCATACTGATGCCAATTGACATCCCATCCCATACAGAAATCTCTCCCAAGACCATAGCTACATCCATACATACATACAACTTCACTTCCATCCTCCATCCTCCAAATATCTCTCGCACAGGCCCAGAAGCACTCTGCTCCGACATCTGCAACGACGATGTCCTCCCGCGTGTGGCTCGGAGCCCCTGCGCCACTACCAGTCCGACCCCACCCAGCCTTAGCGTCGGGGCGGAGACTACGGACTCGAGTGCAGTTCTGTATGTACATTTGCAAAGAATATTTTTCAAACAACTAGTATTCTAAATACTCCCTCCGTATGTAATGATAATCTCTAGTCAACATCGCTTCATTCTAACTGGTCCTCCCGGGCAAAGCCGGAATGACCCGGCGCGGCCGGTGGGCAGATCCGGGAAACATTTCAGTACACAACACCGAGACGCCCAATGAGGAATGGGTTGGGACTGTGCGGACCGAAGGTTCGAGGGTATTGGTTGGATACATGTAAGAGATGGGATTGGAGGAGATAAGATGAGACGAGACCTGAGGGCCAAATTACATGCTAAAGTATTGTACGGGTGTCAGCTTGAGTTACGAAAATTATGGCATATATTGAAAATTGACATGTGGGTGATTTGGGGTGTGGATGGTGGCTGTTTCAGCCGCGGTATTACCCATCTTCGACATTGTATGCTTTGGGTTTTTACTGGTCAAGGGATAATGGCATAATTTCACCTACCAGACCTACGATATTCACTTTGCAATTGTTTGGCTGTTCTCAGTCGTTGTATGTCCTCGCTCAAATAGACAGATAATAGTGCCTGGTTACACAGAACAAGGCTGTCTCATGCCTTGCAACCGAAGATACAATCGAATACATTAACATTGACTGACCAGTCACCCAGCCCGTCTCTACTTACAGTATATGTATCCATGTACCCCCCCTCATCCCGTCGTCTCGGTCCCGAAAAAACCCAAGAACCCACTCCGAGAACCCACTTGGTTACCCATTTCCAGTAGCGTGCAGCCACCCCGGGCGGTTAGTAAAGCCATTCCCCACGCTTCGCTCTGCGTAGCCCGTGGTGGCGGAGATTACTCACTCTATCTCGTTCAGTGTGGTAATTGTTGTTGGCTTACAGGATGGGCAACGGGATCTTTGTGCCCCTGTCAGGTCGGAGGACAGGGATAGCCGAGTCGGGATAATTGTGTAGGTTTCGGGTTAGGAGCTTTGGAGTTCGGGTATGGAAACCGGTGGCTGAGCCGAATGGCAGGGGTTCAAAAGTGGCGGCAGGGATGTCCAGCAGAGTACAGGTATCGAAAGACTAGCTTGTAGATATAGGTACCAGGTATACATCTGTATTGTATAGTTAGTTGATTAAGAATATGCGTAAGCACCTACAGTAGGTAGATTAGGAACAACCTGATACACTTAAATTTCGACTTCCATCACCAATGAGCAGTAGTCTCAAGCTGACAGTCATACATCACTTGTGGACGACACCACTAGCGAGGTCTCGTACAACTCACCCCGGATAACCTACTCTAGTTAGATCAAATACCCTCGAGCCCTTGACAAAACTCGGGATCACCCCACGGGGACTAGGTTGATTTTCTTGCCCAGCATACAGCAACAGATGCAGCCTTGATCGTCGCATCCCACGAGCGAGGCCACCACGAATTGATGATCAGATATGCGATACCCAGGCCCGGGGTGCATGAGCAGCGGCACAGACGTCATCCCGCAGCGTGGCTGGCGACGGGTCTGCACGTTGCAGACACCCGCTGAAGATCAAAACACCGTGGAAAATAGGATTTTGTAAGTAACGAACAGTAAAAGTTGCATTGAGAAAGAAAAAAAAAAAGGGGGCCAATCAATAAGACTGATGCAAGAGACACACGAAATACACAAAAACAGCGCAAGTGGTATCTTGAAAAACACGCAAATGTAGAAAACTCCTGTGGACGATGCTCTGTGGAGCCAAAACAAGCAAAAGAGCCCACAGTAAAAACCTCGAGTACATGCATGATGTCCACGAGTCGACACCGTGTCGTATACCAATCTTCCAGACAGGACTCGATACAATCATGACCGAGCCCGCACCCGCCGAGGCATCGGCGTGCACCCTGCATTAGCCTCCACCATACTCTTCCGCTTGGTACCCTCCGAGCCAGCCGTACTTCTTGTTGGAATACCACTGACAAAATGCTGCTCACCACCATGGCTGCTAGCCTTGGACGCCTGCACCGAGAGCAGCGAGGAGCTCGGAGACTTGGGAACCAGCTTGCGGCGCAGCTTAGTTGGCGTCGACGGCCCTCCAGCAGCGGTGGCAGGAGCTAGAGAAGTCGCCGAAGTGGTGGGCGGCTTACTGACACGCCCGCTGCCCGCCTTTACAGGCGTCCCCAAGGTCATCGCGGAGTCACCTAGCCGCCGTACGCGTCGTGATTTAGGAGTCGTGGACACGGGCGCCGCTGTGCTTGCTGGCACAGTTGAGGCACTCTCAGCCTCTGCCTTCTGCGACACCTGGCTGCGGGAGCTGCGACTGCCAGTAGATGCTTTCTTCTCCGAGCGTTTGGTCCCGGTGCGCGCACGGGAAGAGTCTTCCTCAACGTCATCCTTGCTCTTCTCACACCTCTCAATGTTGGCGTCTGTGTCGGCGTCCGAGGTCGGGATATCGCCTTCATATTCGACCATCCGTGCCTCATTCCAGGTTACGTTCTTCCGCGACTTAGACGTGATTTTGCGACTCCCGGAGATATTACGGTCTGGCCGGCTCTGGCTCTGAATATCGCTATCTGTCGCAGATGAGTCTTCCTGAGCCATGGCCTGGAGGGCGTATTTAGGCATCATAGAGCTACCCCTATTATTCCTAGTGTTGCGTCGTGTGACTAGGGCCAGCTCCTGGGCCTCAGTTCGCTGCATGAAAACAAACTCCGTACCCTTGGCCCGGCGCAGAGAAATGGTGTTGCGCACGGGGGGCGCGTTGACTGGTGGCGCTTTGACGCGGGAGCTCCGCCGGCATGCAGGGCTTGCAGGTGCAGTTTCTTCTTGTTCTTCTGGGATGTCCTCGGTGATAACATTCTCGCGTAATTCATCGCCGGGAATGAACTCCTGCTTGGAAGGTGTGATTTGGACTTTGACTGGAGAGGGTGAATTGGCATCCCGATCCTCGAGGGCCCTCCGTGACCGCGGTGTAGCACACACTGATTCTGGTGAATCCTCCGAGCTTGACGACTTATCCGCAGAGCCTAACTCTTGGGAACCAACGAGGGCAGCCTTCGCCGCACGTTTAGCCATAGCCTTGGATAAGAAGTCATTCAGCAGCATCGCGTCATCTCCGTCTAGCGAGCTGCGGAGTGCTGATCGCACAAGAGTTCCCTCTTGAGCTTGGGTCAGGTTCCGGACAATCTTCGTAGGAGTGGCTGCCACGTCGCTATTTCCTTCGTGGGATGTACTGTCAATCGTTGCGCGCTGTTCTCGATCAACTGAACCCGACTCGATTTGTGCAATGGACTTTAGATCAGAGCTTGTAAGGTCCGAGCCTGCAGTAGGGATAGTATCCTGGAAGACTGTTGTCTTTGGCGGGCTCCGGAGCGATTTGAATAGGATGGGTGACGCGGTAGCCATAGCGAGATCACCATCGGCGTCCAAATCGTAATGATCGTCCGGTCTTTTATTAGCGGTGTGATCGGATGTCGTGTTTGAGTTTGCGTCGTAGACGTCGAAGGGAGCATCCGGCAATTTCCCTAAAATCCGTCATTAGCGAGTTTCCAACAGCATAATACTAGAATATGTAACCCTTACGTCGCTTGCGAGAGGCTTCTGAATCCCACTTTGTCTCCAGGAATGGACGCGCAGCTTGCGGTAGTTCTATGTTGGCTTGATTGGTAGAGCCGGTAGATCCCTCAGGACCAACACAAAGACGCTTCACACCACGCACATAAGTTGAATCCTTGGATGCGTTGATAGCGGTGTGCAACGCGTCATGGTCAATGGCGGTCGAGGACTCGAGAGTCTGCATGTTGGAGAAAGACGATTGGAAGCGTTTCCACAGTTTTCGCTTGAGGCCTGCCTTGAAGGGGGTCGCCGGTTTGCGCTCCCACAGACGGGGCAACGCGCGAAGGGCCTTGATGGGTGTAAATCTGAACGAATTATCGTCGGCGGGAGGTCCGAAGTTATCGCTATAACCAATTGCGCCGGTGCGCGTTACGTTAGTAAGTTCAAGGCAAGATGCGTAGACATAGATTCGTAAATGCGCAAGTTTTCGCGGGGATGAGGGGGGCGTTCGGGGAATCAACAACAAAGCAGGATAGCCCCTGGCCCAGGCGCGTAACCCAACAATTCAGGAGCGTAAATCGGTTGAATTGAAGGGGACAGAGAGTCATCAATTTGACGAGGGAGAGAGATGACCCACCATGATTGCGCCTGCGAAAGGGCAGGATCGTTGCCCATTGTTGGCGTTGTCGCGTGTGGAATGTGTCAAAAGTCCGCTGGTATTCCGCCTCGGGTGGTGCAAGCCTTCACGTAGCGTAAGAGGCAGATGGCGAGACAGCTAATTAGAAAAAATATCCAAGGCTGCGTTTCTGTACAATGCTGTTGCTACTGTATATGTCGTCGTAAGAAATTTGTCGAAGATGATGTTCTAGTGAAGCCGTTAGGTTTGGTTAGATTTGCTTGGGCTAGCGGTTTGGACGGGACCCGCGCGTTGCCCTGCCAACCGCCTCATGGCAGTCTACTAAAATCTTCGATAACGGTGGGGGAGAACATGGTTCTCGAGGAAATTACTCATTCAGTTTGGACAGAGTATTGGGAAGATCGGAAAGTGATGCCAACTAAAGGAGTTCCGGTCTTAGGCCTGAATATACCTAGAATGGTCAAACCCACGCATCTGCTGGGGCATTTGATCCCATGCCCAGCCCTCATCTCGAGGACAAACAACTCGAGTTCTCGAGATGCAATGACACGAATTCGAGAAAATTACAGATTAATACACTCTTTCTGTCTCCTAGATTTCAACTAAGTATCTGTCATTGTACCCTTGCCAGCACTTAATGAGTTCGAAGGGCTCATCTTATCTTCCATTGTATCGTGTGTGTAAACTTAGGAAACCCGCAAATATATATAGTGTCATCAGAAACGTGGAAAGTTAGGAGAACCTGAATTCTATCGAGAAGCCCTGCTAGATCTACAGTCTAATTGATTCCTTGATCCGTAGAACTATACCTACTGAGGTTGTATCATCCCCTGCTCCCTGTCTGATATGGGACTTGGCTGGTAGTCATCTACATTGAACCAATTCACAATTCGCGGACAAAATACTGATTAAAGGTAGATGTCCAACTGCAATACTCATTGGTTTATGTCTTATTTAGCTCAATAAGGATTTCGTTTTCCTTAAGCCTCAGGGCAGTCAAGGTTGCAAACTCATTCCTCGCGATGAGAGCGGAAGTGGTGTACGCCGCGATTTAAGATACGTATCCGCAGTCTAGAAAGGTCAGAATTTGAGCCCTCTATTAATCATGAAGGGCATACGATCTTACCAATAACGATTTGCTGACCCGTCATTGAGGTATTTTTGGAAAGAGATATGTACATGTCGGCACAGTCGTCGAGGAAGACCTAGACGTATTGTTCAGTGGGTGTGTTATTACGAGACACCAGAAGGTGATGCTCACCTCATGCTTGAGGGCTGACTTATCTTTCCAAGCATCAATAAACTCTGAACTATATTGCATGCCCTGAGCAATGTATCAGCAGCAACTTCTTCATATGTTTTGGAGGCGAGCGACTCACCCATTCGGTCAATAGCAAGCCTGGGAGGACAGCGTTTATGCGGACCTTCGGACCCTGGGATGCCTTCAAGCATTGCAAGAGGTGTAACCCTGCAACGTGTTATGAATACTTATTTTCTTCAAAGGGTTGTGTACGACGCACCAGCAGATTTAGTCACAGAGTAAGCCATACTGCTACCACCAGGCATTATGCCCTTTTATCATCATTAGCGGAAGGACTCAAATCACCAAAGTTGAGCAAGTCATACAGCAATGGAAGACGTAGCAATGAAAACGCCACCCTCGGGATTTGCGTTGAAGGTTGGAGCGGCTGCCTTGAACAAGGTGAGGTTGCTTTTGACGTTGGTTGTCCAACACTGGAATGATGAGCTTAGTGTCGTTGCGCTTGCAGGGACAGTTAATGCAGTCTTACTTTGTCCCACTCCTCGTCATTCAACGCATCCAGATCACTGAACTTGGTAAACTTTGTCCAGCCCTTTGACAGTCAGATCTGATCTAAAATTCCGATCAAAGCTACTCACTGCATTCGAGATGATGATGTCCAACCCGTTCAATTTCTCGATCGTAGACTGAACCAGTCGCACACAATCTTGCGCCACACCGGCATCCTGTTTGATGACACATATCAGAGGAAGATCGTTGACACTCGGGTATTGAATTGTCCTTGATAATGCCTGACGCAATACGTACTGCCTGGATAGTGACTGCTTTAATGCTGTGCTTCTTCGCCAGGTCTGCAGCGAGCCCATCAGCTTGCTCTTGACTGAAGAGATAGTTGATCGCTAGGTTGCAGCCTTCGGCGGCGAATTTCTCAGCCACCACTGCTCCAAGTCCCCTGCCGGCGCGTCGAATCAGTAAGAATCTCTGATTGAAAGGAGCACACAGCATCAGAGAATATACCTGGCGCCACCGACAATGAGAACATTTCGTCCACGGAGATTATATGGCATCTTTATAATCGCTCAAAACAGAAAAGACGAGATCAGTGATTTATGAAAGGAGGAAAGTGCCTGGGTTTTGTCACACGTTAAAAGTCCCTCTCCCTCGGCGTAACATAAGCGGCCCTGAGGGCTACCCCGCAGCTGCGGCACTGCCGATGCACCGATGGCTTGACAGCGACCCGATGGGTTTGTCGGCCGAACCGATGATAAGGATGCTGTTTGTTACTCTTTTCTATGACACTGTAATTGGCGCATGAATTGTCCTGTCACCTCGAACAGATAACAGCTGCCTTCTTGTCGTTGACATACATGCTCAATTATGATCTCCATTTGTTCCTACTGGAATGAATCAGAGTGGCTATTAATTGCAAACTCATTTGTCATAACGAGTACGTCCGGTTGAGAATATGTTCAGTGCCATGCGAACTGAAAGTATTCCCAATTTGCCAATGCAGTAATATGATCCCCCAGAAGATCATCTAGCACCGGAACAGAAGGATTGAATTGAAAAACTTGGCTGCCATCCGGAATCGGGGTCTCGAATAGGTCCGATGCACCGCGATCTGGATTTGACGTCGCGCCTTCATCACTGGGTGTATTAAGATGATCCCTGGAAGGAAGTAGAATGGGATTTGAAACGACACGGCTGCAGGCTGTGTTAGTACTGTACAATACGAACTTAGAGGCCCCTTACTTCGATTGGTCAATAGTCCTGGGACGAGAGATTGGTGGCTCGGTCGAATGAATTTGTAGCAGACTGCTATCTTGATCCTCTCTTGCGCCACGAGTTTCGCGAAGATAATTCATAATGCCATCGGTTAGTCTCCGAGAGCCTTCTTTTGAAATGGGCTGATCAATAGTTTTTGACCTCTCAAGTAAAGCACGATACAAAGACAGCTGGTTGATCTGGCAAGATGTTAGAGAGAATGAGGAGATCAAGGGGCACCACACATACCCAGTATGCTGGAAGATCCCAAAAAGGCTTCAAGTTCTCCATTGCTTTTATCCCGTTTTCCAGACTTGATCCGATGTCATTTCGAGAAATAAATTGGTCAACACCAGTCTCGTCAAGGGACATGAGGAACAAATTAACACTTGTCGATGTCATCAGACACAAACCCATGAAGGGATAGACACCGGGAAATGGCGAGAGCTTTGCCATCATCCAGCCGTATAACTCAATAATCAACTGTGAGCTCTTCAGCAGCTTTACAACGGAATCTTCTCGCCATCCTGGCGGAGGGCTTTCCCAGTCATCTGGTGTCGATGCTGGGTCAAACGGACCCTCACAGGGTGTGTAGCCTTTTCGAGGAACGAATGGATAGTATTCTCGGTGGAGACTGGCTTTTGCCAGAAAGAAGAATAGATAAGTCAGCCCCCAGAGCTTTGACTGGCTGATGCTTATCATTGAAAGCGCAGTGAATGCATCGAGAGAATATCGAAGGTGGACAGGAATTTGCTCTTCCCATTCGCTTAATCTCTCGTCCAGGTTTGTAAAAGGCATTCCCGTTTTCCACGGCTCTCGCTTGTCAGTGTGCCGACCACCCCTGCCATGCCAGGCCGTGATATCGCCAAGTATGAAGAGGATACGAATCAATAACACATAGAGATTGTGCTTCCCCTTCTGCCACACAGCTGGGTCACTCAATTGAAGAGACTGATTGAACCTTCGAAAGACGAGATCTTCCTCGGAAACTGGAAGATCACAGCAGATATCTTGCTCCTGTATTCCACTTGGTCGATCTCGGCCATTGGAAAGAAGTCTATCGAGGAAAAAGCAACTCCAAAAAGTGCGACGCTTGAGCTCTCCAGCTAGTAGATCCTCGTCACCACTCTGCTCGGGCTTTCCCCAGTCAAAGGGACTAGAAGGTTTGTCCATGACTGGTAGACGAAGAATCTGGGCCATGCGTATTGCATTCCCAAGGTGAATCCATGCTCTGGATTCAAGGCCACAGCCTACCTCATAAACACAAAGTATGAGATATGTTTGAATACCGTGCAAGGATAGATCATCACAGGAGTTCTGAAGTAGCTCTCGGGCAGTGTTATAGTATTTCCAGGATTCGGCAACAGAGCTCCAAGAGCTGACTCGAGCAACCAAGGCAAGAACCCCAAAAGTCAGACTCTGAGATAGCTCTCCATTGCTGAACGTCGTTGCAAAAGTAAGCGGATCGAAGAAAAAGAGCAAGTTCGAGCCAAAATTGTCACGAAAGAACTCTGCTGCTTGCAGGAGCTCTGTTGTCGATATTTGTGATAGGGCCACAGGGTCCTGCTCTGGCAGACATTCCGATGTTGGTGATCTAAGGGCTGGCCCTACAGTAGATGAACCTTGAGAGATTCCGGCATACCGGCACTCAATTGACCGCTTCAGGCAGCTCCTGCAGGAGGGCCAGCCACTAGTGCATCGGATCTTGCGTTGTCTAGGCCCGTGAATTTAGCATCCGGCAGCAATCATTTGAAAGTCAGTCCGAAATCTCACCTACACGGAATGCAGGCAATTGGCGCACGTTGACCTGGGAGATGAGCTGGGCGGCGGCGCTTTCTTGTCTCCCTGACAGGCCCAGAGCTCATTCTTGAATAGATACAAGAGGTCGCCAGCGGTATCCAGTAGTTTGCAAAAGACCGTACTTCCTAAAAGGCAAAGGAAATAAAAGCCATGAGACAAGACTTGACAGAGTCCATGCTGCAGTGAAGGACAAATGAACGGCAGTGCCGTGGCCAATTAGTGGGTCAGGCTGGCACTGCCGAGGATTGACCTCGCAGTGCCGACAATCTATGTATTCGCTTGTCACCGAATAATAACACAGAATAATTATAGCGGGCATAAATAATCGTAGATCGGCACCAGATCAATTTTAAGAGAAAAGAAGATCTATTGAAACACCAGACCTCCCATCCCTGCTAGGTTTCATCGAGACGATGGAACCGCGGTTCTCCTTCTTCGAGGCCAACAGTACAAATGGCTCTGGAAAGCCTTCTGTGACTCTTACCCAGCTTCGACGTCTGTTAGACGACGCCATCAAAGATTATGAAAGGAACCATCCAAGGTCGCTAAGCATACACAAGGATGCACTTAGATTCCTACCTGGAGGAAATACTCGCTCAGTGCTACACACTGATCCATTTCCCATTTGCATGGACCGAGGGGAAGGGAATAGATTGGTGGATGTGGATGGGCGAGAGTATGTATCTGCTTGGGACTTTCAACTTCCAATGCCCTCTGCTCTTGCTTCATACTGACTTTTGCCTGGGCACAGATATCTGGATCTCATTGGCGAGATGACTGCAGGTCTTTGTGGCCACTCCCATCCAATCATTCAGGAAACCATCATTTCAACCGTTACGAAAAAGGGGTTGAATCTGGGTGCGACGACCGCAATTGAATCTCAATTTGCACAAGAAATATGTGATCGGTTTCCATCGATAGAGCATCTGCGCTTTTGCAATTCGGGCACCGAGGCGAATCTCTATGCCATCAGCGTTGCTCGGCAGGCAACTGGCTTATCCAAGGTCATCGTCTTTTCTGGGGGATACCACGGTGGTGTTCTGACGTTTTTTCATGGGGTTTCTGCAAACACCATTGACAAGGAAGATTGGATTATCGGAAAATACAACGATGTTGAAGGGACTCGCAAATTAATATGCGATAACAAAGGGAAAGTTGCGGCTGTGCTTGTTGAAGGCATGCAGGGGGCTGGGGGCTGCATACCAGGCTGCCCTGAGTTCTTGCACACAGTTCAAACGACAGCAAATGAAAACGGGATGGTTTTCATTTTGGACGAGGTCATGACATCGCGGCTTGATCACGGAGGTCTTCAATCGAGAGTCTTGAGTCCCGAGGATCATACATCGTTGAAGCCTGATATCACAACGCTTGGCAAGTACATTGCTGGAGGAATGACCATTGGGGCATTTGGAGGGCGAAAGGACTTACTTGCAGTATATGATCCACGGCCAGTCTCTATGCCTGGTAAAACTCAGAGATTAGTTTCACCTATCAGTCATTCTGGCACGTTTAACAACAATACGCTAGCGATGAGTGTTGGTCTTACTACGCTATCCACTATCTATACACTCCAGGTCTGTACTAAGCTCAACGCGATGGGTGATAAGTTTCGACAAAGTCTGCTTGAGATATGTCGAGATACTAGAATGGCCGTGACGGGGGTTGGCGCCGTGTGCAATATTCACTTTGTTTCGCAGAGACTATCAGAAGACATACGGTGTGTGGAGGACTTGGAAGAGATGCAGACAGAGTTTGATGCGATTCTGAAGGATCTATTCTGGTTTCATGCAATCCGCAGAGGGTTTTGGATTGCTAGACGTGGCATGCTGGCTTTGATCCTGGGAACGACCGAGTCAGAACTTGAAGAGTTCCTTGAATTTGCCAAGGAGTTCTTGCAGGAGTTTCAATCCTTGATGAGACTTTAGGCCCACCATCACTCTCGCCACCAACCTCTCTACTACTAGATTATTGGCAATGTCGAGCATCTAATTTTGTCTACCACGTTGTCGGCCCGTTCAGATGCCCATTCGCTCACTCTTCTCCACGCCCTCTGACTCGCGTTTGAGATGAACTATATGTCATATTTCTCAAGGTATATGAAGGGGCCTTGTTTAAGCCACAAAGTACAGGAGGATAGTTGTAGTTACCAGTTGGGTAAAGGCCCGCCGCATACACAGCCGCTGGCCCCCACTTGAGGTCCCTTGGCGGCTTATACCTGACTTGTACTTGCCTAGCGCCGGAGTCCAACGGGAGAGGCAGTGCTTGATCGTAAGAGCCTCCGAATCCACCTTTCTACAAAAACCCGCTTTTCCACCTGCTTAGTTCCATCTCGATTTCATACCTTCACGAAAGTGATACATGCCTCGAACTCCTCAAGTGTTTCAGTATAGAATAGTTATCAACATGCCCGCTACCTCCGAAATTCAAGGCTCTTTCCTGGGCCATTTCTTCGGCACGGTTTGGACCATCGTCAGTACCTTTTTCGGCACAACCTGGTTTCTGACTACATCGTTCTTCGGCGCAATCTTTCGAGTCGTACTTCCAGCTACGGTTGCCTGTATTATCATCTGCGGTGTGCTTTTCGCTGCCTACGTGGCTGTCTTGTCCATCGCCGATTGGATGGGATGGATTAAATTGAAGCCTATTGTCGAGAAGCAGAAAGCGCGTCACTCCTCAAAGCCCGACGAGGAAGGATCTGACGAGGTGTTTGTCGATGTTTCGAGTGACAAGAAACGAGTCGAGGTTGAAATCGAGTTTTTGGAAGAGTTGTTGCGTGTCAGGCGGGAAAAGTTGAAGAAGCTGGATTAGGATTGTCGAATGGAGGATTTGCTACATATTCGAGTTGTATGGGATGGGATATGGTCCGGCTTCATGGATAGTTGAACAATTGTGCTAAATTTGACAGCTGATCCAGCGTTCCCGTGATGGACACAGACGCCAGCGGAGTTCAGTTGCTTCGTACCAATGAACGATTGGAAGATTCCGAAACTTTGATCTCCACGGGTATAGAATCTAGAAACTACACTCTGGATACTCGTTGAAAGATAGCTGATTGGTGGCTTATACTCCCATCAAGCGCGCTGCATAAGCCTTTCATCGATGAATTGGGCATGGGTTGGAAGTTTGAAACAAGTATTATTGTCCTCTACCATTGTGGCGTGGCTCCATCTTGAGCCCAGTTGCCAAGTACAAGTCCAACGAGCCATCTCAGGCTGACGGCCTTGGAAGCGAATCAATAGCGTACCAATTTGTAGAATCTGACAGTGGTCCTGCTCTATATCAGCAAGAGCTTTTTTAACCTTCGTCAAGATACTCATACCAGAGAGGAGCAAAGTCATCAGATAGGGGGTTTCACGTCGTGTCTTCATTAATCATATCATCTACCATGTCTGAAGGAGCAGGGCCAGCCGCGAGAAGCTGTCACGGTTGTTGTTGTATCATAGCAGTTTCTCCTCCAAGTCACGCTCATCGAAAGGGTCTCCGAACTCATCTGTACATGTATCAGTCAGCCAAAGTTCATTATGGCCATCAAGATCGCTCAATCCACCACGTACTCAAGTTGAAGTCTTTATCGATCACCTGCTCCATCGCTCGTTGGTACTCGTCCTGCGCACGCTTGGTATTCCATGCCGCGATGGGCTGTTCCGGACCCTTCCCGGGAATATTGCTAGCCTCTCCTTCTGTTCGAGGCCTGAAGTCGGTTGTAGACGAGATATCGGATATTTGCTGGGGTTGTGAGCCGGGAGGGGAGAGCTCGGACGCGGGAGCCGCGGTTTGGGCATTGTGAGTTGGAGTGCGGGCACCAGTACCAACGGCGTCAGAGTCAGAGTGAGGAGAGCCGACCGAGGAGGCCATCTCCGAATCGCCGTCAGGGTCTCTGGATCCTATGTGGAGTGGTCAGTTGAGGAGCCTGGGCCGAGGTGTTGATGGGTTAAGAACGCGGAGATGGGTAAACAGTAGAAGGTGAAAAGTAGATAAGTTTGATGAAGTCCAGTACTGAACCGGTGTAATATACGATCAGAAAGGTCCAGAACTTACCGACAGCCATCTTGGCGGTAAAGAACGAGAAGCAGATTGGAGGTGAAAGTCGTGCAGATCGAAGCGGCGGAGGCAATCAAAGGGCGGAGCTGAGGAGCGGAGATGGAAGCGGATGGGGGCGGTGGCCGCCTCACGTTTGGAGACCCGCGAATTTTCTTTTCTGACTTGTCTAACCCCCAACCCTTTGGATACTCCTTGAACATATCACGTCTTGCTTGTCACTTTGAGGAAATTTATTTTTACCGCCATTGACTTGACCTTTCTGCTGTTTTGTTTAGTTGTCTTTCCGTGGGCCATGAGTGCAAAGCCTGAAGTCCCCGATGCATGGGATGTGGACTGGGAGTCCCAAGCTGATGTAAGTCCTTATACTTCCTCTCGATTTGGTGGAGGAACCAGATCTGCTTAGACTCTGCCCTGCAGCCATGGGCCATAATACTCAAATTATGCCGCTCTATACTGACGTACTGGGATGTACAGAAACTCGGGGACCAGCCTACCCCGCCGCCTGAGAAGAAAGTCTCCTCCAAAGTCTCCAAAGCCCAGCGCAGAGCTCAGCAGGCGGAGTTTAACCGGCAATTATGGGCGGAAGCGTACGTGTTGAATCTACAGGTCCCATTAGAGGCTCTTGAAGTTCTAAGCAAGGTCTCCGTTGCAGTGAATCCCCGCAGACATTCCACTATGTCGAAGCTCGATCCGACGTACCCCTCAAACAAGACTTTAAACCGGCTGTCACACTCCTTAGTCGCCGGCCTCAAATTGCCTCTCGGCAGTCATCGTCTTCCGGTGGGATAGATGGGGCGACTGCTGGCATCGGACAACTGGGCCTGGATGATGAGGGCGACTCAGATGAGGACTCCAACAAGCCTCGTCAACCAACCTTCGAGGAACGGCAAGCGATAGCTCTCAAAAACCGTGAGGAGAGGCAGCGGAAATATGAAGAGGCGCGAGAAAGGCTGTTTGGTAGCCCTTCTGCAACAACTTCGGGCAACTCGTCTCCAGGAAGTACAACTCCCCCTCGCCAAAACCAGCCTGGTGAGGGACGAGGAAAAGGAAAGGGCCGAAGCGGCCAGCGGGATTACAAAGAGAAGAGAGATTCCTCCACTGCCTCGAACAAGTCGAGACAGCAGCTCTACGATCCAACAAGTCCAAACAGATTGAACGGATCGACCATACAGAGGCGAGATCGTCCTCAGGGGGACCGAAATGACACCGACAAGCAGAATGCTCCTCAGCAGCCATTGCGAAACCCTCGAGGTCCTGATGGAAGTGGAAGGGGCGGCTTTGGATTTGGTACCAGGGGCGCTCGTGGGGGCTAAGAATACAGCATGTCTTGTGTTCTTCATCAATTGTCCTCCCGGGCGTCTAACATGCCCATCGACCCATCTCACATCAACGCATCCTTCCAGGTGCAAGCAGATATTCTAAAGAGAGACTAAGGAAGGCCCCGTCCTGAATTGATTGCATTCGCAACCTGGGACGTGTTAGGCCGGTTCTCTGAAAAATGGGTCAATATCCACTCTCTCTATCCAGGTCGTCAAAGTGAGACCAAGGGACCTACCAGCATATCGTGCATAGCTGTCCATATAGAGTTCGTCTGAGCTCGTTGTTGCCCGTACGTGCTCATTGGTATCGATAGCGTTTACCCAGGATGCCCATCGAGTTCCTTCCTCCGCATCATGCCAGCCTCGATACGGCTTCAAGACGCGACGAAGCCGGATGACCCACGGGGCAGCCTGCACATCTACAAAGGACATGTGCGGTCCCATGAAAAAGGGCCCGACAGGGTGCGCGGCCTCGATGAGCTTTTCGAAGGCGTCCCGCAGCTCTTTCGCATTCTCGACTTGCTTCTGTGGGTCCTGCTCTTGCAGAACCCGGTAGAAATTGGGCACGATGTTCCGGTTGATCTGCATATGTCGTTAGCAAAACCATAGAACCGACCACCGGAGCTTGCTCACATGGTCGGCCCAGAGTCGACAATGGGCACGCATCTTTGCATCTTCTGGAAGAAGTGCTGTGCCAAGGTTCAAATCTTCCAACTAGATGCACAGACTTTGTCAGAAATAATGTCAACCAGGTGGTGAAGCTCCCCTTAGTGGATGCCTGTCTTACATATTCCATGAGCACGGTGCTTTCATAACACCCCCAGTCATCATGTCGCAAAGCTGGAACCAGCCCCCGTGGGTTCACCTCAAGCAGTGACTGAGGCTTTAGATATGGATCGACCTCGATGTACTGGTAGGGTATCTTTTTCATTTCCAGCGCTATCCATACTCGCTGCACGAAGGGACTTTGCGCAGAGAAACATCGAGTCAGCCTGAGTTCAGTTCAACGTGTGTCAACAAGATTCTTACCAGAAACAGCCTCCATAGAGCTTCAGCCTTGAGTCCGCTGAATGTTGGACTACCGTCACAGCGGCTTGGCCTGTTGCTTTGGTGTGATAGGACTTCTGGCCCGACATGTTTCTGTTCTGCTAAAGAGCGTTAGACTCCTCCGATTTGAGATTAAAAAGTAAATGAAAATGAGAATTTCCGAGAACGAGATATCCCAATGACTTTGTCCAAGTGAAGGAGTGTGACCTGTGGGTGACAGCCGATCTCGACTGTGACGTAAAGGCAAGTTCTGCGGGGACGCCAAGCCGACGCCGGGTTTCCCATACATGCAGGCGCAACAAATTAGAGCAACGAGAGACATACCATACTCTTTTTCCTTTCCTTATCTTCTTTCAAAAGAATGCGCTGGACACTACTCTTCTTGACTCGATCACTGTCCTCCAGAGTATGCTGATGGCCACATCCCAGTCCCTGACCTTGGGTGCCAGTTCCATTGACTCGTTGAATGGTGAAATACCTCTTGCCGTTTGCTCCAGGATGATCTCCCGGTAGACCGGAACTAGGAGGCGCAGAAAGCACACCGAATGCGCCGTTGCCCTGAAGTGGGAACATGGAATGCATATCGGGCAACATGTCCTCCGGGACGGCCACCTCCTCCAATACACCGGCAGTAGGAAAGTATTCGGTGATTTTGATCTTGACATCGCAGAGGTCTCTCTCCCGTGCTACGCGCTTGCGCTTTTTCTTGTTTGGATCATCCGATTTGGGTGTACCCGATGCGCGACCTTTCAGCCGGCAATCCCAATAGTGAGAGGCGAAGGGCTTGCGTTTGTATCGCTGAGTGGAGCGGTGGGAATAGACATTGTCGATATGGGGGAAATAGATCTGAAACCTGTTACATGTTTAGTGGCCGAGTCTAAATGGGAGCGGAGTAAGATAATAATACTTACTGTTCTTCGGTCAGGGTGATCATCTCATCGACGTTGAATAACATGTTTCTCCAGATGTCCAAGTCCGGCGGGTCTTTGAAAAACTTCATGCCTTGAAGATGGCCAGGGAAGCTGTCCATGAAGCTTGTTATATCTGGCGCATCGGCTACAAGCGCCACATAATCGTGTTGTGGAAAAGCCGAATGTTGTGGTGCCAATTCCACGTTTGATGATTCAGGCGCAATGGTCGTCATGTTCAAGGCCTGGGCATGATGGGGGGCTCCATTGAACCGTGATACCGGAGGCTGTATAGACCCTTGCGCCGAGGAGATAGAGTTCCGCTGTTGCGGTACATTACGATGTAATTGTGCAACATGTTGGGATGGAGTAGATATAGACTGAGGTGGTGGCTGCCGAGGCCGAGGAGCCGAAGGGATGTTTTCGACGGGTCGGAAACCTGCAAAGGGATTTGATGTGCTGAAGTGGTTGATCTGGGAAGTCTGAGTGGGAATTGATACTTCATCGACGGTCGGCATCGACGAAGCTATGGGTCTTCCTCTACTTGGGCCCTGGTGTGAATCCATTGGCGGCATTTGGGGCCGCTGCTTTTGCGGTGCGGAGAAGGGAAGAAGCGGAGGTTGAAGCGGCGAGGGATGTTTGTTCCCCGCTTTGTACGTGCGTTGTGGTCACATAGATTGCAGCGAGATTTACTCCCCACTAGTCTTGAGGCGGCATATTCTCCTCTACAATATTATAGATGATTTGAAAAGAGAGCAGGCTGTCCTGCTGCGTACCTTCGAACTTGTCTGTTGAGCAAAATTCCAATTCTAGTATCGCGAGACCAGTGACTACAGGGAGAAGAAACAAGCTTTCCTTGATCATCAATCAACCATTGATAAGCACATGCACTACTTCAGCCGAAACACCACTCCCAAATAAATATTGACTGGACATAAACATCAAGACAAGAAAAAGTTTCGATCAAAGCTTTTTCTTGCCGGCATGCTTTTTAGCAGCCTCCGAGTTAGCAAAAGGAAACCCGGTAGTCCTCTTATCGGCGCCCGTCTTGCGACTGATCTTGCCATCACTGCTTGCAAAGAGCACACACCAAAGGCCGATGAATGCTAGAACAGAGCCTCCAGCCACTGCGACCGCAAAGAACCCCTGTCCCGTGATGACATATCTGGTGTACGCATAGAAAGCAGATATGGCATGGAAGAAAGAAGTCACCATGAGGGTGGGAAGGGCGTAGGGCGCTTTCGGATCCGACTCCTCGGTAGTGATGGGTTCGGAAATTGAGGATGTCAGAGGAATGGAGCCGGTTAGCATCATGGTCAAGATGGCAATGGTGAAGAGACTAAAGCCCAGGCATCGGGCAAGGTAGATCTCGATAGCTGTCCATCGCGGTTAGTATAGTCTCCTCCAGCTGGGAGATGGTAGAACGAAAAGAGTAGCGTGACGTACCAGATGCTGGCCGAGTCTCATCTAGCAGTAAGGCCACAATCATGCTGGGGCCTGCGATCAGTGTCAGACTCTGCAGCGAAAGCCATCCCGCTGTCGAGTAGGTATACGCTCGGAAGACCTTTTGCGCAACTGTCAGCTTGCTATTTCGTCGAGTGATATGGCCCTCTCCACAAGGCAGATGAGCATGTGTCACTCACATCCATATTGAATTGTTGGGGGATTCAGTATTTTTCAACGCTTGACTCGATACGATAGTTGCAAAGTCTGCTTTTGCATTTGGATGTTCTCGGCAGACGAAGGAGCTGGTAGCCTGGAAGCTATCAATAATGTGACGTCACTCGATTTGTCCCGTTTGCAGCTGACACGACTCGTGCCCCAGAAGTACGGAGATAGATACAGCAGGATAACTGGTAACAAATCAAAATGTGAGAGAATAATCAGAAAAATACCTTACTGAATGGACATATACGGTAACTATAGTTAGTGTTCAAACTAGAGTGGGCGCCTTCTCTTCTATCACCTTGTGGCCAGAGGCTATGAGCCGAAGACAAACTTCCGTCTCTGCAAGGACTTCACGAAGACTGTACCCTTCTAGCCATCTGTTTGATACGCACTCAATTCTTTCCATGGTTCTTTCAAAATTAAAACCATATGTCATTTTATTTGCAATGTGATAGTATGAAACTGGCATCCAATAGCCACCAACACCGTAAACCCCAGGAAGCCCAAGACATCAAATCAACTCCTTGTATGAATACCCATGCTCATTGATTAATATTGCTCGCCCGCAGGTATCTCGCGAAGCTACTGTCTGCCTCAGATGGAACACCCTGAGAGCCCGACAGAGCCTGCTTGTACCGCTCAGACAGGCCTTCATCATCGCCTGCACTGGGTCTGTAATCGTAGTCGTAATCACCATCACTGAAGTCTTCCCCATCAGCCAGGCCTCGCTTGATAATCTCATCTTCCTCCTCATCCTCGGCCTCGCTGACAGTCTCTGGCCCGGTCTCAGGGCCCTTGCGTTCTTTACGCGCTGATCCAGAGACACTCATGTCCTTCATAAGCTTGCCTAGCTCCAGTTCGCGCTGGGAGGACTTTTGTTCTTCACGCTCCTGCCTCTTCCGCTCAAGCTCAGGTTTATAATCGCGCTCGAATTCCTGGCGCTTCGTCTCAACGGCCTCGAAGAACTCGTCGACACCATCACCAGTCATGGAGCTTACACTAACGACACTCAAGTGCCGATAGAACTCCTCCAGCATCAAACTCATGCTGTTCAGAAGAGAGCCCATGTATCCACTGCCAGCGCCGAAGCCACCGGCGCCACCCTCACCACCAAAGGCGCCGGCTTCCTCCTCTTCGCGCAGGGCGGCCTGGAACTTATCAAAGTCGGTCATCCATTCCTTAGCAAACTCAGCATCCTTAACATCAGTCTTATTGAAGACTAGAATCATTGGGAGCTTTGTCTTGTAAAGAATACTGCATGCATACAACATGTTGCTCATGAATGTGCTGGTCGAGCTGGCGCGAGGGGTATCGATGATGTATGCGATGACAGTCGGGAAAGATGAAGCCAGAGTCTCCAAGAAGATACTGCCCGAGGCACTCCATACGAACACCTCGATCTGGCCGGGAGTGTCGACCAGAATGTGTTCGATTGGCTTCGCAGCGGGGTTCTCAGGGTTCGGTGCCGTGCGCTTTTCAAGAAGGGCAATGATTTGGTCGACTTTGGTTGCGAAAAGGTTCAGGGATGTCAGAATTCCTCCGTTGGGGCCGAGATTGTACTGCTTCATCACTTCCTTGTAGTTGATCGAATCTCGGATATCGATGTTACTTTCGAAGGGAACTGAGTGCACCGCAGGGTCGAGGTTCATCACGTAAGGGACTGTCTTCTTCGAGTGAAGGTGCGAGTTGATTCTTTGCATGAAAGTGGTCTTTCCGGAGCCTACGGAGGCAGGTGTCAGTCTCTACCACAGAATGCACGACTCGAGACAAAAGCCGATTCTTACCTGCCATGCCCACGCAGACCACGGACACCGCCGGAGACGCCATAGTGAAGTTGAGTCCTCGTAAATTGTCAGGTTATATTGTCAAGCTTGAAGGTGTGCGGTGTATTCAATAAATGGCTTGGCCGAGGGAGATCTTGTCGCAGAGGTTGTCGAAGGAGAGTGGCGGGGAGCTCTTTTTTCTCCCAAATTTCTTTGGTCGCGGGGGACTGGCGATCGGCGCCTGGACCGCCCGGCGCGCGCCAAACGTCATTCCGCCGCAGCTTTTTGCACCTCACCTTTGTCAAGAACAACCACGTCCAAGGAGAGGCACAATGACCTTGGAAGATTTCGAAAAGTCACTGGCCGAAGACCAGGATCGACGTCGGGAGAGGAGTGACAAGGACCGACGCCATCGAGACCGTGATCGCGATCGCAGCAAAGACCGTTCGAACCGTCATCACCATCGCTCCAGCCACCACCAACGACATTCGTCTCGATCCCGCGAAGGTGACAATAGACGCGATCATGAATCTCGACACCGCGACGATGATAACCACAGACACAAGCGCTCACGTCACTCGACCGATCATGGAGACGACCCGAAGCACTCGCACAAGCGCCGACACGGACACGACAGGGAAGATGAACGTTCGGCACCCAAAGCTATCGTCCAGGGGGAGCCAAGTGCCCTAAAGCGGGATTCATGGATGGAAGCGCCCTCTGCTCTCGACGTTGAATATGTTCATCGCCCAGACCCTAATCGTGTGGAAGAATCTACGAAGCCAAAGATGCTCCAAGCGGACTATGAGCTGAAGATTCACGATAAGGAGCTCAACAATCATCTTCGTGACCTTAAAGATGGCAAAGCGCTCGATGATACTGAGGAGGAGCCGGCGCAGCATGAGGTGGATTACACATTTGGGGACTCGGGATCTCAATGGAGAATGACAAAACTCAAAGGCGTGTACAGAGAGGCTGAGGAGAGCGGGAAATCCGCTGAGGAGGTTGCCGTGGAGCGATTTGGCGATCTCCGCTCCTTTGATGACGCCCGAGAAGAAGAAACTGAGCTAGAACGCCGCAAGTTGTACGGCCAGTCATATGTCGGGAAGGAAAAGCCGAGCGGAGAGTTATTCCAGGAGAGGAAGCTTCAGAATGCAGTGCACCGAGACCCGCATCAGCATATTCGTGATCCTGCAGAAGAGCTGAAGGCCGAGGGTCAAGGAAAGATCATGGACACAGAGGCCCCGTCGAGCACGACGAAGCTTCTCGACCAGACAGCATTGAATCGTCTCAAGGCTCAAATGATGAAGGCAAAACTGAAAGGAGCCGCCAATGCAGCCGAGCTAGAAGAACAATACAACAGTGCTGCGGCTGCGGCCATGTCCAATCGCAGTGAATCGGACGTTGTCGTGTTAGGTGTCCAACAGAACCGCATGCTAGCTGGATTTAGAAATGAGGTCAAGCCTGTTGATACTAAACGTGGCCGTGAAAGAGGCTTAGTGGAAGACAATGAAGATATGACCATTGAGGACATGGTTCGAGAAGAACGCAAAACCCGGGGTCAAGCCGGTGGGGAAGGTGCACGGCTGGCAGAGCGAATCGCCAAAGATGGCAAGTTTGAGGTAAACATCCCTCTCTTTCTGCCCCCTTATCATGAATTGGCGGAATCCTGTGAGCTAACAATTACCTCAGAATGACTTGGAGTATATGGACGACCAAGCCTCCAAATTGGCCAAACGGGTGCATCGATCTGAGATTGACATTAAGAGCGCCACAATTAATGACTTCCGCAAGATGAATCGCATCTTGGATAACTGTCAGCTCTGTCATCACGAAGATACGAATACCCCGCCAGTCGCACCTGTCGTCTCCCTCGCAACAAGGGTCTATCTCACCCTTCCCACTGAGCCTGAAATCAGCGAAGGAGGCGCTACCATCGTGCCGATTCAGCACCGAACGAACCTCTTGGAATGCGATGACGATGAATGGGAGGAGATTCGTAACTTTATGAAGAGCCTAACGCGCATGTACCATGACCAAGGTCGTGATGTTATTTTCTATGAGAATGCCGCCCAACCACAGCGCAAGCGCCATGCGTCTATGGAAGTGGTCCCTCTACCCTACAGTCTCGGAGAGACGTCGCCTGCCTTCTTCAAGGAAGCGATTCTAAGTGCCGAGTCAGAGTGGTCACAACATCGCAAGCTCATCGACACTTTGGCAAAGTCCAAACAAGGGCTTGGTAGAAATGCATTCCGCCGGACGCTGGTGAAGGAAATGCCCTACTTCCACGTCTGGTTTGAGCTCGACGGTGGTCTCGGCCACATCGTTGAGGACGAGCACCGTTGGCCTCGTGGGGATCTCTTCGCGCGGGAGGTCATTGGCGGTATGCTCGACGTTGCTCCAGATGTTATCAAGCGTCAAGGCCGCTGGAATCGTGGCGGGGATCGAAGGGTGGATGGGTTCAAGAAGCGATGGAGGAAGTTTGACTGGACTCGTATCCTAGTCGAGGGATAGAGCCTGAACCTGGGTATTTTCACTACAGTGTGTCAACTGGTGGGATTTAAAAACCAATTGTCTATGGAATCATGGGCCTGCAAGAGGTCTCGGAAGGGCATTCTCTTTTCGTTCGAGCCTTAATTTTCTTGATTATTGACAGAAACAACGTTTCCCGAGACAGATCGGGGGTTTTCCGAGGGTGTTTCCCCTAAAGCCGAGCAGTATGGACGTATCTATAGGTCTAAAGTTGGAGGTTGAACGCTCACAGTCGGGCTTCTACGTATTCCATTAAGGAATAACAATCCATAGAAAGACCTATCACTGGCCAAAAGTATTAGCATTCTATTCGCAAGGATCACGCTCAATGGCGGCATCCCACGCCTGCGGGGAACTCGCCAAAATAACCCAAAGTTTGTAAGGACTCGCGTGGGGCTCGACGTATTCTCTCGGCCGATGCTTCCTATCTTTGATGACTCGAACGGCTGCTGTCATCTTCAACACTTTCCTATCGCATTCTCTCCGTTGCTAGAATCTTGCATCCAGCACTTTCCCTTTAGAAAATCCTCTCTTGGCTACTTCGGAGCCTCCAGTTCCCCTACATTTGCTATCGGATAGCCCCGATCTGCCCCTCATCCTTATCAGTAAGTTTGCGCCTTCGAATGGCATCTTCCGGGTTCTCCTAAGGCCTTTAATGGTGTTAAATGCGTAACGTTCCGCTTTGGATTGTGAGTGGTCTACATGACTGTTCTATTCACTGCCGGAGCATCGATAATCGCTTGCGCTGAATTACAAATCGACTAGCCAAGGTGCTTAAAAGAGACTTGAAACTAAGAATTGGCCGTGCAGACTACCTCAAGCTCAATTCATCGCAATGGGCTCTCACCAAGCTAAGCCCAAGGTTCTCGTTCTTGGAAAAGTTGACTAGTCTGTTATCCTATTACACGGTATCTCCAAGACCGAATACTAATAATGAATGGTCTACAGTGCGCAAGATGCCTGGAATGCGCTCAATGATATCAGCGAGATTTTGAAGCCAGCTTCAACCAATCGCGAAGATTTCCTGAAAGAATGCCGAAGTGGAAAGTTCGAGGGTGTTGTAGCGGCCTATCGAACCTTTCACTCGTTTAGCATCACTGGTCTAATCGACAAGGAGTTGGTGGATGCATTCCCGGGCTCCTTGAGATATTTTGTATCGTGCGGTATGCCTATGCCCTTTTGTGGCCTTTTCTTTCGACACACTAATACTGATACACCTCAAATAGCTGCTGGCTATGACCAAGTGGATATCGACGCATGCAGTGCCCGTAATCCCCCGCTCCTTGTCTCGAATGTGCCTACCGCTGTAGATGACGCTACCGCCGACGTGAACATGTTCCTGATTCTTGGTGCGCTTCGAAACTTCAACACTGGAATGCATAGTCTTCGAGAAGGAAAGTGGCGAGGTCAGCCAGCACCACGCCTTGGCCACGATCCGCAGGGCAAGACCCTGGGAATTCTGGGAATGGGTGGTATCGGACGGAACCTGAAGAAGAAGGCCGAGGCCTTTGGTATGAAGGTTATCTATCATAATCGCCGACAGCTGAGTGAAGAGCTTTCCGGAGGAGCGCAATACGTGACCTTTGACGAGCTTCTATCAACCAGTGATGTGCTCAGCCTGAACCTGCCATTGAATGTAAGCGAGAACTGCGGGTCAAGGGGAGAAACTTCAGAATTTAAAAGATGATTTATGCTGACTCCGGTGCAGAAAAATACCCGTCATATCATTGGCAAGGCAGAGTTCGCCAAGATGAAGGACGGCGTCATTGTGGTAAACACTGCTCGTGGCGCCGTGATGGATGAGGCTGCCCTTGTCGAGGCGCTGGACAGCGGGAAGGTATTCTCAGCTGGTCTCGATGTCTTTGAAGAGGAACCCACGGTTCACCCTGGTTTGATCCGCAATCAAAATGTACTCCTTGTGCCTCACATGGGTACCTGGACCATCGAGGTGAGTTATATAGGTGTACTGGATTCAGGTTGGGAGGCTAACAGTTCCATAGACTCTCACGGCGATGGAGGAGTGGGCCATTGAGAACGTTACACTGGCTATTACGACGGGCAAATTGAAGAGCCCTGTTCCAGAGCAAGTTGATTTGCAATGATAGGCGTGTCTAAAGAGGAGCTTTGGTGCTCGATGTGTCGATGGACGGCCAATATACGGAGTGGTGAACATAGCTGGAAGTATATATCTTGTACGTATGTGGAGAGTAGACTACTGGCCATAAATATCTGCGGCATCCTGAAGTATTACTTGAAATACTTTCAAATGAATAAGTCTCAATTAGGTTGAGTTGAATGGCAAGTACGAAGTGCGCATGTGGAGTTCACTCTGTAGCCGCATGTCTCCTTTGGGACTAGCCCGATTGCGGCGGGAGTTTGCCATCTTATCGCCGCTGCAGCTCTGGTCCAACTTCAACTCAATATCCAATAACTCCAACATGGCTGAATACTGGAAGTCAGCAGTAAGTCATTCTCTAATACCCCATATAACTGGTATCGCTAACTTTCCCCTTCCTTGTAGCCTCGCGTCTGGTGCAAACAATGCAAGATCTTCATTCGCGACACGCCATTCGAGAAGACCCAACATGAAGCCAGTCCAAAACACCAAAGTAGCCTCAAGCGCTTTCTTCGCGACATCCACAGAAACAATGAACAACAACAGAGAGAGACACAGCGAGCGAAAAGTGAGGTTGAACGGTTACGACAGGCTGTCGCAGGCGGTCCCTCGAAAAGCGATCCCAATGCCCCTGCGCCGTGGAAGAAGACCGCCGCTCCAGCACCCAAACCCGCTGATCGACCGGTCAGCATGGAGGAGCGAAAGAAACAAATGGCGCAGCTGGCGGAAATGGGAATAGCGATCCCGGAGGAATATCGCGGGGATATGGCCTTGGCTGGTGAATGGCAGACGCTCTCGGAGACCAAGATTGAGGATGTGGAGGGCGCTGCAAAGTCTATTGGAGTTCGCAAGCGCAAGCATGATGGGGAAGAGGAGGACGAGGAAGATGAGGGTGGAAATCCCTCCGAACGACTTGTGAGCAGAGGGGTGGGGCTCGAGGATGAGATCGTACCCCGGAGCGCAGAACGTCGATGATGAGGACCTGGATGCTCTACTTGCGTCTACCAAGGACTTGAAGAAGTCAAAGATCCCGCCTACAGATTCAGACTTGGAAGAGTCAAAACCGATTGAAGAGCAGAAGCCGGAGCTTGATTCATCTGTCAAGAAAGAGGAAGAGGCCGCGCAATCCAAAGACCAGGAGACCGACAGCTCCACCCAGGTTAAGACGGAAGAACCTGGCATTCTACCTGTCCCACCGAGCGATGAGAAGCCGCCAGTGGAAGACGCACCTGGGCCTGTGTTCAAGAAGCGCAAGGCCAAGGTTATGAGGAAGTAAGACAGAACAAGACACGGCCTAACACAATCATTCCATACATGGAGAGAGGGGACCACCCGATACGAATCATGCTTAGATCTTGCAGCCCTACCACCGCAATGATATCCACAATGTGCGTTGGATAAGCGTCAGACTGGAACTACGCTTCTATACGCAGAGATCTACCAACTTCTGCCATCTCCAGAGGCGCATTGTCCTGGTTGTCTCGACATTGTCGAAATGGGAACAAACGCTACCTTCCTGCTTACCGACTGCCAAGTCATCAGGTATTACGAGTCTGATTACTTCATGGAAATCGACGCGTGGGGTATCTAGTTATATAGACGTCTTGCAGATCGATGCCTCCGCTCCGCTGAACCCAACGGGCAAAATACCGCCCCGATGCTAGAGCTGCTACGCAGTCTAGAAAAATCAATATGAAAATGAATCAGATTATTTTCAATAATGTATTTGCATCTAAATCGATGTAGTGAATCAGTCAATAATTGTGTCGCTCTATAGACAAGAGGGTCCTTGTAGAGTATAGAGTTGCCACTCCAATTTTTTTCGCGGCGTCGAAGCGGAGACTTTGGATCGCCGGAAAAGAAAGCTCCTTTAGTTCGCTCTCCAACTTCGCGCATCTCCCTCCAACTGCCCACCAGACCACAGACCCGCCGAGTTCGCCAGCAACTCGCACCTTTCCTTTATATTTGACCGACACATGGTGTCTTGACCTGGTGAGTGTGTCTTGTTCCATGCAATCGCGAATTCTCCAGCCCCCTCAGCCCGCCTTGTCCTCTTCATGGCGCATTTCTCTTCTCCCGCCCGCGAAAGAGTCCCGGAATCTCCTCTCCAGCGCCGTCACGGTCGATCGTCTACTGCAAAAGGACCCTCAGTCTCTTTGTCATCTTTGTCGCGACACCAAATCCGACCCGTCAAGATGTGAGACCATGGGCGGGGAGGAGTCTTCGGGATTCTCAGCATAGAAAATGCGACACAAACTTTGAACGGCCGACGCAATCACGGGGAAAATTGGGGCCGCGTCGCAGAAGCCAATTGTCATTCAAGATTTACTCGCGCGAGTCTTCGGATGTGCTCGATTTTGCCTCGTGGGATCCGCCTATGTTCGCTGGGTAGTGGGTTGCATCTCCATCTATCCGCGGCGAGTGGTTTGAGAAGGAATGGTCCTTCCCTGAGGGGGGCCACCGTTCAACTCTGCTGATCTCAGATCTTGAATCAATTTCCACTAGGAGATGCTCTGTATTGGGACTTTAGGCGCGACTGAGCTGGTACTACTAGATGATGGGAAACATTTTACTAACGGATCGCGATCTTCTTAGACCCAAGGCGATAAATGATTTACACGTCCCACCACGTTCAACCTGGTGTTGTGCCTTCGCTCAGCCGCAAGCTGCACAGCCTTTGACCTTGAGGATCGTCCTCCAACCGCGAATCTTAAATAAGACCGCCGACACAAACCCTCAGCCAATACGGCCCGATCGAATCCATCCGACTGCCTGGAGGGCCGGCTATAGTAGACATGGCAGAACCGACAGACCCCAATCCAGGCGAGTCGGCCAATCTCCCGGCTGAAACGATTGCTTCAGCGCCGACGGCAAGTGAGCCACCTGCGCCGACTGAGCAACCTTCAGAGGAAGCAAATGCGCCTCAGCCAGAGTCAAACCGGGTTCCGATGCCAACGACTGAGCCTCAACCGCAACCTTCCCCAGCGCCGCCAGCGCCTTCAGCGTCATCACAACCTCCAGTACCTTCAGAGCCTCCGGCACCTTCAGCGCTGCCTACCACAAATATAAATGCAAACCAACAAGAGGCTACCAGCACCTCTGCGGAAGAACCCAGCCAGTCAGTACCTGCGCCAAGTGTTACCACGTCCTCCGTGATATCTTCACTTCCAGCAATGGACACATCTCTCCCACCTATCGATACCTCTCACTCTTTGGATGATAACGACCTCCCTTCATTTGACGCGGCTCTTCGTGCTGTGGCCTCTTCAGCAGGGCCTGATCTGTCGCTCCCGGCGATTGACACAACCCTGCCCTCACTGGACGCGTCCCTACCGGCGATTGGAACGGACATTCCGACAATGGATCATCCATTCGGTGAAGATAGCCCCTTTGGGCATCACGATCCACACGATGAGTCTGGAAACACGATGGATGTACACCACGACACAACGCATCAAGGATCCATCAATGGCTCTACGCATTATCAGGCGCCATCTAATGACAACTACCAGACGTCGTCGAATGGCAACTACCAGTACACTCAGAACTCGCAGCAGGATGGGCGGCAACAATCACAGGGCTCGCCCCAGCACCAGTACCAGTCTCAACCCCAGCAGAGCTATCAACAGCATACCTCTGATATGTACCACAATACAGGCGGGGGCTTTGCAAGTGTCAATGCAAATTCGAGCAACAATGGCCAGGGACAACCTGGCCAAGTGCCTCAAGCACCGATCGGATCTCCCATGCCATCTAACATGCCTCCAATGGCGTCTATGGGGCAGTATATGACCGGTTATCCATCAAATGTGTCTCCCTCAGGCATGAATTCGAACCCACAGATGCCATACTCGCTTCCTGGGGATGCAAGTAAAATGCTTTCGGGAGGACGACATAAGAAAGAAGTCAAGCGACGCACGAAAACTGGGTGCTTGACCTGTCGCAAGCGACGAATTAAGGTATGTTGGTTCATTGCGTTGGGATTTTGCACGTTGCGCTTCGCGGGGCGCAGGACCTCGCTTGTTGCCGCGGACCCCGCCATCGTTTATTTTATCTCCCGATTAACCCACGACTTCAACCCCCCCCCCTCTTTTCGCGCTTCTTGCTTTTGGGCAATGTACTAATTTGCACAGTGCGACGAAGGACATCCGGTTTGCAGAAATTGTGTGAAGAGCAAGCGCGAGTGTTTAGGCTACGACCCAGTGTTTCGCCCTCAAGCGTCTGCTCCGTCGGCTATTCAGCCAGCTCCAAATCCTCAGGCGCCGTCACTTGTCGTCAACCCTCAAGGCCCTCCTGTGCCCCCAGCGCCTTCATACCCTTCTGCGCCGCCTGGGTACATGCCCGCTTCATCACAGCCTTTCGCGCCGTCTCTTCACTCTGAATCTCCCAGCGCCTCGACTGACCAGCACGACAACGGAGCTGGCATTGACCATTCCATCGCGACAAGTAACGCATCACATCCTGCAGCTATGCAGTCTACCAATGAATTCCGGCCCCAGGGCTCCGATATGGTCTACAAAGGTACGTTCAACGCTCTGCGAGAGTTGCAATGGCTGGTCTCAAACAAAACCCTCCGCATATGCACCTGAGGATGAAGCTTTTCACGGGCGCTAACCGCTATATTATGAACAGCCAAGAACCTAAATATTAATGATTTGATCGCTTTGCGGGGCATTCCGCCACCGGCTCCCCATCCTATCGGGTCCCTTCCTCCCGGCCGCCTCGAAGAAATCCAAGCTGTGTTCCTGGCTACATATGCCCCGGCAATTGACAAGTTGCTAGAAGTTCGATGGTACACAGAGAAGGCGCTGTCCACTCTTATGGCGGATACGCAGCTCATGGCAGACTACTCGGCTTTGATCAATGCGTTCAACGATTGGAATCTCAATGACGGAAACACGGTCGCCCGATTGGAGAGCTTTGAGGCTTCGATCATTTGGAGAAGCATGACCCTGTGTCGGCAGGTGCAGACCTCAGAGAATGGGCAACATGGTCAAGACTGGAATTTGATTGCGGCAACTACGCGCCTCAACGCTATCGAGGCTGTTCTCACCTGGACTCACCTTGATCAGAACTCTCTGTCGCGTACGCTGAGAACGGAGGCTGCAACCCCACCCCACCAGCCAGATCAGTTCATGCAGCGGCAATTAGACTTTTGGAGCGAACTCGGCGAGTTCCTCACGCTTCACGACAATGAAGCCAGCTCGGCCAAGCAGATTGACGATACGTTGGGGCGATGTCGCCAATTGCTTGATACCTATGAAAATCGCGACATTATCTACTCCATCGCCATTACACGGCATCTCGGCCAACGCTGGGCCGACTTCCCCAACAGCCTTCCCAAGGTCGGATATACCGCTGAGAAGGAGTCCGGCACCAAGCTGTTCGTCGCGCAAAAATTCATTGAAGAAGAGGCTGAGGGCAAGGGTACGACACAAATCTACAAGCGCATCTGCTGCATGGCAGTCCGCTCTTGGTGGGTTGCCCGCGAGTAGACTCCTTGCCTCGACGCTCTGACTTGATGATTTCTTCCTCCATTTCATTTCCCTCTAGCCTGCCAGGATCATGGCGGTTAGTTTTTCATATCTGTGAATGCACAGCGGTTCTTTATCTACGTGTGATTCAAAAAGCATCATGGTTGGGCGTTACGTCTTCGGATGATTTATTGACTTCTGTTTTCATTTTCTGTCGCTTTCCATGGGGCCTCGAGGGACTGGGCAGCGAGCGAGTAAAGTACCACGGCGTTTCTGGCCTCTTCATCCCCCGGACGATTCTTCTTTGTTCCTTTTCTGTGTATAATTTTGGTCACCCTTCCTAAGGGATCATACCCAACGACTCCAACAAGCCGTTAGACGAATCTACATTTACCAATGAATAGTTGAAAAACAAATACTCTACCAGTAAATACTGATTGCTTTCCATCTCATCTGGAATACCCATTTTGGGCAAGATACCATGTAAGTATTCTTTGCTGTGTTCACTATACAGGGGGTACCTCAACACGGATTTTCATCTCCCCCGTCTCGCCCTGAAACAGGAACCCAATATCCCGCGTTGAATCCACCAATTCAATTTCTCTCCGCACAAACCGACTGGTATCTGCCGAAGAGGCAGGAGCCGGAGCCTGCATTTCGTCATCGCTATCTTCATCCCAGCCCGCTGCCCCATTATTACCAGTCTTTTTTTCCACTGGATCCCACTCGTCTGTCTCCCAGACAAGCTTGAACGAGTATGGAGCGAGGTTGAAAAGCCGTGAAACGAGGGCTTTCACCTGGTATGAATCGAACGAGGTTGGGACTTCCTTCACGCAAACTCGTGACTCGGATAGACGGAATGCCAGCTTGACCAGACGCGCTGCCACTGATCGTGGGTGAATCCCCTTCTTACCAGAGCCATCACGCTCAACGGCTCTCGTTATCGCTGGCTCTCCGTATGATTCACAGAGTTCTTGGTAGCGAGGGTGTGCGGCTAGAATGGCCGGTTCTTCGGCTTCAGATGTAGCGGAGAGTTCTTTGCCGATGAGGGAGAGGTAGTACATTTCCGCATTGGAGCGGTCTTGTAGCGAGATGGTGCTGAAATTGAGAATGGCTAGGGAGGGCGGAAAGCGGGATAGAGTGAGCATGAAGGATTCGTCTACGGTCATTGGTTTGGAAGCGCTCATGGATGAGGTTGCAGCTGCTATGGCTGGTGGGAGGGGTGGTTGGTCGTAGAGGGGGTTTCCGGAGAATCGGAGGGTGGTTAGACCCGGGAATAGGATGGGAAGGTGGTTGAGGAATGTCCATGATGAGATGTTGTTGCGTGAGAGGTCGACGGAGTAGACTGTTGGGGGGAATGTAAAGTCGAGCTTTGTTTCTTGGATGCTGTCGGTGATGGCATGGATGTTGTTCCCTCGTATAGAGATGTGTTCGAGAGTTTGTGTCTCTGCTAATGGACGCAGAGATGATAATGATGTGATATCATTGTTCTCGAGGGTCAACTTGGTGATGCCTCCGGGGAGCGTGCGAGTTATTGTGCTGAGTTGGTTGCCAGATGCGGTGAGCGATGTTAATGCTGGGAAACGAGATGTCACTTCAACAATCTATGTCATTTATCAGTAATTTGAAAGAGCAATGGGTGTATGGGTGCGACGCACCTCATCCCAGCTTAGCAAGGTTTCCTCGAGAGACAGCTCGGTAATACCTTCAAAGATCAAGCCATCTTCCAAGGGTTGAAAGCGGTTACCACTATCATTCTTGTTAGCTCAATTCACAGCTATAGGTACAGCCATAGGCATGGGAGGAACTATGTAGAGGTAGGACGAGCTTACTTGACTTTCAGCTTCTTGAGCCCCTTTAGCTGGTTGCAGATATCCCAAACATGGAGCCAGCTACTCAACAAACTGCGGCTGAGATCGAGCTCCTCAATCTTGGGGCACGTCGTTGCAATTTCCTGAGCAGCCTCAAGGACTTGGGATTCAGGTTGTTCATAGGAGGATAGCACACCAGCAACACGCAGCCCATCAAGCAAAACAATTCGTAGCTCCTGCAGCTCTGCAAGCTGTCTGCGAATTTTATCAAAGCCGACCTCTTCGACGACCTTGCCGCTGATTTCAATGGCTTGATGGGGGCTAGACTTCCCAACCGGCTTGGAGGCCCAAACTAGCTCCGACTCATCTTCAGATGCATACTTGGCACGCAACGCTTCCACGAAGCTGAGCGGCGGATATGATGGTCTGGATGGGCGGACGAAAGACCCCGCCGTGGGGTGGTTACTCTTGCCTGGGAACTGCGTCAGTACATCATGTTAAGGATATGATGAGATGGGACATATGTATACATGTAAAATATCGGATCCCCTTATGCTCTCCTGAATGCTTGCCTCTCGTGGGGTCGTCCCATTCAACACCAAGCCAGTCACCTGTTGTGCCCTCGACAGTTCCCACATAGCGAATGGTGCATAGTTGACTGCTGTAGGACCGGCGCTGGCCTACAAGAGATTTACTCATTGCTTTTGCTGGATATTGAATTTCCAGCTCGTTCTTGTCGTGGGAATATCAACTTGTGTACTTCAGAAACCACAAACTCCCGCGTTGCTTACATAACCACCACCTATCTGAAGCCCGCAGATTTGCCTTCTCCAACCTCCTCAGCGACAACGACAAGATGGATTACCAGGTACGTTTAAACTCTGCTTTCCTTCAAAAATGTCTATATTCTACCTGCTAGAATCCATTCTGACTTGTACTAGAACCGAGCAGGCTCCAAATTCGGCGGCGGAGGCGTCGCCTCTCACTCCGCAACCAACGCCGACCGCCGCGAGCGCCTGCGCAAGCTCGCGCTAGAGTCAATCGACCTCGACAAAGACCCCTACTTCTTCAAAAACCACGTCGGCAGCTTCGAGTGCCGTCTCTGTCTCACAGTCCACCAAAATGACGGTTCCTACTTGGCCCACACGCAGGGCAAAAAGCACCAAACGAACCTCGCCCGCCGCGCTGCCCGCGAACAGCGCGAAGGCAAAAACCAAGATCCATCCTCGCTCCCAGGAGCGATGGGCGTGCAGGTCAAGAAGCAGATGATTAAGATCGGTCGTCCTGGTTACAAGATTACGAAGGTTCGGGATCCGTTGACGCGCCAGATGGGTCTGCTCTTCCAGTTGCAGTTCCAGGAGATTACGCCCGGTGTTGTCCCGCGCGTGCGGTTTATGTCGGCGTTTGAGCAGAAGGTTGAAGATCCGGATAAGAACTTCCAGTATTTGGTTGTTGCGGCTGAGCCGTATCAGACCTGCAGTTTCAAGCTTCAGGCCAAGGAGATTGATCGTCGGGAAGGGAGGTATTGGAACTGGTTTGACGAGGATAGCAAGGAGTTTTGGGTCCAGATCATGTTCAAGACTGAGCGTGAGGAGCGGTTCAGTGGTGTGCCTGGTCTTGCGCCTATGCGGACTTGAGATCGGTTTTACCTCTACTGGCACTCGGATAATTTGGTTCTTAATCTTTCTTCGCGACAAAAGGTGATGGCTCTGTCAATGTTAGGGTCGGAGCTTCGGCGTTAGGGGCATGGTCTATGTATATCCTTTTATTTCTACGAAACCCAAGCGATGGCTTTTTGCTCATAGAATGGAATGAGACGTTGGTGTTTGCACACCACAGGTCTGTTCGCTTCCTTCGATCTACGCTGAATGTGTAAAGCTTAAGTCTAGGCACACCATCCATGGTCAGATGGACATAAAAACCATCTAAAAAAAAGTTGAGAAGATGCCGTTTCAACCCAGCGCTATACCTATGATCTTGGGACGATCACGATCTATATCCATGCATGCCATAACATATGATCCTTTTTCTTTTTGAAAACTAAGAATATGCAAATCACAACCTGAAATGCAGGAAATATCTGGTCCCCGGCTGACCCCTTTCCTCGCACCAGACAACATGAGGGTATGCATCGCACTAGAAATAGCCCTGCAGGGCTCTAGATATCATCGACTGAAACTAAAAGACGGCGCTCGGGGTCATGATTCGGAAAACATCGCGCTTGATATGCTGATTGACGATTCGTGGCGAAGAGATGAAAACATTCCAAGCCTCAACCGGGCCCGGGCATTCGCTGGAAAGAATACAAGTGTGCAAGCCCCGCTGCTTCTCTCAGTCTTTCAATGTCGAATGCTCACCGGCTGAGAATTCTCGAAGGCTGACAGGCGGCATTTAGCTACTCTGGAAGGCGTTGAAAGCCTTGTAGGTATAGCCGATGAAGGGCAAGCTCATCTCGGCCTCCTGAGAGTCTGGCATGGCCCGAGCCTGGGCACGGTGAATGGCGCTGGTATCCTCCTGAGGGATCTCGTCAATCGGGAAGTACGACACGTCAATGTTCGAGCTTAGTCTGGGTTCGAAGGGCGCACGGATGCTGCGCAGCTGGTCCCACACCACACCTCGGAAGAATGGGTGGTTCTTGATTTGCGTTGCACCACCATGTTGACCACCCTCGCTACCGATACGGTGCTCGGGGTCGCACAAGAAGCTAGAATTACGGTCAGCATTCAGGCCATCCCCGCGTCAGGTACGGATAAAACTTACCTTCGAATCAACGACTCGGACTCACGGGAGAGAACCAGCTCATCAGGGAAGTAAAGACACTCACGCCAATTCACTATCTTGCGGTAAGTGTCGGTAGTATCCTCCGCGCAGAATGGAGGCCAGCCAACGAGACACTCGAACATAATGGCACCCACAGACCACCAATCGCACAGATAGGTGTAACCTTGACCATTGAAAATCTCGGGCGCAATGTAGTCGGGCGTTCCGACGGTCGAGTACGCCATCGCGCGACGAGACTTTCGCCAGGTGTTGATCTGGCCACGGTTCGACACAGTCAAGTTGATGGCATCATTGAAGTAACCGGAGTTGCGGTTCCGGTCCTTTGACGTTGAGTTCTTGAGCAGGTTCTGATAATACGCGTTGTCGTGAGTCTTCTTGCCACCGGTTGAAAGACCGAAGTCAGTAAGCTTGACATGACCGCCACGGTCAAGAAGGATGTTGTCTGGTTTGATGTCACTACCAAGAATGTCAGTAATAGATTCAGGACACGCACACAAGGATATGCGAGGAGATGAAATTCACATACCGATGAAGGAAGCCAAGCTTGTGAACGGCCTCGATAGCCATGACCACCTCAGCCATGTAGAAACGAGTGATGTCCTCGGAGAAAATTTCGTACTTGATGAGCATAGTCATCAGATCACCACCAGGCAAGAACTCCATAAGCAAGTAAAGGTAGGCCGCATCCTGGAAGGAGGCGTGCAGCTTCACCAGCCAGGGGTTATCCTTCGAGTCTGCCAGAATATCACGCTCCGCACGAACGTGTGCCAGCTGGTCCTTCTTGAACATCTCCGACTTGATAAGGGACTTGAGAGCGTAGATCTTGCCGTCCGTCTTGCGCTGCACCAACTTCACCTCACCGAATGCACCTTTGCCAATAATCTTAATGGTCTGGAAGTTCTGAGGGGTTTCCTTGGTACGAAGGAATCGAAGGAAGTCGGATTCTCTCTTGGAAATACTTTCGGCCTCTTGGCGCTTCTTGGTGGAAGGAATGTTCGCGTCTTGGAGAGTTTTGTCAAGGTCGACGGAGCTGGTAGGTAAGGTAAACGGTATTAGAAAAAGTCCTAGTGCGAGACATTCGTGAGAATCCGTAGAAAGTAAATGCTTACCGCATGTTGCGATCCCGAGCCCGTTCGATATTCTCGTGGAAGAAGACCGTAACCAGTTCCTTTGCGGCCTTGCCACGCTTGTGCACATTCTCCGAGTAGCGATCTGGGAGTCGCTGCAGCTCCTCATTCTCGGCCGGCGGGCGCGGGCTGCGAGGCACTGGAGGGGCCAAGTGCGCGGCCTGCGCCTGGCCAGCGGGAGACCCTCCAGCAGTCCGAGGGCGAGAAGCGGGGGAGGCCGCTCGGTTGAAGAAGCCCCCACGGTTGGCGTTGAGATCCTGGTTGGAGAACTGCTGGATCAAGCCGTTCGTACCATCGTTGGCGTAGCCCACGCGGGTCTGGTAGGCGGGCTGGGGCGATTGCAGGGCCTGCTGCTGGACATACTGCTGTTGTTGTTGCTGCTGCGCATACTGGGCCTGCGCGGGGTACGGAGGGTTGGCCATGAAGTATCCGGGTGCGTAGGCGGGATTGGAGGGGTCAACATAGTCCTGGGCCCCCTGAGTCTGGTAGATGGGTTGAGGGAAGGCGGAGGGAGTGGTGGGATAGGCGCGGTTGTTGGCCGCGTTGTAGTTGCGGTCATTGTACCCGTAGTTCATGTTGATGCGGTTGTTGTTATTGTTGGGATCCATCCTGACGACTGCCCCTACTCCCTGGGGTATGAATCAGGGAGAAATTCAAGCGAAGGGAGGGCAAGAGGAGTTGGTGGGAAAAGAGAAGGTGGATGGGGGAAAGGAGAAGGCGGGGAGGTGGTTTGAAAGAAGCGGTGGCTCAGGAGGCAATCCACTTTCCCCCAAAATGGCCAAAATGCCCAGGGGGCCTCGATCGGTTTCGGGTCTGTTTACACGACACGGGTACGGCGGACTATAGGGAGCAACTTCCCTAGAATTACGGAGTATAATTTTCTGCTAAGTGCATTCACCGCATCTTCTGAGAATTTTAAAGTGAGATCGTAGAAAATGGTGGGTTGCATCGTATAGCCCTAGCTACTGTGACCCTCGCCGTATAGGAGGGGGAGGCAAATAGGGTGGAGGATAGGAAGAAGGCGATGATTCTGATCTTCGCTTTTTATTAGGATTCATTCAATCCAATTCGCAATTAAGCGAAAGCCAGCGGATTAGCGAGGAAGTTGGCCCTAAGTTTCGCCATGAGATTCGGTCAAGAAATGATTTAGTCTTGCCATAAAACTCTCAAAACCTGGCATATTGTAGGATTATTATGCCCGAATCAAAATTCTGCCAGTCAAAAGATAGCTAACCTACCAAGTAGGCCGTGGGTTTTGGGTTGGGAGTATGAACCCGGACATTCGTTTATTGGTCTTGTCTCCTACAACGATTCATAGCAGGCTGTAAAATAATACCGCGATCAAGATCCCATGGGTCAATCTTTGATTCTCATACCTTACTCTTGTTTGAAGGTATCAATCTCTCGTGAGATCAAAAGCCGAGCTCCCGCACCATATACTTCTCCGTCACGTGATGCGGATCAACCTGGCGCCGCTTGACTTTTTTCCGAACTCTCGCCGCAACACTCGCGCTCGCTGCGTCCATCTCAAGTCACAATGGCCGATTCCTCCAATTCAGGCGCTGCTGCTGGCACCGCTGGTACCGGCCAGCCCAAGGCGGCTCCAAGGCCACCCAACCCGGTGTTCAAGATGATGGGTATGTCTCTCTAGCCTCAATCTCCGCGATCAATTCCGGATCCAAGACTAATGCAATGCGATGCAATAGGTATGCCGAATATTCGCTTCAAGCTGCCCTCTCGCAACTGGATGATCTTCTTCACCATCACCGGTTCCTTTGCCGGCGCTATAATCTACGACCGTCGGGAGAAGCGCCGCTCACAACAGAAATGGTCTGAACTCGTGGCTCATATCGCAAATGAGCCGCTGGGCGTGGATCAGATGCGCCGCAAGTTGACCGTTTACCTGGCTGCACCGCCGGGCGATGGTCTCCGTGTGGCGAGGGATCATTTCAAGGAATACGTTAAGCCTATTCTGACCGCCGCGGCGTTGGATTACACTGTCATTGAAGGACGCCGCGAGGGAGATGTCCGTGCTAGCACTGCAGAGAGCATTCGGAAATTGAGGCGGAAGGCTGGCGAGCAGAGCTCGGTCATTGAAGAGCCCAATGTCGAGTCGGCTGTTTTGGATATGCGCGAGCGCATGGGTATTCGGGATGAGCCCGGTCCCAAAGGTGACCTGGTGATTGGACGGCATACCTGGAAGGAATATATTCGGGGCTTGCACGAAGGTTGGCTGGGCCCATTGAGCCCTCCACCCCCACCCGTTGCAGATGTGCCGTACATTGAACCGGCCGATGAGGTCATGAACGACACCGCAGCTGGTGACAAGCCGTCCGATGAGACCCAAGCTAGCCCCGAGCAGAAGCCCGAGGAGAAGAAGGAAGAAAAGCCCTCGAAGCCTGCTGGTCCTGAAGATGCATACATTTCCCCTGCCGACTACCCCTCCGCCCACCTCCCCTCCTCCCTCCCCCAGTCCTTCGACGGCTCCGTTCCTATTGAATTCCCCCACATCCTCGGCTTCTTTAATACCCCGATCCGCATGTACCGCTACCTCACCCAACGACACCTTGCCGAGAACATTGGCCGCCAGGTCGCAGCACTCGTCCTCGCCGCCGACGCCAGGCCCTACCGCGACGAGTCCTTCAGCTCCGACTCCGAAGTAAGCGGGGCAACCGTCGACGGCACTTTCACCGACGTTACACAAGGCACCCTCGAGCAGCAAACGGTTCTCGATTTCGAAGAAAAGGAGTGGCATAAATCCGTGCACAAGCGCGATGAGGAACACCCAGAAAAAGAACGTGAGTGGCTGGATGACATTGTGCTTGATCAACGCATTGCCTCGCGCATGCAGCGCGCTACCCTCTCTCCAGAAGACGAGGCTCGCTCTCAGCGCATTGCCTCGCAGGAAGAATATATCCTCGGCCAGGAACGGCCACCTTCCGTCGCTTTTTGGCAGCGTATGTGGATTAAGTACGGCTACGGCGAAGACGAGGAGACTCTGAGGAAAAAGCCTATTCTTCCTGTTGTTGATGACGAGGATAGCGCGTAAGGACTGCATTTTCGATCAAGAGGATATTCTATGTCATAGAAGCGTGTGGATGTTTCTGATGCCTCTGCTGTGGGCCTGTCATTTGTTTCTTATAATTTGCATAACCATCTCCCTCTTCGGCTTGTATATTAGTATTAGAGGCGCAACTGATTTTTCAATGAGATGTTCAAAAATTACAATCTTGACGAAGTTTTGATCTCCTGTGGTTCTGGTTGGATATCTGGCTGACTTGGTGTTAATATATACCTAGTCCCGGGTCACAAACCTTGGAAGGTTGTTTTTTAACAGAAGCTAGGTAGATTGATACGAGACGAACAACCTTATGACTGGCACTTGTTCAGTGGGTGTGATTTGATTTGTGTATTTTTTTTGGATGACAGACGTCAACAAATATTATCGACCAGGGCTTTCTCTATTTTCACCCCCTACATCAGATCAGACCTCCCATGAACACACTATCTACCACGAGGAAATAGCAGGTCGGGAGTTGCAACCTGGCGTTGAGACCAATAAGTACTGAATTGCGATCATCATGGGTATAAGAGATCAATAAGTCACTTTTCCGATCACTCGATACCCCTAGTTCTGCTGGAACACAGAAGACTCTGGCCACTTCTTGTTTGCCTTCTCGACGTAGGCAGTGGTCTCGCTGCCCCACTTGTTCAGTAGGTCGATGGCAGCAGAGGCTTCATCAATGGTGATCTTGGGCATGTCGAGAGTGGCCAGAAGATCCTTTTCACACTGGGCCTTGGAGTCGGGGCTCAGAAGTTGACGAGCAGAAAGGGCGGCATGCACGTGGGTGATGCTGTCCTTGTTGGCGGCAAGGAAAGACTCGTTCCACTCCTCAAGCTTCTGGGCCTTTGGGAGCATCTTCTCAAACTCGGCGTTGACAACTTCGGCAATCGGAGCGGGAAGAGGCTCAGAAAGTCCGTCGAGAGCCTTGCGGAATTGAAGAAGCTGGACGTGGAGAGTAGGGTTGGAAGAGTCGATGGCATGTGCGGCCGATAGGCACTTCAGAGCCAGCAGATGCTTGTCTGTTGCGGGACAAAGTCAGTTGTCAGGTTCTGGCATTGGCTCTGAATATAACTTACTCCTCCTAATGTAAACCTCGAAGCCAAGGCATTGGGCCTCGATATTTTGAGGGCTGAGAGACAGCAGTGGGGTCAAAAATTTCATCGCATCGTTCAGGGGGTCCTTTGTCTGGACCAGTTTGTTACCAAGAGGGTCGGTATCCTCCTTCTTGACCTCTCCATCGGCACTCTTAGCATTAGCAGCAGCCGCCTTGCGGGCTTCACGCTTGTCGGCCTCGATCTTCTCCAGACGCTGTTGCTCCTTCTTCGCCTTCTTAAGGGCCTTCTTTCGCTCAGCTTCATCCTGAATACCGCCGTTGGCTCCAAGACCCATCGGGCCATGAGCGAGATCCGGCTGGTCGTGGAGGAGCACGTACGCCTTGACGGCAGAGAGGGCCATCCGGGTGTAGAATGGGTGCTCGCGCAGGCGGTCCTCCCAACGGACCATATCAACGTACGCCCGAATCATACCCTTCCGAAGGGAGAAGCTGTGGAAGTCGAACTGGTCTTCTTGCCAGGTGTCAACAATATTGTAGACGCCGTGGAAGCGCTTGAGGGCGAGGGCGAGCTTCTTCTGTCGCAAGTACGCCTCGCCGTCTTCTGTCAAAAACCATGTGCACTGCATCTCGTGTAGGTCGCCCATCGCCCCGCCAACAGTCTCGTTGCGGGTGAACTTGCTCATGTTATCCAATGCCTTGTCGTTCTCGTTGTTGCGGAGCTGGTACTTCGCAGCTTTGGAGTTGATGTATCGATCCTTCTCATCCAGCAGACGGGCCTTCTCCATCTCTTCCGCCGCCTTCACAGTGTTGCCGTAGTGCTTCCAGATGCGAGCCTTAGTCATCTGGTATTCTACAGCCTTGGGTGACATTTCAATAGCCTTTTCCACGTTCTCCATGGCCTTGGAGAGGTCACGACTAAGATGGTAGTTGTAATGCTGGGCCAGGAAGTAGTGGGATGAAGCCAGGAACTCGTCCTTGCCCTCAGCTGAGCCGTTCTGCTGCGAGGCCGACTTGCCAGAGACGTATCCTTCAACCAATTCCTGAACTGCGTCCCGCTTGGCGGGATTCGTGTATAGGATCTTGATGTTCGCGAACAGAGACGGAACACCCTTCTTGAGCATACGCTGCAAATAAGCATCCGCAGCCTGCTTGAAGTCCTCTCCCTCCAAGAAATCCAAAGGGATGCGGCGTGCCGCATCGCCACGCGGGTACTTCTCCACCCACTCATCGTACAATGACTTCAGTGCCTTGTGGTCATTCTCTGAGATCTCCTTCGCCTGAATAAGACCATTGTAGTAGACCGAGTTCTCTGGGTTGCGGTCCAGGAGAGCGGCATATGCCTCCTCCGCCTCCGCCTTGCGGCCCAATCGAAGTAGATAGTCCGCCTTCATCTCCATGACAGCAAGAACGTCGGTACACCGATATCCAACCTTCTCAAGGTGCTCGAGAGCTCTCTCCAGGTTCCCTGTCTCGGCAATAATTGTGTTCTTGTACAGACAGGCCTCCGAGTGTTCCATATCCGAGACGGGCGGGGTGATCTTCAGAGTGTCCTCGTACGTCGTAAGGACCTTCTCAGCCTCCTCCAAATCACCTGACAGATGGTGGGCAATCGCCAAAGCAGTCCAGTTCTGGCGGAAACCCGGGCGCGCCTGGAGCATCGCACTGCGGCTCTGAATGTATCCCTGGAAATCTCGCATTTGCATTTGAAGAAGGGCGAGATCACGTTGGATGGGCTGAGACTCGGGCTCCAATCGCAGAGCAAAGCGGTAGGCCTTGATTGCCTCCTCGTAGTTCTTCTCCTGACGGTATAGCAATCCGTACACGTGCCAGCAGATGTGCGACTTCATGTCATTGCGCAGAGCCTCCTTGGCCAGCACAAAGGCCTCCTCCAGCTGACCCAGATGGCTCATGATGAGAGCCTTCATCGCTTGCGTATCACCATGGTTGGGGTTCTTGCGAAGAACCTGGTCTGCCGTCTTGATGCCTGTCGCGATGAAAACGCAGTTAGCTTACGCATGGAGCCATTGGAGGGGAAGGAGGGGGTATGGACCTTTCTTGTATTGCTTCTGCTCGAAGTTGCGGACCACTTGCCGGAACAAGGCATGGTCCTTGGAGCTCAATGGTTGCGGCATGGTGGGCGACGCTGCTGGGGGAGAAAGGATTGACTTGTGCGAGGGAGGAATCGATGTGTGCGGGGAGCGGCTTCTCCGAGTCCGAACTTGGCAGAGCGCCTGGGCCGATAAGATAGGCCCCGATGAGAGTGCAATCCCGGCGACGTCAACATGTCTTGCGTAGAGTGGTAGTAGGATTGAATTTTCATATTTCAAATTTTTTTTTTTTTTTTTCAATTTGTATTTCTCTCCAGATTCTGTGGGTATGTCCTTTTTGTGTACTAGGGTGTGATTTGTGAGCGTAGGCATTCAATGCAACCAGCAAGAGCAGAGCGTGCAGTGTAACCAAGGGCTGTGCGATGGGTTGTACATCTTTCTCATGAGTGCATGTACACCTAATCTATACTCCCTACCTCTACAGAAGACAAGGCAAGTGATAGGGTCAGACACTTGAACAAATACTTAAAATGGGGTGATCTTCATGAATCGAAATGGTCATAGACATTCAACACAACGCTTTATATATGCAGTAATGTACATTTTGTAATTTGTCCACCCCAACGCCAGGGTAGCGCAAGAAGGGTTAAGAGTCGAGAGAGTCAAATTAGCAATCAGTCCACACATGCATGCACATATGCCCGCATGGATGCGCCATGGGCTGTTCACCCCGAGATATCCCTCGCAAGAAGGAAGTCCTTATCGCTGATGAGTCTGTCGCCAGGCGTTCAAGGCTTCCTCCCATGAAGACGAAGAGCCGGCACACCTCTCAGTCACCATGCCCCATGTCCGAGCTCGGATGATCTCCTCCACGGTACGTTGATTACGAACCAAGTTTGCTAGTGACTCAGTTCGAGCCTCGCGAGGGAAGAAGCGTGCCGAGTATGGATCCAGCCGCTCATTGACAACTCGTTCACGATCTCGGGCGGATTCTGTCTCGCGCAGGATCAGATCTGGGTCCTCGGGATCGGGGCTGGTTGCAACTCCGGCACAGTAATTGAGGACATCTGATCGAGTCTGCCATGACGGGAATAGCACATTATCTTTGAAGCCTTGGCAAGCAGAAGGGTCAATCGCTTTTCGAGCTCTTGAATCGGTCTGTCGCACGGCAGTCGAGGATGGATCAAATCCCTCGCGAGAGGGAGTTACTAGCGCATTTAAATTCTGTGTGATTGAGTCGTCAATAGTAGAGCGGGACAGGCGAAGGAAGTCTGCGCCAGCGTGGAATTAGCTTTGGCTGATGATTGTGAAGATAGTACGACCGATCAACATACCACGGAGAAGCCTTTCATCGAAGCAGAACTGAGGAGTCAGCACCGGGGCCTCCGTAGATGAAGGCTGTGACATCTTTTGGCTGACTTTCTCCCCAGAGCCAGGATCCGTCTTGCTAGCCCAGAACCAATCCAGCTTGAGTGGAGACCTAGTCGAGCGGTGGCAATGGCAGACGATGCTCTCAGATAGAGAGGGGAGAATGATACGGCGGAACGGGTTGACTATGCGCCAGGTAGACTGTATATAAGTAGGTCAGACTGGAATATCAAGAAGTCCGAACAATTCCAGATATTAGTGAAGATGGCGACCTCTGGCCAGGTTCGCCGCATGAGCGAATGTTCGTCCCCATTCGGACTAGCGCTGATAGAGCTGAATAATGCCCATTAAGCCACCGAGGTCGGTCATGTGATCTCGTGTCGCGCGTCCTGATTCTCGTGTCAAGCTGATGACCGTTGGCTGTCGCAGCTACGGTACACCTTGCCTTGATTGTTTATACTTTTTGTAAATTCATCACCTCATCTACCCCAAAGTCAATATGCCCGAGCTGGCAGAGGTTGCGCGCATTGTGCATTTCATTCGGCAGCACCTTGTCGGAAAGACGCTGTCCAAGGTGCAGGCGCAGCATGATGATCTCGTTTACGGCAAAGTTGGGACCAGTGCAGCCGAATTTCAAAAGGCAATGCAAGGGAAAAAGATTGTCGGTGCTGGTCAACAAGGAAAATACTTCTGGATCACAATGTCTTCGCCGCCGCACGCTGTGATGCATTTTGGAATGGCTGGCTGGCTGAAAATCAAGGATGCCGACACATACTACTACCGGTCAGACAAGCCTGCCGATAAGGAGTGGCCGCCAAAGTACGCGAAGTTCATTCTGGAGACAAGCGAAGATCCAAAGACAGAAGCCGCCTTTGTGGATGCGCGCCGGCTGGGTCGTATTCGCCTGGTGGATTGCCCTGGAGATGAGATTCGCAAACACACCCCTCTCAAGGAGAATGGGCCTGATCCTGTCGTGGATACGGATATTGTGAATGAAGCATGGCTGATGGAGAAGTTGAAGAGCAAAAGGGTTCCCATCAAGGCTCTTTTGCTTGACCAAGCAAATATCAGTGGAATTGGAAATTGGATGGGGTATGGTATATGTCACCCACGAATGCACACAAGCAAATCACTGATTTCCTGATTCTAGCGACGAAATTCTATATCATGCCAAGATTCACCCTGAGCAGTATAGCAACACCCTGAACGACGACCAAATCAAGGAACTCAACAAACAAATCCATTATGTCTGTTCTACGGCCCTGGATGTTCTTGCAGACTCGGAGAAGTTCCCTGAGCACTGGCTCTTCAAGCATCGATGGGGCAAGGGAAAGAAGAATCATCCGACCACGTTGCCCAATGGAGACAAGATCACTTTCATCACTGTCGGCGGCAGAACAAGCGCCGTCGTACCAGCAGTCCAAAAGAAGACTGGTGCTGTGGCGAAAGAGATTGACGAAGATGACACTCCAGCAAGTTCAAAGCGAAAGCGGGCTGTCAAACAAGAGGACGGTTCTGATATCGAAGAAAAGCCAGAACCGAAAAGGGTTGAGTCAAAGAAGAAGAGAAAGTCTGCTGTCAAGGAGGAGGAAGAGGAGGAGGCGAAGAAAGAAGTGAAGCCAGCTGATACTACTCTTGGCCGGCGTCGCTCTACAAGGGCAAGAAAATAGGGCACTTATGTGAACATAGCTTAAAAATTGTAGCAAATAGTGTGACTGTTTGATATTGGGCGAGAGTTTGTCTAGCCTATTGGACAGGCCATTCCTAAGGCAATTAAGTTGAAATATTCAATGTAGCAACCTCTACCGGAAAACTCCGCGAACAATGAAGTCACTATGTACCTAAAAGCCACCTTAAGACAGATGTCTGTGTCTATCTATTACGGGACTACTAAGTACTGTGGGAGGACACAAAACTTGAAGAAACTTTCATAATAAGCGAAGAATGATTTGTCAAATTGTGATTCAGTGAAGTAGATTCGAGGGAACAGAGCCCATTGCGGCTGCATCTGCCACAGTAGAGGGTTCTTGTGCGAGATCTTGAGCACTATCAAAAGACTTGACTAAAATTGAGAAAGGAAAACCGATCAAATCGGAAATACGTAAGAAGACCTATCCCACGAGGTCAGTAGATCTCGGATAAGGGCGAATGCCACGCAGATTCCGGTCACATCTTGAGATCGTGCAGGGCCTTCATGAACGTCAAAAAATTATCGCCGTCCTTCTTGTCGAGAACTGCAAACACGATGAATTCAAACCATCCTTTGAATTCCTTCTCCTGGAGTACTTTCACCCAGCAGTCTGCAACTTCACCAGGGGGGTGATGGAAGGCCCCACATCCCAAATCTCCAAGCACAAGTTTTGTATGAAGATGATCAGCTGCAATACGGAGGATACTGCGCATTTTGTCTTCCATTAGGGTCCGCTCACTAGGATTCTTGTACTTCGTTCCAGTTGAATCCAAGGGCGGGCCTTGCGTAGCTGCCACGCTGATGACACTTGTCAATGGGAGAAGCTCTGGCTTCCCCAACCACATCCACGAGTATCCTTTCTGCTCATTTTCGCGCATGATCAAGCAGTTGCTGGTATAGATACCCTCGTCGGATCGCATGGGGTAGAAATCAGGCGAGAGACCATGATAACTTAAAGTAGTTCGGTAGCAAATCTGTTCTTCCTGGGCGCTGGCACCATTCAGCCAGCCTCCTCCTGGGACTGAAGCATTTGCAAAGTTGAGCACGAGTGAACGCATCTTGCTCTTGATTCCCATCATATCAGCTGCATTGTCGAGAGCAATTGCGGCGTCTAGAGTGTCTTTGTTGACGACTTTGACCTGAGTAGTGGGATATTTCGGGTAACGGGAAGAACTCTTGAGAACGGAGTCGAGACTTTTGATCTTCTGGTGACGGAATTTGTAACCGAGCCCGAAGCTTCCCGTGAGATTTCCCAAGAGTTCTTGGGACACTTTAAAGGTATCCCTGGCGGCCTGCACCCGAATCGCAGTTTTCTGCGCATGCGTCAAAGTTGGAAGTGGCGTCTTTGCTCGAGGGTATCTCCATGTCTTGGGTATGGCCTCTCGTCCCGACTGTTGCTGTTGGTCGGCCGGTCTTTGCCGAGACTCTTGCATGGCTGAATGATGATTAGCTGGTCGAAAAGGAAGAGTAAGAGGTGAAGTCTCAGGTTTTGACTCTAGGACCGAGAGCTCTGAATCAGTTATGCTCTCGGTGTCTGCCTTTGAAGAGTCTGGGTTTTGCAAGTTGACTTTCGTGTCAACGGGAAGCAGATCGTCATGATTTTGAGTCGACGACTCCATCTTGCCGGAAAGGACTCGCTTTGGAATCTGAGTCAGAGCTAGACGAAACCTGGTTAGCTTTCAAATAGACTTCAGTTAGTGAAAGGGAATTTTCAAATGGATTGGGTGATGGGGAAGAGAATAGAGGGAAGAGTAATAAATGAAAGACAAAGGGTCCTTTGAGCAGTAGTTCGCAGGCAGCCAATGACGATGCTCAGGCAGCGCCCGCAGGCGGTGAGCCCTCGGAGAAGCTTATCAGTTGCGGGCGCCGATGTCGCCACAGATGACAAAGCCCGCAACGCCCGTTGGTTGTCTTTCTTTGACTAAATCATTACTTACCGGGGCCTGGGTTTGTATTTCTTTGAACGAATCCCTGCTACTGCGGTTTCAGTGGCGCCGTCCCTTTGACTCGATACAAAGGACGCTTTCACAGCTTTCACCTTTCACTTCAAAGGATCTTGGCTTTCCTCTTCTAAGCGGGGTTCTTTTGCCCGAAGCGGCATCCGCCACCATGAGCGCGATCCTCTCGGCAGACGACTTGAACGATTTCATTTCGCCTGGAGTCGCGTGCATCAAACCCGTTGAATCCCTTCCTCAGAAGAATACAAAGGACTCGGAGGTTAGTAGGGCTTTCCTTCTGTTGAATGACCGTGGGCCCTCATTTGCTGACTTTAATGATAGAATCCTTATGAAGTGACGACGGAAGACAAAGTCCAGCCCGAAAACCTACCCCCAGCTCAGATTTCTTTGACAGATTGTCTTGCCTGTTCGGGCTGTGTGACCTCGGCCGAGGCGGTTTTGATCTCTTTGCAATCCCACGCAGAGGTCCTCAACACTCTCGATGCCTATCCAGAAATTCCATTGGCGCAAGAGCAGCATGGGACCACGCTCGCAGATACAGAAAACTCAGGGGAAGGCAAGATATTCATTGCCAGTGTCAGCCCGCAGGTCAGAGCTGGGTTGGCTGCCACTTATGGTCTGTCGGAGAAGGAAGCGGGGTATATGATTGACCAGTTCCTACGTGGCCCGCAGGGATTACGCAGTGGTGGAAAGCATGGCAGTGGCTTTACATGGGTTGTTGACACAAATGTCATGCGGGAGGCCGTCTTGGTCCTCACTGCCGATGAAGTTTCAGAGTCGATCGCCGAGGGGGCTCCCGCAGCCGATCAGCCTGAACTTGCTCTTCCCAAACGGCCCATCTTGTCATCTGCTTGCCCCGGGTGGATCTGCTACGCGGAAAAGACGCATCCATTTGTCCTTCCTCATTTGTCTCGATTGAAGTCTCCACAGGCTCTTTCAGGCACCTTTCTCAAGTCTGTTCTGAGCAAATCGCTCGGAGTTTCACCATCTCGCATCTGGCATTTGGCGATCATGCCATGTTTTGATAAGAAGCTGGAGGCCAGCCGTGAAGAATTGACTGATGTGTCTTGGCAGCCTGCCAATGCCCAGAACGGGTCTGAAGTGCACCAGCCTGTTCGAGATGTGGATTGTGTGATAACGACCCGCGAGCTTCTATCTCTTGCTGCATCTCGGGGTCTGTTCCTGCCCAGCCTACCTCTCCGTCCACTATCTCACATTCACACTCCCCCATTACCGGTGAAGGCTCTCGATTCCTTCATTTCGTCCAAGACATCTTCCGCCGATCAGTCTCTCGAAACCGGAACTTCTGGAGGCTATCTCTACCATGTTCTCAAGACTTTCCAAGCTCGGAACCCTGGCAGCGAAATCTTGGCGAACCGGGGCCGTAATGCGGATGTTGTCGAATATGTCCTCAACTCACAGGACGGACAACCTATTTTGAAAGCAGCTCGTTACTATGGCTTCCGAAACATTCAAAATTTGGTCCGGAAATTGAAGCCCGCCCGGTCATCTCGAATGCCGGGAGCAAAGCTTGTGCAAGCGGGACGGCGTCAACCTGTGTCTCGCAATGCTATGTCGGGTGGATCGGGCCCGGATTATGCATATGTCGAGGTGATGGCTTGCCCAGGTGGCTGCACTAATGGTGGCGGACAGATGCGGGTGGAGGATGCCCGGGAGGCTGCTGGACAGACTCCAGTTGGGACACTGGAAGATGGCGTGGCGTCCAAGCCATCTCCTCACGAGCAACGAGCCTGGCTTGCTCGGGTGGACGAGGCATACTTCTCTATGGAATCCGATACCGAGTCTGATTCAACCGATGAGCCCCATAAACTTTCGATGAGTGAAAAAGATGCTCGGGTCCACGAGGCCTTGCGTTGCTGGTCAGATTACATGGGTACACCCCTTTCAAAGCTGGTCTACACGACCTATCGCAAAGTGGAGAGCGACGTCGGTAAAGACCAGACCTCTGCCAACGATACCACCAAAGTGGTTGAGCTTGCTGGTAAAATTGGTGGCGGGTGGTAGATACTCTCTTATTTCTTTACTTTGTTGTACATTGGGGGCATGGCGTTGGTACCTTGATCTACTTGACTGCATATGGGATATACCAGCTTTTCATTCATGGTTTGCGGGGTTTATGGCAACATCCAGTTAAATTTCGCATATTTATATCATAGAACTATGCGCATGAAATGCATCTACAATCTTCTTATCTCCGAAAAATGATTACTGTACAACCGCAGTGGAAGCTAGGATACATAGAACGTGTATAGTTCGACCTTAGTATTGAGATTTTCCTTTGAGCATCTGACCTCGGATAGCATTCTGTCTCCATCTGCTGATAGCTCGAGTATCGCTCTTTGGCTCATATTCTAGCCTTTTATTTTTGAGAATATTAGCAGGAGTCCAGATGTGGTGGACTGGTGAGCACTACCGCGGGCCTGCCCGTCAGGAGGCACGGAAAAGCTGACTCATCCACGATCTTGCAGCCTTGATCTTGAGGCCAACATCCTTTAGTTAACTATCATCCGCTTAGATAATCACCTAAAATCCCGCGGCGAAAGAAAAAGAATCTCGCCGACTCCAACTACAGTATCGTCATCACCCTCGATCGCTTTCCACCTGACACTTGTTGCCCGTTCAACAAGGAAACCGCTTCTACCGCAATTTCCCACTCAACAACCTCTCAGCCATGTCTCGTGAAGCTTACCAGGTCCCCTCCATGGGCGGCCAGAACGCCTTTGCTGAGGGCGCCAGCGGTATGACCGTCGACAGCCCCGCGGTCGTCTACATCTGCGGTCACTGCGCGTCGCGCGTGTCTCTCCGACGCAGTGAGCACATTCGATGCAAGGAGTGCGGTCACCGTGTGCTGTACAAGGAGCGCACTAAGCGGTAAGATGCATCGTACCAGCCTTCCTAGGCGATCCTTATTCTAGGGTACTTGGACTGACTCGATATTCTTCTCATCAACAGCATGGTCCAGTTCGAGGCCCGTTAAATATGCGCCGATCCGGTGAAATAATCGTCTATGTCTGTGTGATGTCCTAGACGCTGTGGAGTTTGATGGACGGGGCTCGAGTTATCCTTTGATTCTTTTTTTTTCTTCGACTTTTGGCACGATGCATCGAATGGCGCTTTGGAGTTGCAAATACACAACTAGTTTTCATGAAATGCATGAGACTTTGGGCCTGTGGCTAGGCTCATCTAGCTACAGCGAATAAAATATGATCCACGGATTTTATTTAATTTGATCTTTTTTTACATTCATGTCGGCAAACAGGTCCTTAAACCCAGACCTTAATCCCAATTAACTCAAACAGATTGAATCCGAAATCCATTTGTGAGCTCTGGATCACCTGGACGACATGACAAATACCGGTCAAACTTGACCTAGGATTCCCAGACAGATGACTAGTGATACAATCATTCCAAATTCCACGACATCAACATTCTATACCTTGGAAACTGGTTCATTTCCGACAAGCTCATTCATTCAAGCTGGTTCGTGACTTCAATGAACTGCTCCAGGCTCTTGAGAGCCTCGCCGCTCTCAATCGCCCAGCGGGCGCGGCGAAGTCCCTCCTTCCAGCGGCCTCCACCGGGTCCACGCTCCGTGATGACCTTTCCATCGTCGCCAGGACCCATGTTGCTGGTCTCAGCCTCGCACACCCCAGCGGTGACCAGCAAAGCGGCAACGTTCATGAGGACAAACTCCAGAATAGGATCGTCCCGAGGAAGCTCGTTGCGAAGGATGCTCATCAGCTTAGCTGCGTTATCCTTCGGCATCTTGCGACCATAGACCTCGGTGAGAGGATGAATGGGCAGGCCAAAATCCGAGGGGTGAAGTTGGAATGTGTCGATCTTGACCAGTGTCTTGGGGTTCTCTTCATCATCATCGCTGGAGTCGTCCTCGTCACCTTCAGATGGCTTGTATGCCGGATTGGGGTACTCTGAGATCCTCCAGCAGTTTGTTGGGCCTGCGCAACTGATCTCATCCATGTCCTCCTCACCACAGACCACCAGTGCCTTCTTGGCACCAGCCTGTTTGAGAGCCTCGACGAAGACCGGACCCAAGCTCTGGTAAGCCACGCCAACCAGTCGTGCCTCAATTGCCCACTCGATGGGGTTGGCCAGAGGTCCCATAAGGTTGAAGATTGTCCTCAGACCCAAACCTCGCCGGACAGGGTTGGCATACATCATACCAGGGTGGAAGTTGGGTGCGAAGAGGAAGGCATAGTTGGTCTTCTCGTAGACCTTGGCCACATTGGTCGCGTCGACCGCAGAGATCCTCGGAGGAATGGGCTGGATTGCGTTCAGGACATCGGCAGATCCAGAGAAAGAAGTCTGGGCACGGTTGCCATGCTTGGCTGTCATCAAAAGCGGCGAGGCAATAATGGACGAGGTAGTGGAGACGTTGAAGGTTGAGTGTGAATCTCCGCCGGTTCCGACGATATCGCACTGCAATAGAAACAAGTGTCAGCTATGCGATACTACCAGAGATCCATATTCTCTTACCAAACCACCCTGATAGTTTCCCTCGCGTCTTCCACGAGCTTTGACAATCTTCTTCAGCTCGGTCTTCTCAATCTGACAAGCAGCTTCCCTCATGCGATGGGAGCATTTCGCAATAACATCCGCTTGCCTGTCCTTCCCAGTGGAGTGCAATAAGGTCAGGAGGGCTGCGGTCTGAATGTCTGACAGTCGATCCTCAAAGATCAGAGCGAACGCGGACGCAATGTCTTCTGCGCTGACTCGAATCTCGGCAGTAGCGGGGTAGGCCAGACGTTGGAGGAGGGGTGAGATGGAGACCACTTCCGGCTTCTCATGCTTGGGAGAAGACATTGTATTGAAGACTCAGCCAATACTGAGAATTTCCCAAAGCTCTAAAAGGTCAATGGATGTTCAGAAGTGTCAAAGAAATGGTACAGTCATGAGTCAAGCCCCTCATCGCGCTGATCCATGTCCGGCAGAATTATGCACCGCCTGTTATTACGCTATTCCCCTTCTGGAATCAAAAAATATCACCCGACGAACTGCCCTTCCGTCCCCCGGAGATTCTCTTGATCCACTCCAATCTCGAACAATTGGTGTTGTTACACACCTATCACATACCGCCCACCATGCCTCCACGGGTACACATCATGTCGCTTCGTCGAAAAGCTTTGCGATGCCCGCAAGAACTCCGAATCGCGTCCAGGAGCGCCAGCACCGTTGCCGCCCCGGCAATCACACCAGCTGCATCCATTGAGCAAATGACACGCTCAAAAGCCCCAATCTCGCAGAATCCTCCTACCCAGTTGCCATCGCACCGTAATCCTGAATACCGCCGGTCACAACTCCTGCGGCAATATACGTCTCTCATCCGCACATCTCCTCTGATGGTTATCTTCCAACACAACAACTTGAAGTCCATGGAATGGTCCTCGATCCGACGAGAGCTCACCAAGGCTTTGCAGAAGGTGGATGAGAAGATCGCCTCCGAGGGCCGGACAGCTGTGGAACTAGCTCCTTACATCAAGCTGCAGACCATCCAGACTAGCATCTTCGAGGTCGCGATCCGCATCGTCGAGTACTTCCGGCCCAACGAGGCCGCCCAGGCTGCCGGACAGCCTCCAAGCGCAGTCAATCCCATCACACAAACATCCGCTGAGTTGCCCGCTATCTCCGGCTCCAGGGACGATCCTGCCTTGACCCACGATTTGTCGCGCTCGGCCCACGCCGCAATCAAGCACCTGAAAGGCCGCCACGAGCTCGCCGACATTCTCGTGGGCCCAATCGCGATCCTTTCCATCCCTGCCGTTTCCCCCGAACACATGAAGGCCGCTTTGTCGATCTTGACGCCTAAGGAATCTGGTTTCGCGGCGCCCACTCGCAAGGGCAACCCGGATTACCACGACCCGGTCGTCCAGACCGGTCTGCAGAAGATCAACCTTCTCGCTGCCCGTATCGATGGCAAGGTCTTTGATGTCAGCGAGACCAAGTGGGTCGGCAGCATTGAGGGTGGTATGGATGGCCTGCGCGCTCAGCTTATCATGGCCTTGCAGAGCATGGGATCCAGCGTCACCAGCACCTTGGAGGGTGCTGGCAAGAGCCTGTATCTCACTCTGGAGAGCCGGAGAAGCGTTCTAGAGGAGGAGCAGAAGCCTGCAGGCGAGAAGAGCGAGTCGTCTTAGGGTGGCCGAAGCCATACCCAATCATTCTTGTATAATAGGTCATACTGTTGGTTCTGCATCCTAGAGGATCCTAGGTTTTTGTCGTTCTTTCTATCTAGGATGAATGTATACTGTACAACGAATACATCTTAGTGAACATTGTTTCCCCCGAAATGGGATCTGGATATCAACGCGAGAATATGTAACGATAGCAAAGAAAGTGACAATATCCTTCCTTGTTATTTACCACAATGGCCTCTCCTAGTTCTCTCTCAAGCGCAGCTTGGCATTCATACCGACAATGCAGCGCACGAGATCCCAATCTCCATCCAGACCGACCCAGTCTGTCACCAAGATACCGGTTGAGCAGTCACCGTCCCCGTCGGTGGGGCGACGACAGATATAGTCCACCGTGGCGGGGTTCACCTTAGCAGCAATCTTCTCAGGCCAGGTATTGGTCTTCCAGAAGTTGCTCGCACTAAGGAAATTGATGTAAAAAGGATACTCGCGAGCCTCCACCGGACCGGGCAGCACACCGAACGGATAGCGGCATTTACTCGCCCGATCAATCTGTTCCCTGACATACTCGATCTTCTTCTCGATGTTGGTGGTCTCCTGGACCTCGTAGAAGTCCTGGATACAGAGATGGCCGCTGGGACATGTCGCTTTGGGGGTGTTATCAGCCCACGCAGCGGCGTCAATACCCCATCCATTACCGCCGTGCTCTCCTTTGAGCTCATCGGGCAGATCGAAGCGACGGACGAGAACGACCTTGCCCCGGGCCTCGCCCAGAGTCGGGATCTTGGGCCGCACCCACCAGCGGCTATCGGGACGGGCGTAATGGCGCGATAGAATGTTGGCAAGCTGCTCATCCTTGGCGTTACCGGGACCCTCGCGCTTGAGGGAGATGATGAGCGTCTCAGAGGGGTTCTGCTCCAGGAACTCGTTGACTTCCTTCATCAGGTCGCGGAAGTACTTGTTACCGGTCAACGAGATAGGGAAGACGCTGTGGACGAGAACCAGTTCATCCTTTGCAGGGTCATCGGGATACTGGGGCTGGACGCGGATGTCGAAGAAACGCACTCCATTCTTCAGCTGCTCGCGCGGGCTGACGGCCTGGCAGCGCACTGAGGGCGGGGCGACGTGGCAGGTAGGCGAGTTGTGAGTGCCAGGGATGGAAAGTGCGGAGAGCAGCGTATCGTCGCGCAGCTCGCCCATCCATGCGTTCAGGTTAGCCGAGGAGAAGATCGCCAGGTGCGACTCTGCGGTCACGTAGATGCCCGTGAAGCGGTACCTGGGGTTCTCGGACTCGGAATTCATGGTGGCCGACTCTGTAGTTGGCACAGGCGTTTGGATGGAGTGACGCTCGCCATCGACCTCAAAAGTCAGGCGCATGCGCTCCCTATCGGAGTTGATGAATGTCTTTCGATCAGTCCTGTTGGTTGTGAAGGGCTCCACGCGGATGTCGACATCATTGTGCTCCTCGAAGGGACGAGTGTCGACGTGAATGGCCTTGACAGGCTCAACAGTACGAGTTATGTTGGTCAACACCCGGGTGAAGTTCTTTGCCAATGTGGCGATGTCATCACCTCTGCTCTCCTTGGGAGCCTCGAAGCGCTCAATGCGCTTGAGGATTATCGGAGTGCTGGTGTTATTGCGGATAGTGAGAAGTTCGGCGACCATTGTGGATGACGGGGGAGAACTCAGTGCTCCTGGAATTGGTGGAAGCTCAGCGCAGAATCAATCGAGTCCCAATTGAGTTGTGAAACTCACAAAGGACGACAGAGCTGCAAGCTGAGCAAAAAAGAAGACCCCTCCATTGGCGATCTTCGGGCGATCGCGCGTCGTGGAGCTCCTCTCTTGGCAGTCGAAGCTGATTCGAAGCTCACAGGAACGCTGACGCCCAGAGTCCAAGCTCCCCATCGCCCCGTGCCAGGCACCAGTCGTCTTGATTCGCAGAGCTCATAGGGCGTTGGAGTGCAAGGGATCATGATGGATTTTTCGTGAGCATTGTACTCCATAGAATGATGGACGTGTGCTATGCATGCCGATCGTGGATGGAGCAATGCCCGTGTCTTTTGGAGGGGTTCACCTGTGGAGGCGGGGTAGTTCCGCCCAAGACGAAGTATACTCCTTGATCCTGTTCTTAAACATGCAGCGATAGTACATTTTCGAGCCTATTATCTAGAAATTCATCCGCAAATTGGAAAAAAAATTTATTCAATCCATACATGACATGCCACCGTACTCAAAACTTATGCCCGATTTGAACCGACTTGCAGCTCTCTTGCAACGAGAATGTCCCCGTGAACCCGAACTGCTGGCCTCGGAAATCGAATGCCGTTATACTCGCGATTCAATTCCAGGAGCCATCCCAATTTTATAAGAAGAACGAAATATTGTCTTAAGAGTACATCCTTTCCCTCATCTTGATATCTTTCTTATTATCACACCACAATGATCACCAACAAACTGGCCATTGGCAGCCTTTCACTGGGGCAACACCCTTCCCATGCTCTGGATCAGAAAATCCGCGATGCAGCCCAAGCCGGATTTGCCGGCATTGAAATTGTATTTTCAGATCTGGAAAAATTCTCTCAGTCCAACGGGCTATCTATTTTCGAAGGTGCCACCAAGATAAAGGCGATCTGTGACGAGAGTAATCTCGCTATCCTCTCGCTAGCCCCCTTCGAGAACTATGAAGGAGACCGGTCCCCCTTGCTCGATAGACTAAAGAAAGCAACTCAATGGATCAAGGTCGCCAGGACACTATGTGCACCCTTTTTGCAAGTTCCTGCCCAATATGATGCTGATGCTATTGGTGATGAAGACGTGATCATCACCGAATTGCGGCAACTTTGCGACATGGCAAGCTCTGAACAGCCCGTTGTGTCAATTGCTTATGAGCCAATGTCTTGGTCGACTTATCATTCCACCTGGGAATCTTCCTTGAGGCTCGTTGATGCAGTCGCACGAGAGAACTTTGGGTTATGTCTCGATACCTTTCATATTATCACGAAGTTATGGGCGGATCCCTTCGCTCCGTCAGGAAAATATCCCAATGCAGACAATATCTTGCGTGACTCTTTAACTCGTTTTGTTCGAGACTGTCCACTGGAAAAGATATTCTTCGTACAATTGTCCGATGGTGAAAAGTTTGATCCTCCGTTCTCCGAAAAGCACCCGTGGCATTTGGAAGGAGAAGCTCCACAGTTCACCTGGTCAAAACATGCCCGTCCATTTCCGTATGAGGCCGAGCTTGGTGCATATATGCCGGTTGCTGAGGTTGCGAGGGCATGGATTGTTGAGAAAGGCTACAAGGGTTGGGTGTCTATGGAGACATTTGATCGTCGTATGCGGGACAAGGACAGTCGAGTGGAACACGCTGCTATCCGAGGTATGGAATCTTGGAGGAAACTTAAACATGAGCTGGATGCCGCAAAGTCAAAGATCTGATAACCAAACATTGAATATGAAATATGCAAGATCATGGAATGGACTGCGTGACCTCATGGCCAAGTGTTGTATCAATTGACCTTCGAAGTCATGTAATCACTCTGAAATTACTTTAAGTTTCACCTACTGAAACTAACATTCAAACCCCCATACATCTCACCCAGAAGGAGGAACAGCCCCCATGCTAGCAGCCCACAACCAGTCAAAATCCTCCGAGTCACAATCCACTAGGCTATTATCGTTCTCATGTAATTCTTGCGCTATTGAATCGTTCCCAGGAATATCAGTCCCCCCAGAGCCAGGTTCAGGTGAAGTGCGTGACCGCTTGGTTTGAGGTGATTGTGCTCGAGATTTATCATGAGCTTCAGGCATGGCTCTCTTTGCTGAACGATAGGGACGGACCCGCGTTTCCCATAATCCCTGCATGTGGAGTAAGAAGCTCTGCGCTCGTTTGGCACTCTCCCATGAGAGACCAAATTCCTCCAGTGCTCTAAAACAAAGGCTGAGATGGGCCACCGTTTCATGGTCATGGGTGAAGTCTCGATTGAGAATAGTCGCAAACATCAATATCAGGGCCGCGGAGCATGTTATGGCAACTGCTTGGATGTTCATGCGACGGAAAGTATAGCGCAATTCGTATAGGTGAAGTAGTTTAGCAATTGCGGTTGCGGATTCGACACACATTTTGCGAGCGTGGTTATGGCCGGGACCTTGAGCGGGTTGAGGTTGAATCGAACTTTTAGAGATCCATGGTCGATGTGCGTGAATGATAGCTTGGTGATAGTGCATACTAAATCCATGATGTTAGATATACGATCGAGAGATTGTGGCACGAGGATCCTTACTGAAGCAGTAGCACATGTGGCAGATAGGGAATAGATGAGTTGTCGAGGTCCACTTGCAGAGGCTTGGGCAAATTCGCCTTCCATTGGAGAAGTCTTTGGGTAGTCCTTGCATTGAGACTTTGCAGATCATGTTTCGATATCTTTGAAGATCCGTACCTGGAAGAGAGATATTAGTGGTGGTACTTGGGTGGTTTGAAGTAGTACATACAAAACATGTCCTAACGGCGTCATGATCTCACATAGTGAAATACGATACTGACTCAGAGCTGTGACTGGATTCACAATGGGCGAGTCCGTTGCAGACGACACGGGATACGGGAGTCCGTAGGGAGTCCATCGCTGAGCCTGATCCCACCTCGGATCGCGGCCAGGCTTGTCAACGGTGACATCTTCCATATTGATTCTGAATGGACGTCCAAGGAGGAAGCCCCAGTGTCTGATAGTATTTCGTGTCAGTGAATTCCTAGATTATTGAAGGATGTCTTCCTCACTGATCCAGCGTGTAAGCCCCCCAGAAAACTTTGCGTCGCAGTTCAGCCTCGGCCGCGCTAATCGACCCGTCTGATACGTAGGGTGACATGTCGAGGTGTAGTCCAAGATCAAAAGCAAGTCGCATAGCCATTCCTAGTAAGCCGTCAGATTTTCTCCTGATCCTTCATAATAGTGACGATGTGACACTAACCACTGTAAAGCCATCCTCTTGCATCGCGTTTGCAGCCTATATCGTGTCCACTCAACACTACCATTGCCTGGACAGTCGCCAAGCATGGTGAGTCAAGCTCAATGTCAAGCAATGTCTTAGCACGATCCGCAAAGAAGTCCGAGACAGATTTTGGGTATGTGATAAAATTCGGATGGTAGCGAGGCTCGAATGCAGCACCAAGACAACACCTGCATAGGTCAGCGATAATAATGGAAGGTAATATGCATCGGGCAGACAGACATGGCATTGGTCAAGGCCTCTGAATAATACGGCGTGTCTTCCATATCATCTTGCCAACGCCGCTTTGCCTCCTCGTACATTGTCCTATCAACCACATCGAATGAAGGATTGTGCCATGTAAAAAAAGGTTGATCAGGTGAGCTTCCAAATCAGGAGGCACACTTTTCCCGATCCCCATGCGATAGAGGTAGTCTTGCCCGTCTTTTCGCACATTGCGATGGATGGTTAGCTTGTCCGGGGTAGGCATTCGCAGCAAGTTAAAGTGAGACGTCGGGCCATAATATCGCACTTGTCCATCAGATCCAATCTGTAGACTTCCCATTCGGTCTGAAAGTCGGTGCACAATATCTTCCATGTCTTCGTTGCTATTTGTGTTTTGCTTCAGTTCATCACCACTTGATGCGGTGTCCGTTGTTCTTGGAAAGCGATTCGGAGATTCCAACTCTGGTAGATCATTTGGCTGCTGCTTATTTGATTGGATAGATGGGGAAAATTCAGGGAAATCCGCTAGTGAAGAGTCTTTTGGACTTGTCTCTCGGCCCAAATCCGAGAGGCGCCCCAAATCAACGAGTTCGTCTTCAAAAAGGTGCGGCAGCGAGTCGTCCGCCATCTCAGGGAGAGTCAACCTTGTCCGTGATATAGGTTGGTGGATTTCTTCATAGCCGTCAGTACCCAGTGGTCGCGCCAATATATCCATGTTTGTGTTCAACTCGCTGAGGTCGATCTCAAGGCCTGCCCCTTCTGTATCCTCAAGCAGAGCCTGGGTAGTTCCTGCGAGGGAAAAATGTGCCAATTGCCGATCCTTAGTCTCAATCATCTCCAGGGCCAATTGTACATGGCCAAGTCCAAGAGTTTCTAAAGCATTTTTTAACGCAATCTCGTTTTCATTAAACATGGGAGGCGGAGATAATCCCTGGTCAATGAGATATTGAGACAGTTCATCTAGTCGGTTTACAAGGAGATCGACCACAAAGCGAAGAGATATCCTGAGTGGCATCTGTTGAGTACGTGCAGCGTTGATTGGCACCCTGGCAGGGTACTGGGCAAATTGGACATTGCAGGCACTCACTTTCTCTTGTCTGATCCGGCACGGTACGTGCACTCCTTCATCTTGTTCTGGCAGTTTGAACAAGATGGCTGGACTCCATCACACTGTTTCACCAATGAGTTAGCTGAGTTTCCTATCAACACTGATGCCGTAAGCCTTATGGGCAGTTCAGGAAACCGATTTCCGACCTTTACTTTGCTCCCCCGACAGGCGTCGCAGGCGGTTGTGACATATTTTCGTTTCGCATCTTTTTTAGTTGGCGCCATCTTGAAAGATGTACCCCACCATCTCCTCGATTATCCTATAGATATGGATATCGAGACAAGCGTTTGATGGGTTGAAGTTGGCAACAGCCGACAGGTTTCGGGAATTGCCCGAAGGTAGGTCCGATAGACCCACATTGTATTCACGGACTGACCAATCAGAATGTCAACTTTATGCAGTCCATGCGAATTTACAATAGCGATTGAATCTTGGCTCAGTGGGAATTTGTTAGAGGAGTTGAGAATTAAATCGAGACCGATATTACTTATTCAAAGCCTATAACTGAATCCCGGAGATTCCAAAGAAGTGCCAAATCCGTCCTGACTCAACGGCAACTACAACAGCGCTTCTCGGGCAAGCTCAAGGGCGTCCGCCCTGATTATTCGTTGAGGCTATATTGAGTGTCACTAGGTGAGGGTACATCAACCTATCTATTGCACCAGAGCCATTGATGATCATTTAACCTCTTCAGTCGGATATATGTTTGTCAATTTTCCACATCGTGCAAAATCGTTGACAACATATCATATCATCTTTTCAGGCGTGCCAACTAGTTGGTATTTATGTAGTACAAGTTTTTGGATCAAAACCTAAGTCGATGATGAGGCAGGGCTGCGAGCTTGTTTCTAAAACACGTTACCCCTGGTCTGAGTCATGTTCTTGACGTTGAGATTTCGCATCATTCCAACCCAGATGAAGCCGAGAACCATAAACACGGTGCCTGCAATGAGCATGCGAGTCTGGGCGTAGCCGTAAGCTTGGACAATTGCGTCCCGGGTTGGACTCCCAACCGGATAACTGAGCTGCTCAACAAGGCTTTCGTAGATAAGCATCAGGTTGGGCTGAGCTGAGGCTGGGAGAACCTGTTCAAGCTTCTTCAAGAATGTGTTCGTCCAAATGGCACCGCAGATGGCGCTGCCGATGGAGCCACCGATGCTGCCCATGACGAAGAGCAAAGCGAGCGCGGCGGCGACGTGCTGATGATCGACAGATGCGAGGACAGCTAGCTGCACGCAGAGGATGAACACGCTACCCGCAACGGAAAAGAAGATCTCGCACATGACAATGTAGCCAATATATCCTCCTGGCGTACGGAAATGGATCATCAGACCCAGACCAAAGATGTACATGGGGACACAGATCCAAAGAATCCACTTGAAACGACCAGTCACACGGATTAGCCAGCCAGCAATGAAGAGGAAGACAAATGAGACCACACTAAACGTGTTGCCAACGTATCCGGCGGTCGCCACGTCCAACTCATACACGACTTGCAGGAACGAGGAGAGGTAACTGCCGTAGCAGTAGTATGAAACTTGGTATGTCATATCCAAAAGACAAGCACCCAGAACGGTGCGGTCGGTCAGGAACTTATAGTTCAGGAACGGCACCGGGGCGACGACCATCTCATAGAACCAGAAGGCAATAATTAGGACCAAGCCAACTACAATCATGGCGATGATATAGCCCGTCTGGAAGCCGTGAGGGGCCGTTGCCGCCAGAGTGAAGGGAAGAAGGAAGACGATGAAGCCACCAGCAAAGAGGACAACTCCAGGTACTATGAATTGAGTGAAGAGCATTAGCATAAGCATTGCAAGAGATTTCAAGGTTATTGTGAGTAGTTCTTACAGTCAAATTCGATGATGAACCACCAGAGACTCCGAAGGCTTATGTCCCACTTCTTCTTCTCCCGGATTATGATGCCCTTCTTCTCCGCCTGGCGAAGGTTGTAAGACAACATGAAGTAAATTGGCAAGGCAAAGACGGGCACGAGGATGGCCCAAATGCCATAGCCCCAGCGCCAAGTAGAGTGTGCAAGCAGCTCGCCAGCTGCCTTGGATCCTCCAAACGCAGAGATCAATGCCGGAGATGAGGTGAACGCAAAAGCTAACCCTCGGTTCCTTAAATTGGTCACATCGGTAGCAAGAACATCCCATGTATAGGCCAGACCTCCAAAGCCGACGGAGTAGAAAACCTAAGGTTATAAAAGTAGCGTGTCAGACAGTTTTCATACTAAATATCACTGGAAAATTCTGGGAGTAGTGCAACCCCCATCTTACCTGTCCAGCGCAGTAAGTCGGAAGATTCTTGGACGCAGCGAGCAAAACCAGGCCGAGAACGCAGAATGTTATCATGACGAGGAAACCCTCAGCGCGACCCCAGAGATCTAACGCCTTAGCCATGGGAATATAGACGGAGCCAGCCATGGCCGAGGCCACGATAGTAATGACGGTCAGCAGCGAATGCCCTGCAAAAGAGCTTGTCGCATATGAGTTCAGACTGTACGTCATCGATCCTCGGAAATCATTGACCAAAGTGAGGAACCAGATGCTTTCAAGGAAAAAAGACCAGTTAGTAGAGCACAGCAAGTTCCTCACGAGGATGCGAAACCTACAGAACTAGCACCAGATAGGCAGACGACTTGCTCCAGGCAATAGTGACCGCCTCGATCTTCTTCACACCGGCCTGAGCATCCTCTGCGGGCTTCTCTGGGTCGTTGTTTGATACATCGTTCGCGGTTGGATATCCCGCTTCCTTGTCACCGGCTTTTGCTTGCAAAGTACTTGGATCGTCAACTGAGGCAGCCTCGGTGCTGGCAGACTTGTCGCCAACTATGGTATGAAACTTCTTCAGGAACCCCATTGTGATTTGGTCAGAGCCGAAGAAATCACAGTAAGAACTTTGGATAGCAGGAAATGGGTGAGCTACATCGAGACAGCAGATTGATATTTAATATTTAAGCAAACGCGAATATTTCCCCTAAGTCTACATCCGATCCCGCTCCAATGGGCCGATCTAATCTTTACGTAAGATTAGTGGAAGGCGTGCATTGCGCGGCAAAGAAAAAGAAAAAGAAAAAGACGAAAGCCAAGTCGAACTGTCGGCGCGAGCTGGGAATTCGATGTTACCAGCGTTACCACCCTTGTACCGGCGGGCCTATCCCAGTGGCCGACGCTAAGCCGAGACTAGCCTGGCTGAGCTTCTATAGTCACAAGCAAAATCGTACCTCCGGGGCCAGGAGGCTCTTACCATCTCCTGAGAGGCATTTGATGGGCTTTAGAATTGTACGAATAATGTACGCACTGTGCCTTTGACATCTGTAACTGCGGTTAGTATAGTATTGCGGGAATACGATATGAGTATCACTATCAACTCGTCATGGTCTGCGAAACAGTGGAAATTACAATTGCGCTGGCCACGCTACTGCATGTCTAATTACTTTGGCCTGCTGCACTGCGCGTTGTGTTCATCACGAGGGAATTGAACCTGTTTGTATGAGGATAGAAGGTATAGAATTTAAGAAACTACATTTGCAGGATCAGAGTAAAATTTGCCTCACGATTCGTATATACAGAGTCCCTGTAGTGTTCGACTAACGCAACACCTTCAACAAGTAGCAATACAATTTGTACAAGGCCGTGCTAGGCGACCACCTCAATCGAACCGAACCTTGTGGTGCCCGAATATCTTGTTTTGTGCACCATTCATCCCTTGTAATTGAATACCGCACTTCACCTTCTTCAATTCCGGGTGGTGGTGTTGGGTATGTATTGAAAAAGGTATCAACATGCCTCAGCCCACAAGCAGCCATTACGGCGCGAGAAGCGCTATTGACGGTCATCGTTTCACCAATCACCTCCACTAGTCCCAAGTCTTCGAAGGCATGTCGAATCATCTCTCGCGCCCCTTCCTTTGCATACCCCTGCCCCCAGAACTTCGGCGATACCCGGAATCCGTACTCGGTGCGGTCGGTCAGGAATTTCTCAGGGTTGTCCTTCTTGGGGACTGGACCAAGGATCCACCAGCCTACGAACTCCCCTTGGGCGTACCCTGCCCAAGTTCCGAAACCGGGAACTAAGTTCGCGCAGTTCATCAGCCAGGTGTGCACCTGGATGGCCTCGTCCTCGGTGAATGGCCGGCCGAATGCGACGTGCTTCATCACTTTCGGGTCCATATCGAGCTTCATGGTGTGCTCCCGGTGTTCAGGCCCGAAAGGCACCAGTTCCAGGCGGTTTGTTCGCAGCGTTGGCTGGACCTTCTCGATAGCAGCCATTGTTCAGAGTTGTGTTATTTTGTGCGCAGTGGGAGGATAGAAATGATGATAGGAGAATGCCTCCTAGGTTTGGAGGTTGTTGAAAGCGTACAGAGATGTAATGGTGGTCGAAGCGTGTTGTGAGCTCTTCAGCCTTCTCATGTGTTCTCTCATGCCTGTTATATACTTCATGTTTCTGGGTGTTCTCTTAGGAGTTGCCTACTGACTTTTTGACAGGGTACAGCTTTATGCACTGAAAAAGGGCGATCTGTCTCGGCATGCTACTATACACATGATTATCCTCCGAATTCCCGTATTTTGTCAATTGAGAGCCCCGATTGGCGCTCGAATCGAGGTGAACGATGAGAATAATAACCCATAATAATGCACGAATCCGACTTCATTCCTTTCTGCACTCTGCGCTGAAGATCTTGCCTGAATCATGCTTCTGTAAGCGTGTGAATATCCACATGGGGCCTTGCGTCCCAGAATTTGATGGCAATTTGAAGATATCGATTCCATTTCGGTCTACGTGGTAGTCCATGACTGTGAAATGGCTAAAGTGTTATTTCAATGCGCTGTAGCCATTTCTCAAGAACAGTGACAGCGGCCAAAGTTGCTGGTTAGAAGGTTAGAGGCATAGTATCCAGAACCCTGCACGATTCATTCGAATCTGTCTGGTATCCCTGCGTTGCCGTGGCACATTGCCCATTGTTTGAAGGTACTGCCATGGTGGCCCAGAACATGAAGTCTATAAGACCAAGACCCTGTAGATCCATTTTCTGAGGAGAACAGGTCTCCACCAACCCCATTACAAAACAGCTCGTAATGTTCTGTATGAACAGGGTTTTCGTACTCATAGCTCGGGGGCCAGACCAGATATTTCATTTTAAAACCTGACTAGGGACCCGCTGACATGCAGCTGCTAGTCCCATGCAAGAACATGGTTGCGGGATTTTTCGTTCAATACATGATGCACGAACGTATTTTACAAGATCAGATTAGATTAGATTGGGGGCTGAATTCCCGCTGAGGCTTGGCACGGGTGGTGTCGAAGCTATCTCGGGTAAAGATCGGCTCCTCGGAGATAACCGTAGCATTCCCAGCCCCAAAAATTGGGCGTATCTGATACCCCATGGTATAAATTACGCTCCTGTGCTGAGTTTCGGACCAATCACATGCCAAGGCCACCCACCTGCGCAGCTAATACAGACCAGAAGTGGTCTTAAGGATCGACCCTTAACCGTTTGGGTGTTGTTTGTTCTTTGTTTGGGTATCTTACAATAAGGTCTTACAATAAGGGTTCGCTTGAACCCAACCGCAGGCACTTCTAGAGTAAGAGCACTGGGTAAGATTAGGATGAGATAATCGGAGAAGCATTTCACTGGATCCTTACTGACGGCCAAGGTGGAAGAAAGCAGAGCCGGACCATGCATACCACTAAGCACAGTTTTGTAGGGTGGTGACTGCCGAGGATCAGTGTAGGCGAAGACATCCAGATTGTGAAATTGTTCCGTAGTCCAGAATGATGAGCTCTACTTTTTTTTTGTTGGGCTCTCACTAGTAATGACCAGTTCAAAGTTCACTGGGCTGGCTCGTTATCCAAGAGCCCACCGCAATATAATTCTATCAAATTTTCGAATAATAACAGTGATCTATCGATGGTGTATGCAATGTACTGTAATCTCATATTTAACATTTTGGAATCTTCAGCACTTGTCGTCCATGACTAATGTAGTGGCCAATCCTCGAAGAACACAGTTAAGCCTCGGCTTATTGAGCAAGCCATGACGCTTGTGTGTTCTTCCCCCTCATATTCCTTCACCTGCATTTTGTGCAGTCGATTACATCCGTATAGCATTTTGACGAGGTCCAACGCATTGTCCCCCATTCGCAAATCCGAGGCAATTTGCTTCCGGCCCTCGTAATGATCCAGCGGCTCATCATTCCACTGAGGCGGATTCTGCTCCCAGGACCCCCACGACACGACAAGCGACGGTAATTTCCCATCCAAGGGCTTGGCGTTATCTAAGAAGACTTGAGCCGAGCGTAGGATGCAGCGGCTATTCCACCATATCGAAGGACTACTGGCAATGTAACAATCGAATGCGTGGGGGCGGGTGAAGAGAGCGTGCAGGGCAAACAATCCCCCGTACGAGTGGCCATACAGCGCTTCACGGGAGAACGTTGCCCTCGGAAATCGGGCTTTGATAGCGGGCCGGACGGACTTTTCGATGAAACCCAGGAATGCATCCGCACCACCAGCCCCTGGAATCGGGCTTTCGGTGGGTGGTGTCAGGTCAAGACTCCGGCGTTTAGCATCGTACAGCTTGCCAGCCACGGGGTAACCGATGGCGACAATGAGGCCCCCGCCAGCAAAGTGGGATGAAGCTGCTCGGCGCCAAGCCACCTCCGTCGCGGTTAAGAATAATGCATTTCCGTCGACAATGTAGCTAGGAGAACCGGGAACAGTTGGGTCAGTACAGGAAACACAAGGCAAAAATCCCACTAAGTCTTTAATGCGATAGAATGGGGTGCTGTGTTAAAACGGCAGGGATCTATGGGCGCTTACATGATGGGAAGAGCCCCTCGATCCGACGAACAATTGTCCGGCCAATGTAGTGGCCAAGACAATTGTATGAGATACTTGCTGCCCTGGTCACTGTCCAAGAAGAATTGTTCTGAGTTGGGCAGCGGGACGGGAGTCGGCCGATCACCCATTCTCACAGTCTCACCCATCCTTGAGTTGTGAATGCTAAACCACCGACAAGGCAAGGTTGGAGAAACCACGGGGAAACCACAGGGAGGATGTGAGCTATGTCTGCGAAGAAGGGTGCATAGCATGGAAGAAACATGGAAGACGCAATTGAGGGATCCAAGATCACGAGGACAAATAATAACCATTAGAGCCGTCGAGCGTAGAGGAGACAAGCAGTTGTTGCCCAGACCGTGGACTGAACCTCTTAGGGATGCATCCGAGACATTCAGGGGATCCACCTTTTGGGTGTTAAATTACGAGCTGTAGGATCATACACGATAGCTCATGATGATCGCCGCGCCGTACAGAATTGATCATTTTTATTATTTCCGCCGACGCGACTATCCCTTATGATTGGACTGTCTGGCCTTGTTACGTATGTTCGTGCCGCAAGACTATAAGTAAAACAACCGTATATACAAGGGTACAGAGTACATAATAATGCTGTAGCGGAATCACCCGCCAAGTGAAACCTTAAACCTGTGGATCCGTTATTTCGTTAGTTTGTCCATCTGCATCCTTCATCCTCGGATTGATCCCGCACCCCCTTGGCGTCTTACGTTCAGAGAAGAGTCTTCTGTGGCGTGATCTGATAAGATTGATCTTCCCTGTGGTCTTTTCCTCCCACCAAAACAACCCCCCGATATCGGATATTGGTCTTCTCGGCAGACCTGGACCCTTGAGGTGGGTGGAGCGTCTACTCTGTGTACTGGAAAAGACCCCACTGATCGTCACACTGACCGATGAGAGAAGCCCATTAATGATAGAAAGTTCATGAATAATGACAAACGATATGCGCTTAGTCTTACCGAATGTTATTCTTTTGAATTTCGTGCATGTGGTTATCTGATCTGGCGGATTTCTATCAGATCTTTCTTCTGCATCGCTGCAATACCTTGAACAGACACGCCAGTCAAACGACACTATGGCGGCTGTACCCAAAGCTTCAGCAGAGGCAGAGTCATCTAAGAAAGTAAGTATCACTAATCTTTTCTCAGTTAACCTTTGGCACTTGACCGCCGCATTCATCCAAGCCGATGCTCATCAACATGGTCGATCTTTAGTTCTGGCGCCGGGCGACCTCTTTCGTCCGCCTGCTCGTTTGCGGCAACCCCTCGTCCAAGGATGTCATTATCCTGGTCATTGGCTTTCTCGCCGCAATTGCCTCTGGGGTTCCGTTCCCTATTATGTCTATTGTCTTTGGACAACTAGTCAATGGGCTGAACTCCGCCACCTGTGAGATCAATCCCGACTCCGCGGCGTCTTACCAGGACGGGATCAACTCCAAGATTTTGTTGATCGTCTATGTTGGTATTGCCTATTTTTTGTTGATCTATATTTATACCCTGTGCTTCAATCTCAGTGCCGAAAGGCTGGCCCAGCGTCTCCGTGAAAGGTATCTGAGTGCCATCTTGCGCCAAGATGCGGCCTTCTTTGACAATCTACCGGCGGGCGAGGTGTCTTCGCGCATCACAGGAGAAATATCCATTGTGCAGCAGGGTACAAACGAGAAAGTAGGCCTCGTGATCAACAGTATCTCCTTTTTCATTACTGCCTATGTCGTCGCATTCATTAAGGATCCTAAGCTCGCCGGTATGCTGGTCTCCCTGACCCCTGCGTATCTCATTATGGCGCTAGGCGGCGGGTACTTTGTGCAGAAGTACTTTGGGCGCTCGCTCGAAAGCATAGCAAAAGCTTCCTCAGTCGCACTTGAAGCTTTCTCGAATATTACAGTCGTACATGCATTCTCAGCCAATGCCAGGCTGGAGGAGAAGTTTATCCAGGTTTTGAGCCCAGGCCTTTCCGCTGGTGTGTGGAAGTCAATTGCCATGGCTGCTCAGGCTGGGCTCCTATATTTCATCGCATTCTCGGCAAATGGTCTCGCCTTCTGGCAAGGGTCCAGGCAGATTGCGAGTGCCGTCGAGTCGAACACTGGTGGCATCACTGTCGGAGCCACTTTCACAGTTATCCTGATCCTTGTAGATGGTACGTTGATTATGCGTTAACTCACCTCAAGCCTGTAATAGAATATGTCTAACATGGATTACTTAGCCTCTCTCGTTCTCAGTCAGGCCGCCCCTTTTCTGCGTGCTTTCGATTCTGCGGCCGTGGCATTTGCCAAGCTGGAAGCCGATATGAACCATGTATCGAGCATTGATGGTACTTCTGAGCATACCGGTCATGTTCTATCAAATACCATGGGAGACATTGAGCTGCGTAATGTCTCTTTTAAATTCCCCTCGCGCCCAGAGAAGCCCGTGCTGCAAGATCTCTCGTTCACCTGTCCGGCTGGTCGGCAAACGGCCATCGTGGGACTTTCGGGAAGCGGTAAATCTACTGTTGCAGGCCTGATTACTCGGTTGTACAATACAAACGAGGGCGTCGTTCTTCTAGATGGCCGTAATGTCAAAGATCTGAATGTGCGGTCCGTCCGGGGCGAAATTAGTCTCGTGCAGCAAGAGCCGTGCCTTCTTGATCGATCTATTCTCGAAAACATCGCACTTGGTCTGGTAAACTCTCCTAAGCACAGGCATCTACATTCAGTCCTCATGACTGATGTTCTTGCTCACGTTGCCGAGGCCGTTCGTGGTGGTCAAGATGTTGCATTGGCGTCGCAATCGCATGGAGACCAAGTTCAAGAAATTCTCCAGCTGGTTCTCCATGCCACTTCTTTAGCCGATGCGATCGGTTTCATCCAAATTCTCCCCGAGGGCTTTGGTACATCAGTTGGTGCCAAAGGCCATCTCATCAGTGGTGGACAAAAGCAACGCATCTCCCTCGCCCGCGCTTTGGTCAAGGACCCACGCATTCTGATTCTCGACGAGGCCACCGCCTCGGTCGACTCGGCATCAGAGCTGCGTATTCAAAAAGCACTAGAGCATGTGGCTGTAGGACGCACTATGATCACGATTGCTCATAGACTGTCTACAGTCAAAAATGCGGATAATATCATTGTCATGCGCCAAGGGAAATTGGTCGAACAAGGAACACACCAAGGATTGCTCGAGGCTGAGGGCGCGTACGCGGAACTTGTTCGTCTTCAGAATCTCAACGTCAATCGCAGCGAAATAGATTCCACGGAATCGAACTCGGTACATTCAAACTCTTCAATCCAGGAGCTTCATGCCAAGTCGGGATCCTTTGATGCTTCGAACCCAATCGATTTCCCAGCAACAGAGAAGGAAGAAGCACACGTCGCCACCCAGCAATCCGGCACAGAATTGATTGTAGGCCAACGGACTATGGCATCAACAACAAAGGCCATGGGTTCTCTTTTCCGGCCATATTCGTTTGTGCTTGTTGTCGCAATCACTGGGGCGGTGGTCATTGGTGGCACATACTGCGGCTCAGCTGTGATTTTCGGGAATGTTGTGGGTAAACTTAGCTACTGCGAGCAACCGAGTTCTATTCGTCATGCCGGGGAGCTTTTCGGGTTGCTTTTCTTCATGTTGGCCATCGTCGAGTTCTTTGCCAATTTCCTCAGTTGGTCCCTTTTCGGCTGGATCGCCGAGCAGATTATCTACAAGGTACGCGTTCTCACGCTGCGATCAATTCTAGAGCAGCCCATGGCCTGGCATGAGGAGGAGGACCGCAATTCCTCTCTTCTGCTCGACTTGATCACCAAGGATAGCACGGCACTGGGTGGTCTCACCGGCTCCGTTGTCTGTACAATCCTCTCCATTTTGGTCAGTCTCATCGCGACTATCACTATGACGCACATCATTGCTTGGAAAATCGCGATTGTGTGTCTTTCAGTGGTACCACTACTATTAGGCGCGGGATACATGCGCATTAGTACGCTGGCCAGCTTCGAGGAGCAGCACCTGAAGGCTTTCGCGAACTCCAATGCTATCACCGTCGAAGCTATCAATTCGATCAAAACTGTGATGGCTTTGTCCTTGGAGCACGAAATTCTCGGCACGTACCGTCGCTCATTGCAAGCTCCCATGCAGCAAATCTCCAAACAGAGCGCATGGGCAAACCTGTGGCTGGCAGTTGGTTACGGACTGAGCAACTTCCTGTATGCGCTCGCCTACTGGTGGGGCTCAACCCGCATCATCGCCGGCGAGTACACTCAAACGCAGTTTTTCATTGTTCAACTGGCTCTGCTGGTAAGCTCCCAATTATGGGGACAGACATTCGCCCTTGCACCAGATGTCTCACGTGCGTTTCAAGCTACTCGTCGCTTGTTAAATGTGCTCGATCTGGGCTCGTTCGGGAAGCTTTCTTCTGCTCTCACACCAGTGAGGGATATCGAAGCCACTCCCAAGTCAAGTGAGAAGGCACCATTGATAGACGGTGGCATCAGTGTTGCCTTTAACCAAGTTACCTTTTCCTACCCAGCACGACCAGAGACTCGCATTTTGCATGGTCTGGATCTGAACATCCAGCGTGGGCAATTCGCCGCGCTGGTGGGCCCCAGTGGCGCCGGCAAATCAACTATCATCTCGCTCGTGGAGCGCTTGTATAAACCAGAGTCAGGCATGGTCAAAATTGGTGGGCGGAACATCGCGATCGGAGACGACTCATTCCGGCATGAGATCGCATACGTTCCGCAACAGAGTGTCATGTTTGATGGCACAGTGCGCTTCAACTTGACCCTCGGCGCGCGACCCGGTCAGTCAGTATCACAGGAGGAGCTCGAAGAAGCTTGCAAGCTGGCCAACATCCACGACACAGTCACGCAGCTGCCTGATGGCTATGATTCACAATGTGGACCTAACGGGGACCGTCTTTCTGGCGGTCAAAAACAGAGGTTGGCGATTGCACGGGCGCTTGTCCGAAAGCCGAAGCTCTTGCTGCTGGACGAGTCGACGAGTGCCCTTGATGCAGAATCGGAGAGGTTGTTGCAAGATGGTTTAGAGAAGGCGACAAAGAATATGACCGTCATCGCCATTGCACATCGTCTGTATACCATCCGCCGGGCGGATGTCATCTTTTTGATTGAGAATGGGCGATGTGTCGATCAGGGGATTCATGCGGAGTTAATGGATCGCAATGAGAGCTATCGAGTAAATGCGCTTAACCAAGCGGTTGGCGAATGAGCAATAGTGGCCCCATTCTCCTAAGCGGCTCATGAGCTTTTCGAATTTTCGTCCAGTTGCAGAGGTATCACCATAGTTATTAGTTACTGGAAAAAGTCCGCAATATTAGGCAAACGAGCAGAACACATTCATTGTCATACATCCAATGCGTATCTGAACATGCAGGCTGCTCCAAAAGACCTAGACACTGTTTTACTGATAACACAAGAGGCTTCCCTTGCTGTCAGTGGGACGTGGGGCTGTCGATAACTTGTCGGGTCAGGTACTGGTAGGTAAATCTCACTGATAGCCTCGCTCAGCGAAATAATGCCCGTGCGGTATTGGGTATTGGCTGAACGAGGGGCTTTAAAACCACTCGGGCCGCTTGTTTTTCTGATTCCGTGATCTTTTATTGTGTAGCCCCACCTGTCCTCCGTATCCACTGCTGAACCACATCAAGTGGCCGTTATTTAAGCATTTGCTAAACCCAACATTTCTGCTCAACGCGGACTTTCCCAACTATTCCGAACCTATAATTGCACTCAGCATGTCAACTGATCCTCTCGAGTACGTTTTCTTTCGCATCGCGAAAGACAGTACGATCGTGTCATCGGCCATAAAGTACAAACAGCTGCGCCTCCAAGCCCTATCCGTTGCACCGACCTCTTTTTCCTCGACCTACGAGATCGAATCTTCCTTCCCAGATACGGAGTGGGTTAACCGCCTCTCAGCAAACTGGAAGGAGACATTCATATGTGCTGCGAAACCAACACAAACCAACCTATCAGACTCGCAAATTCAAGAGCAGAGCACATGGGTGGGCCAGTTAACTTTGTGGGGCCCGCAGAGCCTAGAGGACTTCATACTACCTGAGGAATCTGGTCAGAAGAAGCCAAGAGATGAAGGAGACCAGGAACTCTGGCAGATGCTCAGCTTGTTCACTCTGCCCAATCACCGTGGCCGCGGTCTTGGGAAGAGGTTGTGCCAGGAGGCGTTGAGTTACTTAGCTTTATATCAGGGTTCTCCACGTGAGGTCTGGGTGCGGTTGATGGTGAAGCCGGAAAACCATGCAACAGTAAGCTTGTATCGGGGGCTAGGGTTTGTGGAAGCTGGGAAGTGTACTCTTGCTGAGGCATTGGTTGCGAACGGAGATAAAGATCTGCTACCAGAAGACATCAGTGGGGAGAAATACACTTTGAGAAGGGGGTTGATCATGATGTTAGAGATCTGTCGCTCGTGAGCCGTTTGTTAATATGGGCTACAATGAAGCAATCAATATAAGATAGGAGAGAGTACAGGTCAAATCGACCTTGATTTGTTGGCAGAACACAACTCAACAGTTAACATGAACTGTGATCCTTCGGAAGTAGGCTGATTTTCACGCTTAACAAGAGTAAACCCTTCCGTTTTCATAACATTGCAAATTCTGGCCAGCGGTTTTCTTAATATGGTGTTCCGTTTATGATGATGACATTATGGTTCAGGAATAAAAGTCACATCATCTGATATCGCGATGCTGAATGCTGCTTCAACGTCCAAGCGACGGAATCCGGGTGCACAGCCTAAACACACGCCCTTCGAGATAAGTTCTATTCAGATTGCATGTTCAGCATTCCGGAATAAATCTTTGAAATACAGATACGCGGGGAATATGACAAACCTTGAAGAAATCGGTCCACGTTGAGAACTTTAGCACTCTGCCTAGTATCCCGCCGTGAAATCAAAAAGGGGTCGGTTTCTTGGCATGGTGTGATATCCTTGCACGGTTCGAAGGACCTGAAGTCCGACAAATACATGAACGACTGCGCCCCTCCAATAACAAGTCCATTCTCTTCAAGCCAACCCTCGATATCTCGAGGATCGAACCATGTTTCATCGTCGCTCTTAGCCGGTGTCTCTTGTCCTAATGAGACCTTTTGGACAATGTCGAGATCTGTCTGCCTGTATTGGTAATGGCTACCAGCACCACCCAAGTTATACACATATGCTGTTCGGTAGTCGGCGTTGGTTCGTAGCAAGACGTCAAAAGTCGAAATCATCGTGCTGGCGTCAGAGTACTGAAACGAGTACTGAAACACGCGGGCAACTTCAGCCCCATCGGCGTGTGGATTAGTGAGCAGGCCGTGGGCCCGCTTGATGCAAGTGAAATAGAGTCGCTGGGCGAAAGTCCTCGGAATTGGGGCTCCTGATCCGGGGAAAAATAAATAATCCCCGAAAGGAGGCGCATGAATAGGCATTGGCGTTTCGAGGGGCCCTACACTGGCTGGTGCTGGCAAGTTTGTCTGGAAAGAGGTGTAGATATTGGAGGACACAACTGGGTTCAACGGGGTGGGGTCACTCCTGGGGTAGTCATTGATGGCATATCCATCATTGTGTTGTGACTCGCCGAAAGGCTCGATGGTTTGAGAAGCAGATAAAAAGTCGCGAATGATCCTCTGGAGCTCGTATGTGCGATTCGGCTCCCTGTGGGTAATTTGGGCCTTTTCGACGTGGGATGCCAGCTCGAAGAAAGACTGTCTCATCTGCCTGATTCGATTTTCCAGTACCTGCACGTAGTTCATGCGAAAAGTAGCTTCTTCCTCTTTCCGAAATCTGTATGCCCGTTGTGCTTTCCTGACTTGGTTACGGCGTCTCTATCCACCAGTGAATGATCCAGTCAGGTATAGGGGAATGGAGCGAGCAGGAAGTTCCTAAACATACCTCTGCTACGCCTTTTTGCGAAGGGTCAATCGGTGGTCTGCCTCGCTTTCCAGTACGCAATCGACGAAGGTCATCCGAATTTGAAGGGCATCGCTCACTTTCGCCTGGCACTCCAGACAGCCCATTAGAATCTGTCTCTGGAATAGACGAGTTCGAAGACATCGCGATCGTATATGGGCACACGAACAAGAACGACTTAATGTGACTAGAAATAGTCTGTCTAAAAATAACACCAGTCCCGAACAGTGGACACGCTAAATGTCTAGTGCGCCTTGTACGACCCTCTCATTGGCCACTTAATCCCACGCAGATATTCTGCATAGTTGGCCTACATGGCCCGACGTACTCAATGAAGATGCACAGGACTAAACTAACAAACACTGCGTCCCATCTTCCCAACCTTATTTACTCGAATTCTAGATTCCTCTTCTAAGGATCTACGAGTAAGTCTTCCCTTGTAGGATACTTATTGGTGCTAATCCCATGCTCGATGTCGAGAATCTGAGTTCTCAATCCGGAAATTTCAGAGAGCTCGCTTCAGCAACCGTGAGGCAGAATGATCGCACAATCACAAGATAGAACAGTGTCTCAGATGGAACGATGCCATTCCTCAAAACTATGCAACTACTCGCCAACTTCGCGATCATCATCCCAGCTGATGAACTGTACCACCTTCCATTTCATCGAAGCAACCCTCATCTGTTTACCCCAAATATACATGGGAATCGAAAACAGAAGGCATCCACCCGAGATGGCCGCCATTTCACCATAAGCAAGAGCATAGCCTTTCCCGACCCAGACATTGGTATAGAAAGACAGTAAAAATCCAAAGCAAGCTGTTCATTCCAAGATTAGCCTGGGTTGTTTGCCTGCAAAGCCAATCGAGTGCTTACATTTGAAGGCAAGTTGGGTAACAGTGACCTCGCCCGCAATGGGACGATACGCGTCGATGCAGTAAGTGAAAGAGACATTGGTCCCCTGGACAACAGCAAAGGCATCTAAGTACTCATCATTAGCGAAAAGCAGGCTGGCGGAGTAAGGCATCAGCAAACTGACTGAAAAATAACCCAAGTGTCGGAACTATCCAGTGGAGTTTGTTCTGAATACCAACTCCGTAGAGAACGAGGGATAGCGGTGATGCTATAATTGTGAGCACAATCGCAGGAAGACGCATTTCTGGCTCGCGAATACCGCCGTTCCGCTTGGTGAAGTAATCGGCAATCCAATCAGAGAACGGTCCGCCAAGCACAATTCCAAAGGCGCATCCGAGAAGATTGCCAATATAGCACAACCCAATTTGCCACGGCTCCATCCCATAAGTTGCGCTGAAGGCGCTGCCAATATTGGAAGAGATGGCTACCAAGAATCCAATTGTGACGGACATGACAATCGTAGCCCAGAAGACAGGAGGCAGGATGATCAGACCAAGTGGACGGACTATCATCCGCCACAAAGGCTCATCAGTATATTTGCGACCATCCCAGGGCTTCACTGTTTCCCAATAGGATTTTTTTGGCGGAATAGCCACCTCGCTCTGAGTTGGCTCCTTCTCACCTTCGGCAGCCTGTGGTGTCTGATCAGAGCTGACAACAAGAGGATTGTTGTATCTTTCAAATGCAGTCTCGGGGAAGAAGAAGACGACAACCAGGAGCGTGGCTCCAACCAATGCAGCTCCAACCCAATAAATCGTTCGCCAGGTGTAGTTGATGACAATCAATCCGGAAATAACTGATCCAAACGCGACACCCCCGGATAGAGCAGCATTGTAAGCTGCCATGAACAATCCGCGCTCATGGAGGAAGAAAATATCCGTGATAGTCAATGGCGCAAGACATTCACCAGCGCCTCCTGCAAAGCCAAGGAGAAGGCGAGTCACAATCTCAGCGCCATAGGTTTTCGCTGCGCCCGACCCAATGATCATAAAGAAGTATATCAGAAAACTGGCGATATAAACTGGTCGACGACCATACTTCAGCAAGACCGGAACCCAGAAGAGGTTTCCGACACCCTGTGCCAGAGCACTGTTATTAAAGAAGAATGCGGCATGCGCGGGAGTTGTGTTGAAGGACTCTGCCACCGTGAGCATAGTCACTGTAGGTCCCGCGGCCATGAAATTGCACATAATCATAGCAAAGGCGACAAGGATAGCGATCGAGATCTTGTACCATTGTTTCCTAGTAATAACTCAAAGTCAGAAAAACAACAACATACAAGCATTTCATAATGAAATTGTGAACCAACCATTTCAAGGGATCGTTGGGGTCAAGAGACGGTGCAGGTATGAGAATGATCTCGTTTGTGGTTGCATCACGAAGTCGGACGTGTCCCAAGGTATGATAATGCTCCTCGTCGTAGAAATGCTCATGATGGCTGGCGGCACCTTTCTCTAAGCCAACCTCTGCCTTTGTCGACGACTCCGTCATGTTCGTCTCTAGGACACTGACTGCGTGAAGGCTGCAGACGTGAAGAGAAGCAGCTAAGCCTGAGATTGACCGCCCCTCAAAACCACTTGAAGTATCTCTCTACTACTCTGATCTTTTATATAAAGGCAGACTCGGGGGTCTTTGATCCACAGCTGGGGAAGGTTGTGGGGGACATGGGAAAGGGGAAAGTGGTGGAGCCGAGTCCCGACGGGACAAGTGCCGATCGTCCATTTCCCTTCGAAACTCCAGTTGAACAAAACAAAGAGGGTTAGTAGCAACAATCATTACGAGATAATATCTATTCAAGTTGCTCTCACGTGAAAATGTGAATGGATTTTGTCTCTCACGCTGCATACTTGGCCAGCAAACCTGATATTCTGATTGATAAATATAATGACATCGGACCAAGAAGCGACTCGGGTCATGAAAATCGGGTCCACATTGCGAACGTCAACGTAGACATCCAAACTAGCCAAATTAAGCAGCTTTACAATGCCCTTCGTAATCTCTGCTGATTAATGTAGAGAGGCCTAGAAAGCCCAGCTGAACGATTAGGCTGCATCCCTACATCCGTGTTAATGACAAAGCCCTTTGTGCGAATGAAAAAGCAATAATTATCTAGGTTCTCTTAAATCGTTATTGAAGTTTGAAAAACGAAGAGTGGAAATCTCAAAAGTATCTGATACATGTCTCACGCCGAGTATGGCATAATATTGGACTCGCATAGCCTACGCGTCACATTAGCCACAAATACTCCTTAATGATATGGCTATTCTTCGGGAAGTTTACTTTGGTCATGTCAATCTCGATTGTCAATTTGTATAATTCTTCAACTTATCTTCCCGGACAATCATAAAACAATATTACAAAAGCCCAAAATTGCCGCTGGTCCTATTCTATTACTCCGTTGATGGAAGATCACTTTCATCCGGTCCTTCGTTATACCGATTTGAAGTGACTGGCTTCGTGTGTCGCAGTCGGTCTCCACGCAAGATGTTGGACTTGTCTTGCGCTTCCTTTTCGTCTTGCTCTGTGTGCTTGTTAGTTTTCAGACATTTAAGGAGATCTATATGATGATTTACTAACCTAGTTGTTGATCAGAATTGGCGTAGTAAGGCTGGACAGGGTCTTCGACCGGCTGATCATCACTTTGAACAGGCACTGGCTCCTGCAAGTTTGATTCAGTTGCGTATGAAGCGTCTGTAGACGATTCGGTCACTGGTGACGCATCGTTATCTCTTTCGTAGCTGTCTTCAGCCTCTCTTTCAATGGGGTTAGACATTATGAATGATGTGAATGTATACAGAAATATGTATGAATGATGTATATTCCATGATGCGCAACGCGACTACTTGAGCGCGTCTTATATAGTTGACACGCGCGTAGATTATTAATATTACCTTTTGCCCCTATATGCGCATAGTCACGTAATATTATAGCTATGTTCACAGTTTGATTAGGACAAATATGTCATCGCAAGTCATTCGCGGCCAAAGGTGTGCGGCAAGCCCTGTTCTAGCGGTTCTAACCGTTCGGTATCCATGGGACGCCGGGTTGGGGCACATAGAAGTCTGATCTCAAAGCTCAAGTCAGCTTCTCACAACAGGACAGCGTATTCCCGATTTCAGGTATTTCAAGTACATATCAGTCAGGTAAGCTCATAGCATGTAACAACTCGATCTATATAAGGCCAAAATCTTACTATTCAAACATTAACTTCTGGTTGATATGTTCCTAGCCAATCTCTTGCAACGTATTTGTTATTAATAGAGACTTCCGTGTGCCTCATGATTACATCGTATTGCACCATTCGAGATTTCTTAGGCCAAAAACTTGAAAAGAAAGAAGTTCAGCAGCGATTTCTTATATCAGAGACACAGTGAACAATAGGAAATCATCAAGCAGAGATTACGACAAAGCTACTAGGTTCGGGCAGAGATCGCAGGGTTCCACCTATGAGGGGTCCAGGCTTTTACACTTTAGCCATCCGACTGGGACGCCACCTTCCACATTATCTGACACATTAATTATCTTCAGATGTTGGGAAATCAGCAAAAATGTGATTTTGGTTCCAGAACACGATCGATTCCACCTACCAAATGTGCTTGCAATAATGTTCGGATTCCGCCCCACCTTTACTCCATCGAGAGCGCGCATCCGTAATGATTACGACTCTATGATGTGAGTAAGTCCGAAACACCATGACAATAGAAGATGGAAGCAACAAAAAAGGTTAGAGGTTTTGGACGAAGCAGGGGTTCCGCTCTCATGCACGAATATCTGAGGAGCCTAGACAAATCCTAGTGGTACGATCAGCTTACTCAAACTTGTAGCTAACGGAGTAACCGTGGCGAAATATATTGCAGAGGTACTTCCTTTAATAACCAGGGATATCCATCATTCTCACTAATCATCTAGTCCTTGTGCAGTTCACAGCTAGAAGTCTGGATGATATCAGGGACGCAACGTGTGAAGTAGACGTCTGCGTGATATCTCATCCCATTGGACCGATCCTGGAGAACATACCCACCATGCAGTATGCTCTTTATCTTCTATGTTGGACTGGATGCCGCCGATTATGTGGAACCTTGAGCTTTCAAACTGTCAGCGGTGTAATGGAACGAGCGACATTGGAGGTCAAGATTGACAACTTAATTCGGGAATATGAATATTTTTCGGGGAAACCATTGTGGTACGGCTATGATGGGAACAGATATCAAGCTCCAAGGGGGTGGAGACGTGATTTCAAATGGCACCTTCGATCGTATGGTCGCTGGGAAGGCTATCAGTATTGGACAAATTGTTATGATACAGTTCGTGATACTGAGAATTTTTTTATCTGGTCACGATGAGGTGTTATTTAGTTGAATTTCCGCCGGATGTAATGTGAAAATACCAATATTAATCAGTTCCATATTGTTCTGAAGTCCAAGATGATGCTCCCCACTTCTACCCCTTTCTTACTCGCCTCAATCACAATGAGATTCACCTTTTCCGCAGACCATCATGAAGCCCGTTCATTTTGTCAAAATTGTGAACAGGGCGGACACTGCACACGTCAGCGGCTAGAGAACTAATGAGTTTCAACGAAGACGAGATCCAGTAAAATGCCTGGTGGGGGAACAATTGGTGGGCGATCGTCGCGACGCTAAACCTCAGTGATGGTTAGCTGCATGACAAGCTACCTCATCGGCTGACTTACGCATCCTCACCATCGAGACTTAACATGCACGTGTACGATTTGTGCCTTCTGCTTTGCGGGTGACAATGGACTTGTAAAGGAGGCCAGATCAGGTCGCATGAGGGCAAGAGTGACACGGAACGGATTTAAATGAGGGTGGACGACATTCTCAAGCGTGCCATTGACACATTCCCTCTTTAGTTCTTCCATGCCCTCTTTGGCCTAATCATCAAAATGACCATCTCCCACTATGGTGTCTGGGCCTGTCAGCCTACTCGCTATACCGCTGAGACTGAGAAGCAGGACTCCAAGTCCCCCCATATCTATCTTTACTTCACCGACGACTCCTCGTCCAACAAGAAGCTCGAGGCAGCCATCAATGTCAAGTCTACCGATAAGGATACCCGTCTTGTCTTTTGGCTGAACCGCAATTTCAACCACCCCATCACCGAAGAGCTTTCGCAACTCGAGCAGGGTTTCCATCTGGCCCAGTCAAGTGCCTATTCCAATTCAACCCATGATGAGAACAGTCAACATTCTTCTCACTATCAAAGTCACGGTCACCACCATAAACACAGCAACCGTGAGCGCCTTGTTCGCAGACAAGAGTCCACCTTGCAGGGTCTTGACTACGTCCGTACGAAGGGCCTTATCGATATCGAGTCTGGTCAAGTCCTCCCGCATGACATACCTGGTCCTAACAACGACATTCTGGACAAGCTCGACCCCATTCTGACCGACGCGATCAACAAAAAAGCGACTGCCTATATCTTTGGATCATCATATGGCTCCGGTATTCATGATGTGCACATGAACCAGGGCAGTCTTCCCAGTTTCGATAACGGCATTTACGAAGATGGAGCATTGTTGTTCAAGTTCGATGACGGACACTGGGAGGCTGTGTTCCTGGCCTTTGCCTCGCAGAAGATCCCGACGGATGACCAAGGTGAAGCACAGTCAAACAGCAAGTCGCTGGCGGATATTCTGGGACAGTAATTAGACTTTAAAGACAAAAGATCTATGATCTTGTTGGGACCATCAAGCTTGTCAGCTTTCAATGCTCTGGATGGGGTGGTGTACTTATCTACAGAGTCGGACCCGTTTTTATGCAAGCGCCAAGAACGTATCGCTCCATGACTATACTACAAACTAGCCTTAGATTTACCCTATCTCTGTTTCCGCACTATTCTCCGCAAATCATACTAAAGAATAACGCGCTCTCCCTTGTCATCCAAGCTGGTACAGCAAGCCGTCCCCGAAGGTGCTATGTAGCGGCTTGCAGGAAAGGTATTAGAGATTTATCATTTGAAAACTTTCAACTCTCTAGCCTGGTGTTTCCCATATTTTACTCCTTGAGGAAGTAAAGATTTAGTGGTAAATAGGTTATCAGCCAATTGCTGGGTAATGATACGATGTTGGAAGATTTGTTTGTGTATGCATGTAGCACTGGTGACTCTGGCTGACAATGCACCTGCACGCGATAACTTTTGAGCGGAATCTATGATATAAGAGTAACTAGTTCTCGAAGCATTCATAACTGAATCTATTCTATAGTGTCCCTCAACACAAGAAATCGCCAACAGTCCTTCCGACATAAAAATTCCCCGCATAAGGTCACGTGGTTCTAGCGTCGGTTACCCTCGGCGCGGAGAGAATCATAGATAAAGGGCCATGCTGCAGTTCATCTACAACGAAGCCCCTCGATTGCGACCCGAGAGCATCATTTTCTTTCACTCGACTCTTCCAAGGTGATCCATGATGAACATCTTGCGCACCGGGGCCAGTGTTCCCCGCGTCCTGCGGCCCTGTCAACCCCAGAGTCTTCTCCGCACTCGTTTCCCCATACCACCCGCAGCGAGCCGCGCCTTTCACGCTGGCCCTTCGTTGTGGGGGATCAAGTCGCAGATTCTCAAGGATGTTGGTGAAGGTGAGTTTGCTTAGAGATTCGCTGTGGTTCTGTAGCATTTGTGAATGGAATTGATCGCTAATTCTGGGTAGGTATCACTGAGGTCCAGATCATCCAATGGTATGTGGAGGAGGGGGCTCATATTGAGGAGTGGAAGCCACTGTGTCAGTACCAGTCTGATAAGGCAGTAGACGATGTGAGTTGTTCTCAATTTCTTTCCTTCCTTGGCATGGGAAAGCTAATAAGAGCTTAGATTACATCGCGTTATGCGGGTGTCATTAAGAAGCTACACTTTGAGGCGGACGACACAGTACCCACTGGACGGGTAAGTTGTCGCAACCCCGGCTCCTTCCATTGTACTAGATCTTGCTAACCATTTGGCTAGGCTCTATGTGATATTGAAGTCGAAGACGGGAAATACCCCGACGATCAACATGCCCATGAACCAACACCAGAACCAGAGCCACATATTACTGCTCCAGAGTCTGAAATACTAGCCAGAGCTCAAGCAGCTGAAACATCTTCCATCGAGCCTCAGGTACCAGAGGAACTCGTCGAGATCCCCAAGTCCAAGCATGCATCCCTTGCAACGCCAGCCGTGCGAGGCCTTCTCAAAACACACAATGTGGACATTCTCGAAATCAACGGCACAGGCAAGGAAGGGCGAGTTCTCAAAGAGGATGTCCTCAAGTACGTGGAGAGCCGGGACTCTCCCGTATCAGCAGACTCTACGCCAGCTGCTCCATCCACTACCCCCGACGGCCGACAGACAGAGTCCGAAGTCAATCTTACCCCCATCCAATCCGCCATGTTCAAGACTATGACCAAATCCCTCAACACCCCACACTTACTATACGCCGATGAACTCAAAGTCAACGACATCACTTCCATCCGGAAGAAACTCATCAGTGACGCCCGTGATCCCAAGAAGATCACCTTCCTCCCCTTCGTCGTCAAAGCCGTCTCCCTAGCACTCAACCAATACCCCATCCTCAACGCCCGCGTCGACACAGCCGATCCCAACAAACCCAAGATCATCATGCGCGAAAAGCACAACATCGGCATCGCCATGGACACACCAAAGGGTCTCATCGTCCCCAACATCAAAGACGTAGCCAGCAGATCCATCTCCGACATTGCCGCCGAAATCTCACGGCTCAGCGCCCTGGGCAAGGAGGGCAAACTGGGCCCTGCTGACCTGAGCGGTGGAACCATCACAGTCTCGAATATCGGGAACATCGGTGGCACGTATGTGGCGCCGGTGATTGTGCCTACGGAGGTTGCTATTCTGGGCGTTGGGCGGACTAGGACGGTTCCTGTGTTTGATGAGCAGGGTGAGGTTACGCGGGGGGAGATGGTTAACTTTAGTTGGAGTGCGGATCATCGGGTTATTGATGGGGCGACGATGGCGCGGATGGGGAATAGGGTGCGCGAGTTGATTGAGTCGCCTGAGTTGATGCTTCTTAATTTGAGATGAATAGAATACATAGAGGCATAAAAGGATGCAATTTGATATCATGTTGATGTTGGCATTTCAGCTATAGGACACGACTTTTTTCGGTACTTTGCGTGCAAGCTCCGAAGGTATACGTATGACTGATAGGCAGTTGACTGGGAGATTACTCGTTAGACTCAAAGTCATACGCTAGGGTTGTTGTGACCAAAGCATTCAGCTAAATGCATTCTGAAAATCAAATCAAGTCTATTGGGAACATAGACAGTAGTTGCTATGCATTTGCCCCGACGTATGGGGGTATCAAGACACGAACCCACTTAGAGTCGTACAGTCACGCCACAGACAAAATGCAAGCCATATGAGAAAACAAAAAAAAACGCCGATCAAAACAGAACCCAATTCCAAAAAGTCCGGCAAGAGTAAGAGACCATTCCAGTCCATCTGGGCCGGCTAATTCCGGATATCATCCAAAGAAACACCAAAGACACCATGCGGAGGAAGCGCGATTCCTCACATGCAAAAACCACACATTCGCACATCGTTAACCATTGCGGTTCTTCTTTTTCTCTCACATGTACTCCGAGAGCTTCTTCGTCACGGCATCGATTACCTCGCGCTGCACCTGCTCTGGCGCACCCTCGACATTGATCGTGATGGCGTCCCACTCTTTCTCCGGCTCCTCGAGCGCCTGCATTTGGGAGCGGACCATGTCGCTCTTCATGTAGTGGGACGTACGCTGGCTGACACGCTGCATGAGGACCTCTTCGCTGAGCTTGAGGTAGATAAACTGAATCTGGACGGAGGGCGAGCCGTAGGCGGCGATGCGCATGACGTCGCGGTACTTCTGCTTCAGCGCGGAACAGGCGACCACGACGCCGGCAGGGGGGTGGAAGTTGTTGGCCTCGGAGGGGGAAAGGGCTTCGATGGCGGCTTTGCGGAGGGAGATCAGCCAGTCCCAGCGGTCTTCGTCGGTGAGAGGGATGCCGTTGCCCATTTTCTCCTTGTTGGATTTGGGGTGGTACTATTCCATTCGAGTGTCAGTTTCTTTTCTTCTGGCTCTCAATTGAAGGGTTATGGTTCGAGGAACCAATGCGCAGGGCAACGTACATCATCACCTTCCAAGAAAGGCACCCCTAGTTCTATACGCAGACCATTGCCCACGGTGCTCTTTCCACACCCTGCAGGGCCCGTGACAATCCAGATATGTTGGACATGAGCCGGCTTAGGGCGCTTCTCCTGGATCAGGTTGGACGGGTTCGAGGAGGAGCCAGGCTTGGCTTCAAAATCAGGCATGGTGTGCCCCTTGCCCACCGAGACGGAAGGCGGATCTACTATAGCAGATGAGTGCGGAGGCTGAGGCCGTTCGCCGGCGGAAAGCATGATGCTGAAGGCAAGAAAAATGCGCTAGGGCTTTATCGTAAGGAACGGGACGTCCAGGTCGGTCCTGAAAGGGGGTGTTGATCCAGGGAAATTGGCCGGAGGTGAATGGATGACGAAACGATGCGGTGATACGCGGAAGAGAGCGCACTAGGTGTCCAGGGAGACTGATTCTATACAAATGCTGATAAATATGCACAATGCACACGAGACGGTCGACACTGAGGGCTGTCTCTTTTTTTTTTTTAAGGTCTGGAGAGAGTGCGGTCGGGGCGAGGAAGGGAGGACAGAGTCGCGCGACAAGGGCCGAGTCAGGGCTACTTTTTAAGTATTTCAGGTATGGCAGTGGGGAAGAAGACGAAACCGAAGAAAGCAGAAGCCGAGTGGGGGACTGGCCCAGTGGCCTGGAGAAATCCGCGATGATTCGCTGGACTGCAGGGCCCTCATTACCCGAGTGGAGGAGGAGGCGTGGGATGGCCAACATCATGTCCTTCGTTGGGTTCTGCAGAGTCCGTTGGGCGATCGCTTCTGCAGTCCCCCTGGCACTCCACAGGAGCATCGCGCTTCGAGTTGGGTATCAACATCTTAGCAGCCTCTGAACAGAGACATGCTGGGTCTGGTTCAGACTGAACTTTCGTGTCAACCCGTCGGCATTTGCTGAGATGACCAGGGGTGGGCACATGATGTCACTAGATTTTCTGGTATTGTAAACGGTATCAGACGCGTATTTGTGCTGCCCCCACGCTAGTCCAACCCTGCTGCGGAAACGTGGTGGCTCCGAGGACTTGGTACTGGTGTATTCATGGTATTTTTGTACTTTGTTCTTTGTACTTTGTCCTCCGAGTCGAGACGAGGAGGTGTATAGCCCCAGACATAGCATTCACTACTCCTCTAGCTTCCTACTGTTATGGTCCTTTCCAGATCGCTCAGTGAGTCCGGCCCCTCGAGACTCATCACAATCTCGAAAAAAGCAAGTTCACTTTGGATCGGAACAGACCATATACACTTCCCTGTCTGTCGTATGCCTACCATGAGGCAAACACGACACCTCTAGGTAGGGGACACGTTTCGGCATAATGACTGCCAAGTTCGGTGAGAAGTGAGAAACCAACTCAATGGCCAGCTGAAACGGATTAATACCAGTCTACTATCGTGCCTAACTGGACTCGGGCCATCACTTACGAGGGCATCAGCAGGAGTTCTGCAGGACTGTCACACCGACTCCGGGCTTAGGCCCGGTTACATTGGCCATAGTTGCCCGTCTGCGCATGAGAAATTTTTCTGCTTTTAGCCGGATTGACTGGATAATTCTCCATGGATTCTTTGAACAACCCCACACCGCATCGGAGGGAATCAGACGTTGGTCCTGTCGGAAATCTGGGGAAGTCAACTCGCAGGGATACAGTACCCTGCCACTGTAGGCAAAAAGGACGAGGCTCGGGAAGTAGAATCCGGTGCCGCAGGTAGGTTTCACCTTGCAGGAAACTGTCATGGAATAACTGGCTCCGTGGAGGCTGAGAGAGTAAAACCAAACTCAAACCAACTGTTCTTTCTTGCTTCATTTGCACTAGTAACGGTTCGTGGGACATGGACATGATGGAGGGAAGTCCTTATACTTCGAATATCTGCAGCCAGTAGATGACATCAATGACCAACCAATTTTGCCCAGGAAGCTCAGAACTGTCTCCATTTATCTCCTAGCTATGATATCACGCTCCAATATTCAACTAGCATCTGGACATAAGTTGTAAACAGTTGTAAACAATTTTGTTACTTCGTCATTGCTGTGGTTTGTCATGGAAAATTCACGGCTGCCTGCGGGGAATTACGTAAGCAGCGAGGCCACGTTCGGGATCATCATCGTGAGCTCGACTCCGCGCACCTCTCCCAGCTGCACACGATGGCTTCCCTGTTCTTCTCCACCCCCGTCGACATTGACGTCGTTCTCGAGGACCTCGATGAGCGCCAGACTGTCGATGTCAAGCTCGACAAGGGCCGCCGCGAGCGCGTCCCCCTGTACATGGACGGCGAGTCGGTCAAGGGTGCCGTAACAATTCGACCAAAGGATGGCAAGCGATTGGAGCACACAGGCATCAAGGTGCAATTCATCGGCACAATCGGTACGTTTGCATCTTCCTGGACACTTGGTATGGCTGTCCAGAGACTGACAGGAGCCGGCATCCAGAGATGTTCTACGACCGAGGCACCCACTACGAATTCCTATCGTTGGTCCAAGAATTGGCCGCCCCAGGCGAACTGCTACACCCGCAAACATTCCCTTTCAACTTCAAGAATGTAGAAAAACAATACGAATCATACAATGGAATCAACGTCAAGCTGCGCTACTTCGTGCGCGTGACGGTCTCCCGGCGCATGGCCGACGTCATCCGCGAGAAGGACCTGTGGGTGTACTCCTATCGCATGCCTCCAGAGACCAACAGCCCGATCAAGATGGACGTTGGAATCGAGGACTGCCTGCATATTGAGTTTGAGTACTCCAAATCCAAGTACCACCTCAAGGATGTGATTGTTGGTCGGATCTACTTCTTGCTCGTGCGCCTTAAGATTAAGCATATGGAGCTGTCTATCATTCGACGGGAGACTACAGGATCTCCACCAAACCAATATAATGAGAGCGAGACGCTCGTGCGCTTCGAGGTATGTTTTTTTGACTTGATGCAAGCTCCATGTTTCTTGCTGGGGCTTTGCTCGGAACCGATTTAAATGACGGGGGACTGGGCTGATGCAATTTTAGATAATGGACGGGTCTCCATCAAGAGGTCAGTGGCTGATGTCCTTGGTACTGTCCAAAGCACTGAATTGTGCCACTGGATAGCGGCTGTGTTGAGCCGGAATCAACCTCATTTCTCAACTGCTGACTTGTTGCAGGTGAAACAATTCCGATTCGTCTCTTCCTGGGTGGTTTCGACCTCACGCCCACATTCCGCGACGTCAACAAGAAGTACTCAACACGGTACTATCTCAGCCTGGTGCTCATTGATGAAGGTGTGTAGCCACTCTCCCTCCTTATTCCCAGCCCTGTTCTGCCCCGATGTCGTGGGAGAAAATCGGCCTTCTTTGGCGCATCATGAATGATACCAGCCATTGGAGCATGGAAAGCGAAACCGGTTGATATCAATCATACCAATACCCGTCGGCAAATGATACGAGCCGATCGGTTCGGGTTGAACCACCCCACGCCGTTTCGCAGTTCCCGACTTTGCCGTCTCGCCCACCCCCACACTAACCTGGTCTTGGCATCTCAACACCTCCACTGGAATTGATGAACCACACCGTTCCTGAAAATTTTGTGCGGAAAATTGACCACTAACGTGGTCTTGAACAGATGCTCGTCGTTACTTCAAGCAATCCGAGATCGCCCTCTTCCGCCAAGCTCCCGAGATTGCCGCCACCCCTCAGATCGCCCAACAGCAGCAAATCCAGCAGCAGGTCCTTCTGCAGCAACAGCAGGCAGTTCTGCCGCCAGGATCTGCGACGGCCGGCCCAGGGCGCGAAGTGCCTTCAGCCGCCAGCCGGGAGAATAATACACCCGCCCCTGTCTCGGCGCCGGCCGCATGATCTTCCTATCGAGGTTGGTGCTATTGCACATTGTATCTCTGGGGGCTGCGGCGTGAACGTCTAGAATCCTTTGCTTGCCCTCTCTCCTATACCCACATCGGTCCTCCGGCCACATTTCATTTACCCTCTTCCCCTCCATCTTTCTACTTGTCTACCTTCGTGTGCCTACTCATTGGCTCCTCTCACGGTCATGTCACGATACCATTCTGTAGTCTACCGTTTCCATCCTCCTCGCATTTCAATAAAACGAGGAGTTAGTCCCATTCAAAGTACTTCAATTCTTGGGTCCATTGCAAAATGCACTTCCCCTGTAACGCCAGTTTATGGAAAGGGGGTTAGATACATAGAAAAAGAATACATGACTAGAGTTCAAAGGTCCCCTTGCGAATCAACCTAATCGAACTGGCCGAGTTCCCGTAGCACTTTGCCGAGCGCCCGCAGAATCTGTCCGTCATCTCGTTCTTTGCCGGCGACCTGGACCGCCTTGACAATGAGCGGGAACATCCATTCGAGATGCTTACGATGATGACGCGCCGTTGAAGCGTCATCCGTGGACAATGCCGTGCTCATAGAGGGCGGGTCCGGTATGGCCGATGGCTCGCTCTGCAGCTGCACCATGTGCAGGAGAAGATGAAGCAGCGCTTTGCGTGCGGGCGTGGGCTGGGGCATCAGGCCGCGGAGGGGCTGATCTGCGATGTAGCCCTTGAGTGGAATTGCACAGCGGAGAAGGAGGTATGGAGAGATGGAGCAAGCCAGTAGTGTCTGGAAGCATGGTTTGGAGCCATCAGACTCCGGACTTTCCGCAAGTTCGAAGAGAGTGTCTATCAGAGCGTACGCCATGTTCGGGCGCAAAGTAGGCGGTGGGTCGAAGGTGCGGCCTGAGCGTATTCTATAAAAGTCTTGTAACGGGGCTTTCTCAATCAAGTTGGAAGGCAGGTCTAAGCGCTGGGGTGGGTAGATGAACGAGGAGTGGAAGAGCGCGAGGGCAAAGTTTCGGCGGACAGCATCCGGGATGGCAGAGGCGCCGAGGGAGGGAAGAATGAGTGTCTTCAGGCGGGTAAATGAGGCAATGTCGAAAGCCTCGTCGGCGACGATTCGAGCATTCGGTAGCTGCTGGGTTTGGAATCCGTGAGCGGAGACAATGCCATGGGTGATGTCAACCACGCAACTCCAGAATCTTGCTATGTCGGCTTCACTTGCCCTGTCGTACTGCTTTTCGACGTAGGGAACAGCAACGTGAAGGACACTCAATGATGCGGTAGAGGCCTGCTGCCACATGAATGGCTCGCGATCTTTGCCTTCCCATATGTACTTTTGTAGGATCAGTTTACCAAAGCGTTCGAGGGTCGAGGACAAAGCGTGATTTGAGAGGATATCCTGCTTGATACCGAAATCGGCAATGTACCAGCTGATCAGATCGATGGTGGCTTTTGAAAAGGCAACAAAGCCTGGTTTTCTCGAGTCATGACCAGGTCTCCATTTCGTCAAAGCCGAATCGGACAGATCAGACAGACACAACAGGATAGCAGCCTGAGACTCCTCTTTCTCCTTACAGAGGGTTTTGATGCACTCAATAACCATGGCTTGCAGGGCAGAAGGGCGGTCGACATCCGGAGAGTATGGCGGAGACACCGAGTTCCACACTAGCAGGCGCAGATGCTGAAGCACCTTCTCGATATTTGCCGGGCTCAGGTAATCGTTATATAAGCGATAGATCTGCTGGAAGCTTTGCATGTACGCTAGAGCAGCATCTTGATTGGGTCGATTGAGGTCAATAGCTGTCTCGTCATTTGCAGGATGACCGCTGGCCCAAAGGTTCCACGCGCATTCTCGAGCCTCCTTACTCAGGCCTTCGGGAGACTGTACTCGAGTTAAGACAGCCGAAAGGCTGGCAAATGTTGCCTCGCTGAACTCCAGAAGACGCATGCCCAACAATCCGTGGAGGAACTTGAGAAGTCTTGTCCAGGACTGATCGAAATTCTCGTCGCTCACGATAGTTTCAAAGAAATTCGTGATCAGGTTCAAGACCCCTTTGATCATCAACACAGTTGTCTCCACCCATGACTTGTAATCATCCTTAGCACTTTCCTCTTTCTTGGCTTCAAACAGGGTAGTACTGATATTTTCCACCATCGAGAATAGGACGCGGTTCAAACATAGTCGCCACGCCATTGGAGAAAGTTGCTGCCCGTAGGCATCGAAAATTCTCAGGAGGGTGTGAATCGCACTGTTTCGAATCTCGGATCTTGTGTCTGTAGTGATTCCAACGATACGGAGAAGCAGTAATAGCCACAGAGAGTTTCTGGACACGGAGGCATCCTGATCGCATGCCAGATTTCCGAGTTCCTCCTCAGTAACAGCAGTAACAACGTGGGTCTCGACTGCGAATTCTTCAATTTGCCCTCGCAGGAAATCGGAAACATTCCAGAAGAAAGAAGTGGTCGACAAGGAGATGTTGAAATCCTGGGTTTGGGATGCAAAGCTGGAGAACGAGTTCACCAGGGCCAGGAGACAGGGTGCTGGAAGCAAAGAGAGGAAATCAGAAGCAACAAGATGCAATGACTTGTAGGCAGCGCGGACCAGACGCGGGCCACCTGGTAAAGCAGACCTCCTGCGTTCAGTCGGCGTAGTCAGCTGGGTACTGGTTCCTGCTTTGGAAACGTCTCGGAATACACCAGAGATCAAGTCAAATATGACACTCCACCCGTCCACGAGGGTCTCCGCATATTGTTCCAGAATACCGTGGAGGATCTCCAGACTCTGTTCATGGATCTGAATCACAGTGATCGGAAGTGATTTGACGGTCACCTGATCCGACGAATAGAGAGTTGTGATTTGATTCTTAAGTGTCTGTAGGTTCCTTGTCTGGACCTTGTTTCGAGTCTGGTCATCATCTGCTTCTCTCGGTTTCATTGTCAGATAGATCAATGAATTGAGAATGCTGCTGGCCTGTAGGCGGAGATTAGGGCTGATTGCAGTGTTGGCAGACGTTGTGATGAGGCTTCCACTAAGGAGTTGCCACGCTGCAATGTTCTCGTCGTCAAGTGAAGATAGCCTGTCGAGGTTCGCCCGGCCTAACTCATTCCCTTTTTCGAGTACAAACTTTAGCTCCTCGTCCTGCATTCGCGATTTACCCACAGTATGCGAAACGCGACGAGCATTTTGATGCATGCGTCCGGATTTACGCGCAGACTGCGGGGAAGTCGGTGTCTCAGGCATTTCTTGGGCTGATTCTTGCTCGGTGAAGGCGGAAAGGTTCAGCAAGGCAAGCAATATTTCCCGAAAAGATGCACTAGGATAGTCGCTGGTGCTTTCAAACATCTTTGCAGAAGCTGTCTGCACTGCGATGACCTCCGCTCCAAGATTTGCTGTCGGAATATCATTGCCAGAAATGACTATTGCTTCCCCTGAGGCACTGGCTGATTTTAGCATCGTACTGGAAGATATGCCAATCACCAGCCCAGCGTATTGAAGTGTTTCGAGCAAAATGGACCAGGCTGACTGATCCAATGTTGGTCCCAGTGCAATTCCGAGATTTAGCAAAGCGCGCAGACACAAGAGATTCCTTGTGCTCAAGGAAACCGAAGAGGCCTCAGCGGCCGACGAACCAGTCGAGTCCCCCGGTAAGGAGCTTGATCGAGGCATATCCGAGCTCTTACGATTCCTTTGAGGGGTATTGTCGGACTGGGGACCACCTATAGACGGCGTAGTAGGGGTTTGTGTCTTAGCACCAATTGTGCCCGCCGGAATTGCAGCCTTCCCGAGTGTTGTGAGAAATGCATCTCGAGGCACAGAAAGTCTTAGGAGACCCGCTACATGGGCCAGTTTCTGAAACGCTCGAACGAGGTTATGGTAAAATTCGTCGTCCAGTGAAGCATGCAAGAAAGTGGAACAAGCTGCAAGAACAGCGGGCCAGCAGTCTTCAATGATACCAGCGCATGTCTTAATGGCCGAATACTGGATATGAGACTTCAACTCCAGAGGATTGATTGGGACCGCTGATTTCCTGAGCGGCGATACAGTATGGGCGCGCAAAGTGTCTGGTGATTGAAGATCTTGAGAGGAGCGGGCAGAATCAGCTGCTTGATCTGGAATCATGATTCTGTTCTTCTTCTTTGATTTCACGTCTGGGACAGTGAGTGGTAAGATGAACTTGGCGAGTCCCTCGGCAAAGCTGCTGATGCAGTTGAGAACGAGGCTGTAGATATAAGTGTCCGGGGGCAGCGGCGGGTCGGCTTTATCAAGGAGCTCGATGTAGGGCGTCCGCACCACACTCCACTGGCTGCTGATACCAGGCACCTTAGTTTCAGCAGGAGGACCAGTAGATCCAATGACACCAGCGACACCACCAGTCTCGAGAGCAATCTGATCTTCCGTTGCTGACCTTGTATGCTCTGCTCGGAGCGGTATTGTTGACTGGTTGCTCACTCCAATCAATGATGGCTTTTCAGAGGCTAGTCGGACAAGAGAAGCCATATGATCCCTAAGGACATTCTTCCTCTTTTCGTCACCATCATACAACGAGTAAATTAGTCGAACAACTCCAGGTTCGGCGTAAAGGCCTCGGAAGACCTCCATGCATAAGACACGTTTCCATGGTGCATTACCATCCGGCTCGAGCAAATGAGTCAATAAACCAAGTGCCATCTCACACTCCGCAGTCAAGAGAGACATATGACTTTTCAGGAGTACGAGTAGAATACGTGCAACGCGGACAGTCTGAGAGAACGAATGTCTTTCAGAGAAATATCGTACTGTGAGTGGCATCAGACGAACCCGCAAGACTTGCAATAGTTCCGGATGCCCCACAAAGAGACGGCCACTGTTGAGGATGATGCTTTCTATTAGCTCCAAAACAAATGTTGGGGCTAAAGTTCTCGTGCGTAGAAACTGCAACTGCTCTCCATCAATGAGACGACAGAGATCATCCAAGACCTATTTGAAAAGAGAGTCAGCATCACAAAAAACAACTAAACACATAGAATCTGACCTGCAAAGCGTCATATGCGAACTGGGCCACCTCCACAGGATGGCCATCAACCTTGACACTCGTGAAGGATTTAGCATCCTTTGGGAGCTCTTTTCATGCATAAATCAGTCTCTGCATGTAGTGTCTGAAGGCATTTATAACTTACTGTCTTCACTTGATACCCTTTCGAAAGTCGAGACAACCAGTTGCTGGAGGGTCGCAGCCGCAGTGCTGCTAACTGCAAGGGTCTTGCTGGCCTGCAAAGTTGCACATATCTCCAATGTATTTGCTAGGAGATCACCACTCAGATCATTCGAATAAAATTGAAGAAGTGAAGGCAAAGACTGCAGAATCTTCAACTGGATATCAAGGCCTAAAATCTGTGAGTAATCTCTTGTGCATTGATCAGCTCAGTGAGTGGCCACATACTTAAGCCAGTTGTCTCTTTTAGACCTGCTAAAACATCTTTCAAACGACTGGAAGGCAGTGCCCGAGATGCGATCAGTCGTTGCAGGCAAATCACGCCGATTCCCGCAAGTTTCGCGTGCCGCGTATGACAGGCGATGATGAACGGCTCAACAAATGCAGGTTTACGCACGAGGTCTGATTCGATTATCAGCCAACTTGCAACTCTGTCACGAATTTTACAGGCTTACCTGCGGAGATCTGGGCTTCAGATGTCGAGGGCAGAGCCTTTAGCTCATTCAGGGACTGCTCGGCTGCCTGGATCTTCTGGTCAATGTCTGGTCTGGGTAATGTCCGAGAAGAGATGAACTGACTGTTCGGAGGTCGGCATTCTTCCGTCGAGACTCTTGTATGAGGTTTGCGAGCTCGGTCTGCAAGAATTGAGAGGACATTTCTAATGTAAAGCGGCTACATTCAACGCATGGCCGATGCTATCGTCCAAGTGGCCGAAGGTCCGAGGGTCAACAATCGGTGATCTCTTGGCCACAAGTTTATGAGCTGGCCGGTTTCGTTGCAGGTTAGAGTCTGTGAAGCTTCTGGTCAAATTTTATCTAGATGCAACACCTGCAAGGGCCGTGTTCGTTCTCGAAGGCTCGCGAATTAGATGCGCAATCAACAACCCCCGGCGTGGCATCTCCAGTGCCAAGCCTCCCGATAAGACCCGTATCGCACGTGACTAGTGGTCATCGATTCAGTAGCGGCGGGCCGCAGGAAAGTGCCCCTCCCTCCAATCCTCACGAACCGCTCCTTCACCTTTGTGCTGTCGCTGGATCCGAATCGATCAACCGATATTAACTGTTTCCAAAATGTCTGCCACGATTCCGCGAAACTTCCGCCTCCTGGAGGAGCTCGAGAAAGGCGAGAAAGGCCTAGGCGCAGGTATGGAGCATCCTGGTCTCCAATAACACCGGATCAGCCACTAACAGATGACGCTCGTCAATTGCAGAGGCTTGCTCTTACGGACTCGCTGATGGAGAGGACATGATGATGAGCAACTGGAACGGAACCATCTTAGGGCCCCCCACGTTTGTCTACCTTCAACCAGCGCATCGAGTGTCGTGTGCCCTCGTACCTTGCTAACAACCCGGTACATTAGAGCGTCCACGAGAACCGGATATACAGTGTCAACATCCACTGTGGACCAGACTACCCCGACAACCCTCCTACCATTCAGTTCGTTTCGCGCGTCAACATCCCGTGCGTCGACCAGCAAACAGGCAAGGTACGAGTTGTATTATTGATATCCGAAAGAAGTCCAGGACACTAAATTGATAATATCTTAGGTCGATCCATCCAAACTCCCGTGTCTTGCTCAATGGAAGCGAAGCCATACCATGGAGACCGTCTTAATCGAGCTGCGGAGGTTAGATATCCATATAGCTTCCAGATACTAGCTTACGTTATGCTGACTGACCATCTAGATACATGGCCTTGCCCCAGCACAAGAAGATCGCCCAGCCCCCAGAGGGTTCGACTTTCTAAAACCCGCATTTCATTCATAGGGTCTCGAAGGAACGCGGAGTACCGTGGTCTTTTCAATGAGGTTCCTTTGCTTTATTTTCCTTTGTTCGTGATGATTCTTTTAGAGCGTGTATAGTTTATGCATGGCAGCATTGCGTGGGTTCTCTTAGCCCAATTAAATTCATTCATAACATTCGCAAAAATGTTGTTATCTGTACTCTTGACTAGATGGCGCTGGCTGCTGCTCTCGGTAATATGATCACAGCGTGCCATCTTCAAGCCTTTGATTCAACTCAATATTTTTAATTTCGTCCAATGCTGTAATTGAGATAGAGGCAAGTAGACAGAGATAGTTATCCAGCGTAAGATGATCCCGCCTGCGTCGGTTTGTACGATGTCAAATTCCAAGTCATTGTGATGAATCACATCTACATCTTTATTTTTCCTCACTCTCCACTAGTTACGCTACCTCTTCGGCCGTCTTTATACTTAGATTAATATCACGTGACACGCTTCCTCATTTGATCACTTGCGGAGGACTTCCGCAATTTGTCGAGTCTGCCTCCGAGATCACGGAATGCATAAGGTCCTAGTACCACGTGGGTCTGGTGTCCATCGCTTTGCTTGTGAGCTTGATTTTATCCATCCATTGTTGCCCAAGCTAATTTTGTGGTCCACCACAGGTCTGTCACTTTATAGGGCGCTCCTCCGACGATGTTCTCCCGCCGCTGCCGGTGATGCGCCCTGGCGCGACGAGACCAAGTTTCTCGTCAAGCAGAGATTTCGAAGATACACAAGGCTACAGAGCCCATCTCAGATTGCGAATGCTTTGAAAGCAGGATACGAGGTGCGCGTGGGCGAAGGCTTTCCTGGCATATCACCAATACTGAACTGCGAACAACTCGACTTAGGCTCTGGACTTGCTCGATCGCGCACATAAAGGAAACCAGCGGGCCTCCCTCAAGATTACTTCGATACTGTCTCAGGCAAAGTCTTTCAGGGAGCAATATGCCGCTCAGCAAAGAAGGATCGCGGAGCTGATGCCGCCGAAGCCGGTATCGCCGAGGCAGGCTCGAAAGGAAGTGACCATACGATTCGAGCAAGAGACCTCCCGCAAGCATCCGGAAGCTTTGTCTATTCTGAGTCGTCCACGGTTAACTCTTAGCGGGAAACGAAAGATCCCGGTCCTAGTCAATGCACGTGGTGTGCCGTTCTTGCGCATCAAGAAGCCTCAGCCAAGGAATCTGAGTGGCGTCATACGAAGCAAGCTCGAAAAGCGTTGGAACCGTATTGTGGCCCGAGACAGGCTAAAAGTGGAGCTTCTCTTTGCTAAGGACGAAGATGCTTGGGATCATCTCACCAGAGCCACAGAACAAGCAACGTGGTCGGAGGAGATCAAGCTTGCTCTGGACAACGTCTATGAGAAGATCCGAGGAACGGACAGGCAAAACCGGGAGCTAGCCGAAAGTATGTGGAGCATTGTGCTTGAAGAGAGAGAATTGGCCAAGAAAGAAGACGAGAAAAGACAGTTGGAGCGGTTGGCCATGCAAGACAAGGCTACTTGATCTTCCAATGGGGTTGATCACTGCAAGCCCAACATTCATCGGCCAGTTCTTGAATTCATCCGCGGCCTGGGCTTGGTGGTCGGCTCTTTATCGGGATGTACCCCGTTTTGTATAATAGATGATTCTCAATTATGATACCCCCAATTTTATCGATCGTTCAGACTTTGAACACCCCCTTCTATGGACGTATGAATAGCCAGAGAGTTAGATATTCTTCATGTCATCGTAGACTCGTTTTGTGCTATGTGCAAAAGCTTCCAGAGACACGTAGACCATGTGAAAAGGTACTTTCAAATACACCGGCCGTAATCACATCATGCAGTAACCTTGAGCTTATCCACTACAGGCATATCATCCTCTTCTTCTTCGTCATAATCGGCCTTGCCCGCCAGACCACGCTCCCACAGCTCTCGGCCTGTAAGCTTCTTCTCTTCCTTGGCAACTTTCTTCTTTTTGTCCTCGGCCTCCTTCTCCTCCCGCTGCCGCTGCTCATCCTCCTCTGTCTCTTTCTTGAAATCTGCAAGCCATTTCTGGAACGTCTCTCGATTGACTGGTGTGCCGCGGAATTTCCGGTTCTCTTCCTCCTCTGCCTTTTGAGCCACGAGCGCCTTCTTCTCCTCAACAGCCTGTACTCGATCCACCATCAACTGCTCTGCGGCTTCCTTCAGCGCACTAACAAGCGAGAAAACCATTGCCATTCCCATATTCTCTTCGATTGCATTGTTCAAGGCGCTTGTTAGGACCTCTTCATCTTGTGGGAGCTCAATAAGAGGGTGCTTTGGTGCATTAGGAACTGGCGTAATATTGAGTTCGGGGGCGATGTCGGGATAGTCTTCGGGGTATGAAACTTCAAGATAGATCACTGGCTGCTCTGGCTCGGGGCCATTCTCGGGGGGGTCGAGCGTTATCGAGATCTTGTACGAAGTTTCGGAAATGTCTTGGAACGAGCAAATTTAGCAACTTTGCATTCTCTTGGTCATGCACACTGTTGCAAGGCAATGAGGTAGGGCTCTACCTGTAATCTCATCTGGAAAAATTGAGTCAAGGACCTCGCGCTCCTCAATTTGGTCCTCGCGGCCCATTGCGTCTGATCCGCCCGCGGATTGGAGGGGTAATAAATATGCAGGCCGGCTGACAGGGGAGGAGAGATTCCACGTCAAATCGTCAAGAAGAGTATTTGTAAGGAAAAGACGGGTTTGAGCATTCAAGGCTCTTGGAGGCGTGTTCGTAAAAAGAAGATTAGCTCTTTCAGTCAAATCATCGCATTGCGTTTGCTCGACCGTGGTAAATGCTAATCTTGCGGTCCCGCATGCAAACCTGTCAAACAGCTCTAATTTTTGGGCGGAAGCTTCACTTTTTTACTCTGAATCTCCGACACTGAACACTACTATTCTTCCTCGTTTTTCATAAGACACATTCCTTGCTCTGTTTATTTGTTTCACAATAGACCTGCCATGGGAAAGCCCAGACCACAAAAGAAAAAGTCATCCAAGTCCCGCACAAAGTCCATCCTCGGCCCTGGTGGCTCGATCTCGAAACCCAAGATGTCCCAAGACCCCTCGACATTACTCGACCAGGCCACAATCCTCCTCCAGACGGGTCGAGTTGACGAGGCCCTACCAACCGCACAGCAGGCGCTAGACCTCGCTACCGAAAATGCGTCAGTACAACTTCAGGCGGTGAATCTTCTCGGTGAAATCAACGTTGAGCTTGGGGAGATCGAGACCGCTCGTGAATACTTCCTTCGTGCCATCGAGCAGGATCCCAATGGATCAATACCGGAATCGGAGGGTGGCGGCGCTGAGAAATTCATGTGGCTCGCCCAATTGAGCGAACAGGGTGGTGCGGACAGTGTCCAGTGGTTCGAAAAGGGTGTCTCGTCTCTCAGGCAGACTCTCCAGTCCTTGGAAGGAAAGACTGGCACTGAGGAGGTCGCTCTTGCAGAGGAAAAGAAGATCAAGTTGTCTAATGCGCTCTGCGCCGTCGCAGAGATCTATATGACTGACCTTTCGTAAGTTTCATGGTCTGCTGCAATCACGAAGGTTCCATGACTGACAGTCTGAATCACAGTTGGGAAGAAGACGCCGAGGCTCGGTGTGAGGCTCTTATCACAGAGGCTCTTACATTCACCCCCGACGCGCCAGAAGTCCTCCAGACCTTCGCTTCCATTCGGATATCACAGCTGAGGACCGAGGAAGCTCAGGAAGCCCTCAAACGAAGCATTAGCCTGTGGAAGGACCTGGCCCCCGAAGACCCTAAGGTGCCTGATTTTGCGGTACGCATTAGTCTTGCACGCCTTCTCATGGAAGTGACGCTGGAGTTCGAGGCTCTGGAAGTTCTTGAGCGTCTGATCCTCGAAGATGACCAAAGCGTGGAGGCGTGGTATCTTGGCGGCTGGTGTCTCTATCTGCTGGCGGAGAAGCAACAAGCGCCAAAAGATATCGCTGAAGATGAGGCCGCTGAATCGCCGCGACACGCGTCTTTGATTGCTAGTCGGGAGTGGCTAAAGCAAAGCTTGAAGCTTTACGATCTACTGGAGTATGAGGACGAGCCCCTCAAAGCTCACGCCCAAGAGCTCATCCAAGGGATGCTTGCCGAGATTGGAGAAGATGTGGATAGTGAGGCTGAGGGCGAGGGCGAGGGCGAGGGTGAGGAGTGGGATGAGGAAATTGAGGCGGACTCTGATGACGAAGATCACGAAATGGCCGATTCATAGATACAACAGCCAGTGATGATGTTTTACGCTTGTACAGTTCTCTTTATTTTTCTTGTTTTCTTTGTTGATACCACAAATAAAAAAGTTTGTCCCTCCCATAGATCTTCCCTTTCTTCCACCAACCATTCCTTCTTACTCCTCGCCACTGAACCACCTCGGCTCCGGATTAACCCTCTCCGGGCCTGCTGATACCGAATTTTTGTCGGCATTTACTGCGCGAAGAGTCGTCGAGGCTGTCAAAACTCCTGCAGGATGGACTTGGTACCAGCGCCGAGCGTGAAGACCCCGGTGAAGTCTCCTGTGGTCGAAGTGGAAGCTGTAGAGGCCGTGGACGTCGTGGAGCAGGTCGAAGCGGAGACGGTCGCGCTGGAAGAGGCGTCGTCCGAGTTTGAAACAGACAGCGATGATTCAGAGGACTGGGACACTCTGTCTCATGGCGGGGATACAATCCAGTTTTTGCGCGATGAACAGCTACGTGATGGACTTGGTATGGCTCTGCCTTTGATCTTACATCACCCCTTTACCCCAGCTTTCCCCGCGATCGATCACCCTGCCACAACATGCTTGGCTAACATGATGGCGCACTGTAGTTCCCGGTGCCTGTACCCTGGAAGAGGCCGTCGCCTTTCGGCAACGCCTTCATGATATTGGCAAAGCGGCCTTTGTGGAAGAGACTATCGCGCGGGAGACCGTGACGGCGAAGAAACTCTGTACGGCATTTGGAATCATGCCACCGTCATTCCTTGAGGGCGCGCCGGACGAGTCCTACCATCCGCTGTTGGCTGTCGCATTGTCTCGAGAATTCGCTCGGCGACCAAAGCTTCCTCAATACAACTCTGTTGAAGACGCTGTGCGGCTCTTGCAGGAGTCCAAGAATATCGTTGTCCTGACGGGCGCAGGTGTAGGTCTTCTAAGTTTACACATATCCCACGCCAAAACTAAAAGAGCACTTATATGCAGATTTCAACGAGTCTCGGCATTCCTGACTTCCGTTCTAAAGATACCGGTCTCTATTCGAAATTGGAACATCTTGGTTTAAGCGACCCTCAGGAGGTCTTTGACATCCATGTCTTCCGAGATGACCCTAGCGTCTTTTTCTCTATTGCCAAAGACATCCTCCCGACGGAGAAGAAATTCTCACCGACTCATGGATTCATCAAGCTTCTGCAGGACAAAGGGAAGTTGTTGACCAACTACACCCAGAACATTGACAATATTGAGGCCAACGCTGGGGTCCTACCGGAGAAGATTGTACAGTGTCATGGATCTTTCGCCACTGCGACTTGTGTCAAGTGCAAGTTCAAGGTTCTTGGTGACGCGATCTTCAGTGATATCAGACACGGCAAAATCCCTGAATGCACTGCTTGCCACGAGGCAATCGCTCAAGAAGCACTGAAACCACAAGGGCTTAAGCGGAAACGCAGCTCCAATGGACATCAAAAGGACCGTAAGGAGTTTGAAGACAGTTCGGATGAAGATGACTATGATATTCCAACTCCTGGCGTGATGAAGGTATGCGGCGATTTTCTATGACTGTAATTGTTGGTAGACCCATGCTAACTTCCGTACGCAAAGCCCGACATCACTTTCTTTGGCGAGGATCTCCCCGACGAGTTTGGCCAACGCCTGGTTCATCATGACCGAGAACTAGTGGATCTAGTTATCGTCATAGGGACTTCGCTCAAGGTAGCCCCTGTTGCAGAAGTGCCGGGCATTCTACCTCGTAACGTGCCACAGATCTATATCTCACGTACAGTATGTCAGCTCCCTCATCTCCTCTTTCCTGGCTGATGCTGATTCTTTTGGTAGCCTGTGTCCCATACAGGATTTGATATTGATCTCTTGGGCGATTGCGACGTGGTAGTTTCAGAGCTCTGCCGCAGGGCCGGCTGGGACCTGCTGCACCACATGATACCCGCGGATGAGAAGGTAGAGGTTACTCCCCTTGAGGGACACGAGTCACGACATGTGTTTACGGTTGTTGGCGCATAGCGGCGGAGTTTTGGAAATGGTTCTATGTAAGGGACGGCGTCTCTTGGGATTCATCCTTACTTGGGAATGAGATGGATTTTAGCACTTGCTTTTGTTTCTTGGCCCGAGTCATCGCGATAGAGTTTTATTTGATAATCAGTCAATACCATTGGATTTCCGCACAGACATGATTATATCCCTTTCCTACCTATTAAGTTACTATTGCCTGGGTCCGTACATTGTATCGCCCTTCCATTAACGTCAGGTGGATGGACCTCACAACCTACCTATTCCACAGCTTGGCTGTCCCTTTCCGTTTTAATGCTTAGCCCCTCGCCGCTTTTGCTCGTGCCTGAACTCTTCTTGATAGAGGTTAGGGCTCCAGATAGTCTAGATCAAGCCAGCTAGCCTAGCTTCAAACTAAATTAATGTTATTCATTATGGTCTACCCTAGACATGAACATGGATCATAAATTTATTATTTCATAGCATAGTATAACAAAGGCCAATTTAAGGCCGAACGAACAATTACATCACAGGCGCGTCGCGTCAACACCAGGAACCAGTCGGGCCAATCTTCAGCTGGAAGAGAACGAAGAGCCCACTTCGTCTGGTCTATGGCGCGACGGAAGACACACGAAGCCCCACAAAGCACCTATCCCAAGGTAGCCTACTAAGTACCCCGGCTAGTGAAAGTACACAAAATCTAGGGCGGTAGCACCTTAGGAATAGGGGCGATACGCGAGCTGCTATTAAGAGAATCCTTGCCTACATCGAGCTTAGCTACAAGTTACTCCGTAAATAGAGCAGAGAACGTGGCTCGGAACGGAAGTCTGTCCTGCGGAATTGACCACAGTATGGTCCGCAGGCAGACGTCGATATATCTCTGCGGCGGGGGACTTCCAAGATCTACCGCAACACGTGATTATGTTTACGCTGAAACGTTATAGAAATCATTCGTCATTTGAAACAGTCCGAGGATTCGTCCATAGTTCGCTACGGGTATGATATGGCCATCTATATGGCATGTTAGTTGGTGGGCTGCTGTCGTGACTTAAAGTTGGCGACCCAAAAACTGGCGAGGAAAAAACTTCAACTCCCGTCCACTACTCGTTAACACCACCCCCCACCACTCACAATCGACCAATTAATACATGCATTCCACGAACCAACGCCTAACGATTAATCGATATTTTGATACTCAAAAAGACGAAGAGAGAGGAAGAAACGCTCAATATTAGACTTGTCACCATGGAGTATCTGGTGCGACTCGCCCAGTGCCATGAGACATTTCGGCAACCAGAGCTTCAGGCCGTGGCTACACTGCTTGGCATTGAAATGAAGATAATTGCCTACAACGAATTTGTATGTGAAATTCAAATAAACCATTCGGGATTTTATTAAGAATTCAACCTGGATTTCATTCATTGAACATTCTTCGCTCCCCTCCACCTCCATCGCGCTTGCATGCCTCGATCCGCACTAACAGAAGCCCAACAGACACCATTCTGCGTGGTAAAACTGAAAGACGAAGCCGCGGCGCGTGCGCTGATATCGCGCAGTATCCTGGCAAAAGATATTCTTGAACTCTGGGGCCAGGGTACAACCTATGAAGCATTACATGCCGACGTCCATCGGAGAACGCAACACCGATGGGCAGACTACCACCGTGTCAAATACGCACTTGCTGTCGATTGCTTTGCGGGCAAGCGGAGTACAGCGAAGAAAACCGAGATCTTCGAGTCATTCGACTACTTGAATCTAAAAGGCGAGGTGCGGCTGAAGAACCCCGATGAGCAATTTTGCGTCGTCGAAGACTACGTGACAGACATCGAGGAAAATGCCATCGGCACAAAGAGGTCGTCCGAGCCACGGATGATTTACTTGGGACGCTGGCTTGCGAAAAGTCCTCGCGACATTATCCTGTCTCACAATCTCAAAAAACGCAAGTACATCAGTACCACGTCCATGGATGCAGAGTTATCCTTGGTCACGGCCAATATGGCTCTTGCAGCTCCTGGGAAGGTCTTCTTCGATCCTTTTGTTGGGGCTGGAAGCTTTCTGGTGGCAGCCTCGCACTTTGGCGCTCTGACTATGGGCTCTGATATTGATCCTCGAGCCTTTCGTGGCAAGGATCACGAGCGTAAAAATGGAATGGCAATGCTGCAGAATTTTAAGCAGTACAACATTGTGAGCCAGTTCCTGGATGCATTCACGTCGGATATTACCAATACGCCTTTGAGAGATACCGCGTTGCTGGATGGTATCATCTGTGATCCTCCCTACGGCGTCCGTGAAGGTTTGCGGGTTCTGGGAACTCGCGATGGAAAAGTTATTCCCCCAGTCATCATTGACGGCGTTCCTGCTCACTAGTATGTCTTAAATCTTTGTTCGAATCTCTAGATTGACCAGTATCTGACCTTATTACAGCCGAAAGGGTTACATCCCGCCGAAAAGACCATACGGGTTTGAAACGCTACAAAGGGATATCCTTGAATTTGCAGTTCGAAGGCTCGTTCCTAATGGACGACTAGCCATGTGGATGCCGACAGCTAGCGACGAGGCTGTTGAATTCCCAGTGCCTATGCATCCAAATCTGGAAGTCATCAGCGTTTGCGTTCAACCTTTCACCAATTGTAAGTCCAGCGCCGCCCCGGGGTAGTTTAAACAGCTGAAAGCTGACTGTGATATCTCAGGGTCTCGCCGGTTGATGATCTACCGTCGTCTACCAGAAGGAGAGATTTCCGATGTCACACAAGGAAGAAGCAAGACAGACGGTGAGGGTGTATCGGCTGATGACCTCAATGCGTTCCGAGTAAAAGTACGTATATTACTGTAGAATTATTGTTACCCTGCATGTCTAATCATTCATTGCAGTACAATAAGCGCAACGCTTCCAGAGGAGATGAGGAGGAACATGCATCTCAATGAAGATGATACTGCTTTGAGCAAGAGCCGGCTACTAATGCACTGATAGAATTTCAGTTATCTGCGCTGCTAAAGAAATGGAAGAGCGTGTCGCATAGAGAAACCTCTGCTCCGGAGACGAAGCGGAAGAGGAAGAAATGCAGAGTTTAGTCTAGCCCCATCGTCACAATTTGCCCTTCTCCGATGTGTGACTGAGAACCACGCCCTCTTCTTTTTGTATACGCTTGATCTCAAGGTCCAACTCAACCCTCATAGCACGAGCTAGTGCAGCGCCCTCCTCATCGTCAAGCTCATGTCGCTGACCACGACCGAACATAGCAAAGCTCGGCTTGTGAGCGAAATCTGATGGTCGAGGGATGATGTGGAAGTGGACATGAGGTACTTGTTGTGCCGCTCGAGCGCCTAAATCTCTCAGTTAGTAGGAGTATTGAATGCATTCGGCTTGCCCTGGTCCTGTTTGACCATGGCGTATTTTGAACGTCGTATGAATAGTTCATATGGTAGCAGCCGCGAAGCGCCCGGGGACACCAGTCATGTCTTAAAGTATGCTTTGTAGGTGACCAGGATATAAGAATCACTAACCATTATTCTGGACAACATTCCAATGTCTATCCGGGTCATCCCCGAAAACAGTCTTCGTGACGACCCTTGAAATAATCGGAAGCCATTTCCCCATCTGTCAAAGAATCAGCATCATTGGCCGTCTAATATACAAAGCCCCACATCCAGTGTATAGGGAGTAAATGAGATCGTTTGCAGATAGACAGATAAGTCGAGGATGGGTGAACATACCTCCTGCCCCGCTGCAACCCCCATATCACCCAGCTTCTCGTAATGCTTTCGTGGAGCAACAAGGACATGTCCATTTGTGAGAGGCATAATATCTAAGAAAGCAAGTACATGCTCCGTCGACAGAATCGGATGAGCTGTGCCCTCGGATGCTGATTCGGATAGGCTTGAGCCAGAGTCCAGATCACTGAAAGGGGCTGGCGGGTTCGATGCTGCAATGTTGCAGAAAGGACATGTCGATACTTCAGCTGCCATGATAGAATGTAGAAGGTGGTGATTCAGTTGGCTTGAGGATGAACCGAAGATATGGCAGCTGGACTTGCAAGTACAATGCGGTAGTTGGGTGTATGTGACTGGCAGACTGAGATATTCCCCGCAATCTTCTGGAACCAACTGAGGCGGATACCGCCCAGAGATATCTAGCCCAAGGCACAGGAATGGCTGACTGGTAATTTACGGAACTTGGTACGAATCGCAAATATAGTCGGCAGTCTATGGTGAAAGGAAGCTCGAGTCCAAAGCACTATACGCTGGTGAGTGGTGCCGTCGATCGGACGTCGTCAGTCCGACCTCGGCTAGTTTTAGATGGGGCGTAGGGACTACCTAAAACAGACGATCACAATTTCAAAAATCAGACAAAGGTTCATTCAAACTGAAGACCTATTTTGCGCATCCGATCCAGAAGAGAAGACGCCTATGTACACCTCCCCAATTAAAACCAGACGCGACAATGGAAACAGAAGATCGGAATTGCATCCAAGAACCACGCCAAGCACCCAGCGCAGAACCAAACTAATCTAAAACAGACCCCAGCCAGAACAACCTTGACGCTGATTACCACTTCCAAACCAATCCATCTAGCATCCGGGGAAGAGTCCTTCATCTTCACCAACCTGAACCGTCCAGACGACAAGAGATAAGAATTCCATAAATATCCAACCTCTTTTTGTTTCCTTCAAAAGATAGCCACTGAAGAGGACCACCTGTTGTGGTCCGGTCCACAGTGGAGAAAAAAGGGGACCCAAGAAACGAAGACAAAATTCATGGGCGCAGAAAAGGTGATATTCTGATCTTGAAAAAGAGCAGGAAAGAAAAGAAAAATGATAAGATAAAAGTCCGACGCCAGCCACACGAACACGAATAAGGAAGAATGGCAAGGTATCAGTGCAGGCGAGAGAAGAGGCACCCCATGCAATCAAGAAGCAGAAAGAAAGAAACCACACAAGCCGGAATCGAAACAGTAGTACCACAGGGCTGAGCGCCGAACACCACCCGTCACAAAAGACAAATGCCGAAGCGCACAAATCAATCAAGTCATTCGTTAAGAATATGCAAAGAGGTAGTCGATACCAGCACAATGAAATGCCAAAATATGGAGGAATTGAAGTCCCCTGGTCGCAGTGTCTCGAGGGCCTTGGGATCGTCATGAAGGACAACGACAGTACCGACACAGGGCTAGCATAACATCGTAAATGGCATCATTACTGTTCGCTGTCCTTGATGAAAGTGTACGGCTCCGCGGTGGAGCTCTCGATGTACATGTGGTGATACTTCTTGGCCCACTGACGGGTCAGGATGGAGGCTATTCACTGGAGTTAGCACAAATACAACGGAAGAGTGTGGGAACGGAGGAGACAGAAACATACCCTTCAAGAACTTCTTGCTGGCATACTTCTTGAAGAAAGCCTCATGGGAGACAGGCCGGTGGAGGTAGTCAATCATCAGGCGGAAGACTGGATCGATCTCCTTCTCGGTGTATCCGGCGTAATGGGCCAAAGTGGCATCCCAAGGTCCACGCTCCAAAATGAGACGTGCCAGGTACATGGCCGCGGCAGCAATGTGGCTCTGGGGGTAGCTCATGAAACGGTGGTCGAGCAGGCTGATCTCCATGAGATACTTGCCCAGGGTACGGGTCTGAATGTCGTAGTTATCCGCCTTGGAGATGCGACGCAGGAAGTTCATAGGGTTGGGGAAGCTCATGTTGTACTCGAGGGTCGCGAGGACGTGTCGCTCGGCATCAAGAATCTCCTTGTCGGAGAAAGTCTCATCGGCGACGTGGCTGAAGTTGGCAACGTGAGGGGACAGAACCTCCTCATACTTGGAGGCAATGAACATCGCAGTGACACCGACAAGCTGAAGACGATCCAGGGCGACGACCTCGGCCGACAGGAAACGATCAATAATGTTGACAGCGAGGAACAGAGTCTCGGGAAGCAAGCGGAAGCGGGTGTGAACCTCGATCAACCAGTCGACAAGGATGCCGCGCATCTTCCACTCCAGATCGGGTTGGTGCTCGATGTAGTCGGGGTTGGGCAGGGTAATCATCTCAAGGTCGCGCAAATAGTCGAAGATCTCCACCACATATTCCGCAGCCATCAATGGGTCATCGAGGTCCTCAGTATCCAGGTCGACAACATCGGGTCCCAAGCCAACATCCTGCCCAACCACTTCAACAAGCTTCTCCTTGATCCCCTTCTCAACCTTCTCCTTGATCCCCTTCTCAACCTCGATCTTCTCCTTCTTGCGGGGAGGCTCCTGCTGCTCGCCGTTCTCGGCCTTGGGGGGACGCTTGTTGGCAGGCTTCTTTGGGTTGGGATCGCGAGGCTGGAGAGCAGTAGTGCGTGATGAGTTGGTGCGGCTGAGCTTCTGAACGCCGCCAGTTTGGGTGGTTGCCTTGGAGGTCAGACCGGCCTTGCCACCAACAGCTTTCTTTGCACCCTTGATTTCCGCAGCATCGGCCTTGTTGACATTGCTGACATCTCCGAGAGCGGCACGGGGACGCTGAGCACCGCTGGTAGTCGTAGTACGCTTGGTCTGCAGAGGCTTCTTGACAGCATCGGCAGGACCGTCAGTGTTGAGGGCGGCCTTGGCCCGCGTCATACGCGTAGAAGGCCCGTTCTCGTCGTTCTCATTCATGGTGCCTCGAGAGCGGAGGCTACGGGCCTATGAGAGTGTTAATGTTTTGACCACAAGCAAAGCTTTCGACGCGTCGAGATGTTCAATGCAGCCTCAAGACAGGTCCTGCAGTGCAATTGACTCGAACAGTCAGGGCTTGGAATTGCTTACCACAGGCATCGTGGTAGTCTCAAGAGAGAGGAGGGAAGTAGAACGCGATGAGAGAAAAGGAAGGGGCGAGCCAGACAGTCTAGTCCAAGCCGGGCCACTCAGGTCAGCATTCCGTTCGACATTACCTCGGTGGGAACCTCCAAATACCAGAGTATCAAGGTCGAAGTGCACGTACCACGCGTGAAAATGTAGTTACCCTGAGGAAGCTACAGTCGCCAGAAGGCAATGGTAGCTGCTCAGAGGATTCGGGATGGGATGAGTCGCGAGTCACGACTCATGCAAGTCGCTGTTGATATTCAGAGGACTCGCGAAGTCTCTGCGAGCCGGAGTCGGAAAACGCGCAGGAAGAGATGATTAAAGGGTGCAGAGGTATTTGAAATGACACTGGGGGCCCTTTAAGAAGGATATGACCCAAGGATGGAGGAAGGTGGAGGGGAGGAAGGGTATCTCGAAATGGAACGATGATGATGAGGGAAAAGGAAGAAGTCGAGAGAGGGCCAAGCGATGTTTGGCCCTACTGTGCTAGCGTGGAAAACCGGTCAAACTTGAATGACGCCCCACACACAGCGAGTCGCGACGGGGTCTCTTCCCACTTCTCTGTTTTATTCTGCCTGGTAATAAGACGAGATAGAGATGCTTTGGAATAGAATTGATGAAATGGAGTCCAAAATAGGGAAAAGTAATTTAGGATCTAGAGAAGGTCCAGATCGGAGGATTGGGGAGGTGGTAGATCCAGAAATGAAAGGGAGGGGTGGTTGGTAGGGGCGGTATTGGATTTGGGTATTGAGGTTGGTAGTGACGGTAACGGTGGATACGCGAGGGCGCGGACGAAACGTGAGGCGCGAGTGGATGTAAACAACCCCGTTTCCCCCGCAACGGCCCGTTAAGTCACGGGACTGTCACGGGACCATCAGGAGCTAGCGTCACTGCGCCACACACAAGAGACTGTGGCTGTGCGAACCTGGAGAGGCTGTGACGGCGGTGAAGATCAAGTCACCTGATTTCCCTCCTAGAACTTTTTGCCCTGGTCATCAGTTCGAGCACGCCAGCCCGACGAGTTACGAGCGGAGAGAGTGTCGAGAACCCTGCTTGCAATTGGGCTTCGATACTGGATCTTGGGTGGGAAATCGGTTTTTATTCTCATCAATTGGCCCATATCCTAGTGGCTAGCCCTTCGACCAACCATGCTCCAACCCCGACTTGCCCTACAGGGCATTCGGCTGCCGTTCAGGTGTTTACCTACGATTCCGACTCTTCCTGTGCGCCGGTTTGCGACAGTCATCAATGAGCTAGAGACCCCAGCTGGCAAGACCTCTACTCCTGTATCCGACTTCAGCGCCTCTTTTGCTCCTCCCCCCACCCGCGACGCCTCCGGAATCCGGCTTCGCACATACACTCCTCGTACCCCCGGTGTACGACACTTGCGGCGGCCAGTTAATGACCACCTCTGGAAAGGCCGTCCCATTCATCGATTGACTTTCCCCAAGCGTGGTCACGCCAAGGGTGGACGTAACAACAGCGGTCGCGTCACAGTCCGCCATCATGGTGGTGGTCACAAGCGTCGGATACGGATGGTGGATTTCATGCGGACAGACCCTGGCCCGCACCTTGTGGAGCGGATCGAGTATGACCCCGGCCGCAGCGCACACATCGCTCTGCTTCGGAGCAAGGAGACCACCAAGTTGAGCTATATTCTTGCCGCGGATGGTATGCGAGCGGGAGACGTCGTGCAGAGCTACATGTCTGGTATTCCCGAGGATCTGTGGCAGAGCATGGGTGGAAGTGTCGACCCTGGTGTGCTAGCTGCTCGAACTGCCTGGCGTGGAAACTGTCTGCCTTTGCACATGATCCCGGTCGGCACCCTCATCTTCAATGTTGGACTGCGCCCCGGAAAAGGCGGCCAGTTGTGTCGAAGTGCTGGCACCCACGCCACCGTGGTCGCCAAGGGCAGTGACTCCCGACAGCAGGAGATCGAGTCTGATCAACCCGAGGAGGAGAAGAAGCCTTTGACCCTTCGCGAGAAGCAGAAGCAAGAGCGCCTGGCTCAACACATCACCGTCCGCTTGTCCAGCGGTGAGACTCGGCTCATCCACAAGGATTGCTGTGCTACTGTTGGTGTTGCCAGCAACCCCAACTACCACTACACCCAGCTGGGTAAGGCTGGTCGTTCACGCTGGCTCAACATTCGCCCTACCGTCCGTGGTTTGGCCATGAACGCCATGGACCACCCTCACGGTGGTGGTCGTGGTAAGTCCAAGGGTAACGTCGACCCGAAGAGTCCTTGGGGTATTCCGGTAAGCTCCTTTCCCTCCCTAATCGATCTCCTGACTATGAGCAAATTGCTGATCCGTGAATTCTTTCTTCATTGTAGACCAAGTCCGGCTACAAGACCCGTCCCAAGTGGAAGATCAACAAGGCCGTCGTGCACCCGAGACCGCGCAACCAAGGCCAACGCCGCCGCGGTTACAACTAGACAACCTCTGCCCTGGCATATCTGGATTTTGGGGAGAAATGGATCGTGTCGCCTTTCCCTGCTTTGCTCTTCGATACAAAAGCCCTTTTCCTCATCTTATACCTCATTCTAACTGCACATGGGATGGCTGTACGATATTTGTTTCTTTTATCTTGTTTTCTTGCCGTGTGTTCTCTATTCCGCCGTGCATCATCGGGGATTCTGTTTCTATCATCAGTTGGAGCTCGGGGCAGCGGGGGCAATGTATAGTATGAGGCCCACGGCCATTCGCATAGAAATACACCGTATTCAAGAAACTCGATCGATTATTGGAAATGACTTTATGGCTCTTAGGAATAGCCAATCAGAATGTTACCAATTAGCTTCTCATCTTCAGTACGAGGCACCGTAGTCCAGTGTACACGGTAGGGCGAGGGTGGACGGAGGTCTTCAGAGCGATAAGAAAGGATCGACGATACGAGCCACCCGATCTCTGCCAAGCCCGCCAGGCAGCGTCGTGGTGCGTACACCCACCCCCAGGGCCCCAGCGAGTCTTCACTGTCGATCGCCGAGTGTCAGACCCTGTATAGGCAGTGTAAACTAAATGGATTCTCCATAGTTTCCATTCGAAGCTGGTCGAACCCTTAAAAAAGGGGGCAGAATCTGGCCAATACAAATGGAAGACATGTAAAAAGTCTGGGCCGAAACTCCCACGGCTCAGCCTTCTCTCCCAAGAATACGAATGCGTGCCACCGTCATCCATAAGAACTCTTGCTCTGCATAATCCCCGTCCACGAGAGAGATCAGCAAGTCTGATAATGAAATCCGCTTGTATCTGACCTCCTGGGCCGATACAACGCCTCATCTCTACCCTCCTCTTTGCTCTGCAGGAGTCGCCCGCGTTGCGGTGATAAGCGGTGGGCTGTCAACCTCGTTATCGGACGGAATTCCACCTTTGCTCCTCGTGTCCGCTGGCGACTTGGCCAGCCATGGAGAACCTTCCGCCCTCTACGTTTGCGCCGGGCGCTTCCCAATATAATGTCGCTCCGGAATCTTCGTTCCAGGACTCGTCAGCTGTTGACAACAGCCATCTGATGGACGACGCGGTCGCTGGAGGCAGCAACTACGTTCCCCGACCCAAGCGCATCGCCTGCGTGGTTTGCCGCCGGAGGAAGCTCAGATGCGATGGGAAACGGCCAAGCTGTGGAACGTGCTCGCGCTTGGGTCATGACTGCGCCTACGATGAAGTGCGCAAGAAAAGTGGTCCGAAGCGGGGATACGTGAAGCAGCTGGAAGCGCGCTTGGGTACGAATAGCCTCATGTGGCGCTGTCGCATACCCTACGATAAGGCCCGAGTGGGAAACATTGCTAACCACTACCTCTTGAATAGCTCAAGTCGAAACCCTCCTTAAAGGCCAGGAGACTGATCCCGCGCCGCGAACCTCTCCACCTCAACCGCTCGAAACTTCTTTCTCAGCGCCTATCAACGATGACTCGATACTTGGCCTGCCGGACATCTCGAACCTTGGAAATGATATCGGTAGCCAGATGCCTCCGTCTACAACGGGCCTTGGGTCATCGAATCCGACGATGTTCGCAGGACCAACGATTCCACCCAACGATCCGTCCTGGGACTTGATCAGCTTGGGGCTGGAGGAGCCTCTTCCTACTCAGGATGTCATTGACGAACTGTGCGTGCGCCCTTCTAGAGAAATATAACTCTTGGCTAATCTTCCATACCTCTAGGGACAACCTGTTCTTTGAAAAAATCTACCCGATAATGCCCATCATCCATCGCCCTCGATACTATGCCAGCCTGAACCTCGCCCCTCACATGCGTCCACCTATCTGTCTGCGGTATATCATGTGGTGTCATGCGGCATCGGTGAGCGACAAATATTACTTTTTGCATCATCACTTTTATCAACGCGCTCGCAAGTATGCGGAGATGGATGAGATGAAGGGCTTTGGAGAGAATATCATCAGCTTGGCGCATTGCCAAATGTGGATTCTCACGGGCTCTTACGAATTTCGAATGATCTACTTCCCCCGCGCATGGCTGAGTGTTGGTAAAGCGACTCGATTGGCACTGATGATGGGTCTTAATCGCCTGGACGGCAATGGACTTGATGTCAAGCAGTCTATCCTTCCACCCAAAGATTGGACCGAGCGTGAGGAACGTAGGAGAACATTTTGGATGGCCTTCTGCACCGACCGGTACGCCAGTATTGGAACTGGCTGGCCCATGGTCATCGATGAAAACGATGTAAGTTACATTTTGGCTTCAGTTTCCGTTGTCTGTGAATGGTGATGACTGACTGTGGTAGATCATGACGAACCTCCCAGCCTCCGAAGAGTCTTTCCTGAAGAGCAAGCCGCAGCGTACACTTCGACTGTCTGATATCATTGCCGGTGAAGGTGTATCAACGCTGGCTCCATTTGCCTGTGTCTGTGTTTTGGCCAATCTGTTTGGCCGAAATCTCAATCACATTCACCGACCCCAACCGCAAGATAATGATCATGACCTCAATGGCGAGTTTTGGAAGCGCCACCGCAGTCATGATAATATCCTGCTCCACATTGCACTTTCCTTGCCTGAGCATCTTCGACTCCCAAGCGGTATGGATGATGTCAATGTCATCTTTGCCAACATGAATATCCACACATCCACTATCTGTCTTCATCAAGCGGCAATATTCAAGGCCGAGAAGAATAAGATGCCAAGCCAGATCGTCACCGAGAGCAAACGGAGGTGCCTTGTGGCAGCGAATCAGATCTCGAGTATTATGAAAATGATCAGCCACATAGATCTAACAATCGTAAGTCTGCCCTGACCGTCTATCGTGCGGGACCAGCTTAGCTAACCATTGGCAGTTGAATCCTTTCATGTCTTTCTGCCTCTACATCTCAGCGCGAGTCTTCGTGCAGTACCTTAAATCTCGCCCCGATGACTCTACAGTTTACTCCTCTCTGCAATTCGTCGTTTCGGCTCTCAACGCGATGAAATCCAAAAACCCATTGACAGAGTCCTTCCTTGTTCAACTCGATGTTGATCTTGAAGGAACAGGAATTCGGGCTGTGGATAACACGAAGGCTAGTTCCGGTCTCAGCCATGTTGCTAAAGCGCTGGTCAGTCTCCTCTACCCCTGATTTCACGCGTCTTCTTCGGGGGGTTGAGAGTGATTGTTTTGTCCTAACCCCAATTAGCAGTCTTATTGTGCCGACAATACCGATTGCACTCCTATATACGTTGTTGGCCAGTCACAAGGTAGTGCCGCTCCAACCGAATCCCCGCAGGATAGTTCGAAGTCGAGAACCTCTGCCCGCTCGTTCTTGCCCGGCATGACCACCTCCCTCCCCAGTCGGCATAGGGACTCACCAATTGTCGACTCTGAACGAGGGCCGCTGGGTAGTGAATCGCAACAATTCTTCCCCCACCATATGCGAACGAACGGAATTGTTGAGGTAGCCGGCCAAGGAGTGGTTGATGGGGACATGGACTTTTCGCCCGATTTTGGCCTGGGCGAAAGAAATCCGCCTTCGGACCACCCCACACCATCAACTTTGAACTCATCCTCTAATACATCCTATTCCATGTCTGGAATTGACAACCCGTCACCCGGTAAAAAGCAACCGAATACTACCTCCACCTATCCATCCTCAAGCTCCGCTACATCCGTCGATAAAACCCAGTCCGCCCAGATCTCTCCTGTTACCACAGAGTCTTCTCGGATCATTGATATGAACAATATTGCTGGTCAGGTGTACCCGGCTAGCTCCACTGGGCCGATGGGAGCTGCGGGGGCTGCCAGCATGTTTAATATGGCCAGTCGCTGGGACATGCCTACCCCAGGTCAGGATCTGAGTAATCTTGACTTTGAGAACGTCAACGTGGAGGCATTCAGTGATGCTCAGTGGGCTCAAATTTTGAACACTGAGAATGGCCCCGGCTGGGAGAATTGGCGGCCCTCGTGAGAATCGACGAGGTTGAGTTCCGTTACTGGAACATCCTGCCAGCGATATTGATTTCTTCTGGTGACTGAGGACATTGAATGCAGCCAACTTGGCGTGGAAGGTTGAACTGCCATATGGTGCACTCATTGGATGATTGTCATGCTCCGAGCCGCCTCTGTGGTTCGCTAAGGGCACAAAGATCGAAACCTGCCCTGGACCCTCTTACCCGAGTGCCAAATATGGGCCCAGGGCTGAATACAGCACGAATGTCAGCTGACTGGCACTAAGAAGAGAGCCAGATATCCGTGGACGGCCACAGATCTCCACTTCGCGCCGTGTATTCCTACAACCCCCAAGATTCAAAATGGTGGGAGGGCTATGGCTTGGCGCTTTGGGTGTCTTTTGCAACGACTTGATGATGATGAACAAATACTCCTCTTTTCTACTAATTCCTCTCTTCTCTGACTTGATTTTTCTAGGCCATCTCCATTCAAGAAGACTATGTTGATAGGATAGTTGTTACATATCACGCAATATAATCCTGTTAACTCATTTAGATTTTCCAACATTGAATATTTGGGAATCGTAAAACCACTGTAATCCCAGGGCTATCAATCCCTAGCAACAGATCTATCAGGGCCGCAGAAAATGACGCAGCCCTGATCATACACCCAAGCTCACAGGCCACCACCAGCAGCACCAACAATCTTCAGACCTCCGGAACCACTGCCCGGCCCATCATGGGTCGTCGAGTAAGCCAACCAATATCTAGAGGGGTGCCACGCAACAGCGGGAACACCCACATTGGCGCTAGTCGTGGGTATAGTATAGACACTTTCACCCGTTTCTGCATGGAAAATCTCCAATCCATTTCCACCACAGAAGGGCTCATCACAAGCGCCGCAGATAAATCGGCCATCAAAGCTCCAACTAACGCCGCGAATTGACCCGCCGTTTTCACTGGATAACGTACGGCGACAAATCCAATCCGTTGTATCCCATAGAGAAATCAAAGCGTCGCTACCACCCACGGCCAGATAGCGGCCGGTAGGTGCTAGTGATATAGCCATGCAGGAGGAGGTGTGTGCGTGGAGAGTATGAAGGATATCAAAAGAAGGGTACGACATTATCTTGACTGTGCCTTCGCCGGTTGTTGCGAAGAGGTGTAGGTCTGGGGAGGTAGGGGTTGCGACATGGTTGGAGAAGGTAGTGGCGTTGGTTTGGATAGGTTGCGGGTGTGGTGTGAGAGCTGTATATGTCGAAGCGCTAGGTTTTGAGCCTCCGAATGAGGATACGCCATTAGTAGCAGTACCATTTGATAGGATCGTAGGTGTAGACGGCGACTGGACTGAGATGGGGATCAAAGTGTCATCCTAGATATGGAAGACAAAGAGTTAGCGATGCTAGCAGCAACGTCACTTCAGGGAACAGCCGGGACCTACCTTCCTACCAACGACCATTGTACTCCCATCTGCTGACCAGGAGAGCGTAAAGGCCTCGCCGCCGACATCTAAGCGGCTCACACATGTCTTAGAGCGCACGTCCCAGAAGCGCACCGTCCCGTCTGTCGAACAGCTTGCTAATTCCGCATCTCGTACTGGGTTGAAGAGAACTTTCTCCACGCCGGCCGAGTGTCCGCGAAGTTCCGTCGAGTATTTAATCGCTGGGCGTTCGGGGTTCCATATACGTAGCGTGCGATCCGCGGAGCCAGTCGCGATTAGCTGACCGGTAGGGTTCCAGGCCAATGTCCGAATGCTGTTGGAAAGCACCGTCAGTAATGACCCGAATAACAATCAGAAAACAACTCACGTATGCGAACCTGGGCCCTTCGCAGCCGGATCATAGTAACTCTGAGTCTTGACGCCTCCAAAGACAAATGCGAAATGTTCCTTTGCGAGGAGATCGCGGCGCGGCGCGGGCGCCATGGTTGACAGTTCCTTTAGCTTGCAGCTGCTGTAGAAATCGGCGCCTTATTTATAGTCCACCTGCATCAGCGACCGCAGGAATTGTGGATTGAGAGATTCAGAGAGTAATGCGGGCTTGAGCTCATGACGTTTTTGAGGGACCGCGATCTCGCCGCAGCTAAGATCGTCCTGAGGCGGAGAGCCATTGATGCCTCAGGCATGAACAATCACGGTCTTTATCTATGGAAAGACACGTCGACACGACGATCGAGGAAAGGTCCACGACACTTTAAACTGTCAAGGAAATGAATTTAACATGTGACCGAAGCCAATGTTTGAGTGTTTTCTCATATATCCACATCGCGTCGCGAGCTGGTCACCTACTAGGTCTGGACTGGTCCAAGGAGCAGACAGGATCGATATTTGAAGAAATATAACGTTGTCCTCTCTAAATAGTCTTTGACATGATTCGTTTGCCTATGGTAGAGTTCTGCTGTGTTTCCCTGGAACATGGTTGGAAAGAAAGCCATGCTTGTATGGAGCAGCATCGAATATGCCCAAATAACCAATGACTCTCTGTCATTACGAGGATCTTCTGTTTCTCGGTGACCCTAGATAGACTAATTCCGACTTTCTAAATAAGCATCCAAGGTTTAAATTATAATTATTCCAGCCCGCGTCCTGGGTGTTGGCCTTTGGACGACGTTGACCACCGATGACTTCACAGTACAGTTTGGGTAGAAAAAAGATGGCTCTTCCATTGCAGTTCTCCTTAGATAGGTACACTATTTTACAGATGTTTATAAGAGTACTGTGTGATGGAAGTCATTATTGTATATTTCAGGCTCTAGGTGAATTCGCGCAACAGTCATCCCTGAAATGCAATGCCAGATCAGGTCCAGGTCTGTCTGCACCGCATGGAAAGCATGATCCATAAGATCTACCTTGCTCTATCAAGTTAAATCGAGTGTAGACATTGACTGCATTCCAATAATACTTGCCCGCTAGCCCCAATGCTCTCGTTGTGGGTGTGATGTTGAGATCATTGGAGCCTATCGATAAGGCGAGCTTAATCAGACCTCAGTCTCCGCCTCGCGTTGCGCCTCCACAAATTTCTTGCCGCCAAATCTCTCGTCAGGAAAATGACCTTGTGATCATCCACAAAGATCTCTCAATCCTCGTGCCTCGCGAGAATCAAGTGAATTGGCATGTTCGACTTCACCGATGACGCGTCCGGACGCGAAAAATGCTACACTACAGTCTCCCAGCTACCTAGTTTCGTTGATCCGAAACAGGTGCCGAGTAAAAAGTCACCATTTTCTGCTATCTTGAGCCATCCCTTTGTGCATACGGTAAGATCCATTGTCTCTGGAACCGAATTGAACAAACTGCATATGTTGACCTATATCGACAGACCGAGATCATTCTTCCAGAAAATGTTTACACAGACATTCAGACGTCATTAGACAAGCTGAATCAGCCTCAATCCGCTCGAGTGTTTATGTCACCCTCTGATCTCTTAGAGCATGAATTTTTCAACACATACATAAAGACTGGTATCTTTTTTTTTGACCGTGTGCTTTCAAAATAGTTTCTGACCGGGATTCCAGGAAATATTCTCATGATTTCCGAAGGCCGGGCAGGGTCTGACAATGTGTTCACCCTACACGATGGTTAGTCTCTTGCACCATCTCTGACGCAGGTCCCGTGTGAGTATCGAGGCTAATTTTGTTTCTCACAGGAATCCTCAAGATCGAGCTCGGAAGGGAAACCTTCGAGCGCACAGGACTCACCGGGAAACCCATCCGAAGCGGTGGAAGAAAGCACGCCAAGGAGAGATTTTGTACGCGCAACACTCCCTAGATCTACATGTGTCAAGAAAAGCTAATAATTTTGACAGTAATCGAGCTAAACCTTCGTCTTCCCTCGATGCTACACGGCAAGAAAGGGTTTGACCGGATCGTCTGGGCCTTCAAAAATGTGTTGAATCAGTCTCTGGCTTGGCTTTTTTGCGACCTGGAGCCCACCTCGGGAAACCAAGGTTGGTTTTTCGTTCTATCTGAGTCGGACAAGTGGACAAATACTAACCAGGGTTAAAAGACACCAAGCCGATTCAAAAACAGAATCCGCAGATGATTAATTCCGAGGTACTCAAATCCAAGTTGGGTCAAATTTCCACGCCGCCTATGCAAGGATTAGTATCAAATGACATGTCCGAGGCAGATATGCAGGAAAGCTGCGGCGCTTTTGCTGAATGGATTGCCATGGTCCAACTGGGGTCACCCCGTGTTTCAGCTGGAGATGACGTCGACTCGTACCTGAGTCGCTACAGCGTACCAGGAGTTGATGCACCTAGTACCGCCAATTTAATTAGCCTGAAGTGGCATGGTCTGATTCCCGCAAAATGGATCCTACAATTGCTCTTATCTCTACTGTGAGTTCCATACCCAAGTTGGAAAATTGCTGAGAAGATGTGGGTGGTTCTTACTAACATGGCCCTGAATTGGGCGCGGGCCCAGATCCCGTACTTCCAGCTCTAGTTCTAGCCCTTCGTCGGCCTGGTTCGTTCTTTCCACTTCTGCACTGGAGAGACAAGTCGTAGAAGGAAGGGATGGTTATACGATCGCGGTTGCTTCAAACATTTACTCCCAGGTAGCATCCTGCGGAAACGAGGGCGAGGTATCTGAATCTAGCAACCGCTATGCGATATGCTGGGAATTTGTTGGGGCGACTACTGTCGAGACTTGAGGAAGGACCAGGACCGTTTACCTTTTCAACCATGGCAACGTGACCACCCGTTATACAAAATAGTGTCGGCGCTGAGCTGTCCCAGCTGCAATTGATTGCATTTTGACATCATACGAAGCCATAAAACCCGAGAACTCCCTCTTTCTTCTTCCCTCTTTGTTCCTCAACCCTCTCTCTCTTGAATCCGAAGATCAACGTTCCTTCTCTAGCCTCGCTCTCCATATCGCTCCCTTTCTATCCCTGGTCCTCTCGCTTCTCTTCTCTCGCTTTACTACCACTTTGCTGTATCTTGCTCCATGTCTTCAAGACCAGCGGGAAGCAGCATGGAAGTTAGCTTTCCAGTCTTTATCAGCGGGGAAATCGATCCGATGCACCAAGTCCATTCAACCCAAGAGGGCATGCATCAAAGTGACATGACCCTTGGCAACACCACCTTTGAATTCGAAGAGGAAGAATCCGCTGCCCTATTCTTGGCTTTTCATGGCGAGCTTTGTGAAGCACCTGAACTCGACACCGGGCTTCCCATCAGCAATATCTCTGAACAACCAACAACTGTTGTGCCGCTTGCGACACTCATTGTCAATGATCATATTTCTGACAGCACCACTTGCAATTCTGTGTCAAACGATTCGGCCTCGGAGAGCAAAGAGTCCGCCACTGGCCAATACACCCCACCAACTCCTGTCTGTGATTCGCCTTCTCCCGGGCCAGCTCTTGACACACCACCAGCACCGGCGCATGTGAATAAACACGACCAACTGCAAGAGCCACGAGATCCAAGCACACCAATGATGGTTAACATTTTAGCTCAAAATATCCATGAGGAATGGGTCAGACTGAATGATTTCTCAAGCACATCACTTCCATCTCCTGCAGACTTGCTTATGGACGATCGTCGGGTGGAACCCCCTTTTGAACTGGCGATGTATCACCCAATCCATTTCCATGGACATACACCGATGCTTCGCCCGATAGACTTTGGCCAATTCTATCCGCATCTCATGTTCTTCACACCCATGGGTTACCCCCCAACATACCCGGTTCCACGCCCGGTGCCGCAACTTCCTCCGGTATCGAACAAACGATCATTTCAATTTGTTGACCCCGAGATACCTCAGAATTTTGTGGCCAATCCTAATAATCATGGCCGCTGGCAATACGACAGACAAGGCAACCGGCACTACCTGAACGCCCCGAAGAGGTCTCGTACAGATTGATTTCTTGAACGCACATCGTCCTTTACTTGCTTGATGTCTCTTTGCTGAGGATTGTGTGAGCTCGATTGCTTGATTGCTTGAAACGGTGTTCATGGAGCTCATCACTGAGGTCTTTACATTTGCTTACTGTGGGTTGACGTCTCTGTATTATTATTCGTTTCAGACGTCCATGTACGAAATGAATCCTTTTAGTTGTCGATAATAGATCCTCAAGTGACCACCCTCTAGTAACTCTCGGAAAGAGCAGCCAGTTTTATGAATAGGGCTACATATTCCCATAGAGCGTATAATCGTGAGTCCTTACTGAAGATCATATTCAGTATCAAGCCTGATTCAATAAAATTAGAGTCATTGACATCATCCGTAGAATCCAGCGTCTCTCTTGAGCTCGCAACTTGAAATAGTGTCTAGACCTCAATATAGCTCACGAAGACTTTCTTCTCAGCATCAGTTCCCACCCATACCGAGCGCTGACCGTGAGCAAGTACCCAGGTCCTATCGCTTTGACGCCAGAAGCTGAGCTGGCGCTCTGAGATGATGAAACTAGCTGTCTTTGTGGTACCAGGCATGATATACACATCATCAAATCCAACCAGAGTAGAGATGGCAAATTGATAACCAGGAAATTTGGACCCGGCATCTTCTGGTGGACCAATATAGATCTGGGGCACCTCCACACCAGGTCGAGAGCCAGTGTTTTTGATGTCAACAGAGACCTGGAAAGTGGATCCAGACTTCTTTTTGATGACTAGTTTGCTGTATTTGAAAGAGGTGTATGATAGCCCATAGCCAAAGGGGAAAAGAACGCTAGTGTTCGTGGCCAGGTACCATCGGTAAGCGGAGTTAATACCTTCCGAAAATATCGCAGTCCCATTCTTAGTAGCCATGCGCTCCGGATACTTTGGATTTCTCGTGACAGTGTCATTGACAGATTTTGGATACGTGATCGTCAGTCTGCCTTGAGGATTACGGTCACCGAAGAGGAGTGAAGCAGTAGCACGGCCGCCTTCTTGGCCGGGATTTCCCATCCACAGAACCGATGAGACTTGGTCCAGCCACGGCATTAGGACAGGGTCAGCATTGTTGAGAACCACGACCGTCCTGGGGTTTATCGCTGCAATTCGCGTTATGAGCTCGTCGAACCCATGTATAAGCTGCATTCCCACGTCTGCGGGGCTGTTGGCATGTGCAAAAACAACTGGCACCTCAACGCTGGATACAATCCTCTCTGCATCACGCATATTTTGCTCTCGCTGGGTTGGCGTAACCCAATTCAGGCGCACCTCTACCGGGTCCCCAAATACTTTGGTGACACTGACAGTGATATTGTGGAGGCCAGCCGTAAGATAGACGTCTGTCCCAACTTCATCCCATCCGTCTGGAGCGGCAAGAGGTGAGCTCCAGGGTCGAGCTCCACCATCCCCCAGTAGCCGAAACCCGTCAAACTCGGTTCCATTGACAGTAAATGAATGAACGTAGAAAACGCCCAGATAATCCGAATTGTTCAGTCCCCCACCGACGTGAGGGAAGCGTCGATGCAGAGAAATGCGGTAATAGCCGGTCTCATTTGCTTTAAAAAACCCAGCCCAGTGATACGAAGAGTTTCCCAGCAAAGCTGATTCTCCAGAGAAGTTTATCTGAGAATCGACTGAAGTTTTCCCAGCCGAGTCTGTTCGAAGTAAACCATGCTGTCCATTGTCTTGTACCAGACAATCTGCTGGAATTATGCTTCCATGAACATCAACGCCATTTGATGTAAGAATGTGGTCATTGCCAGTGATCTGCTGGATTGCCTCTAAGGGGCTCTTGAGCCGAGAGGGGATACCATATGCTCGCTCGGCAAATCCTGCGCCATGGTTGTACTGGAAAGCAGCTGGGCCAATGACAGCAAGCTTGGAAATATCTTTTGAAAGAGGGAGTACTTCATCATCATTCTTCAAGAGAACTCCAGATCGGCTAGCAATGTCAAACGAAATCGCAGCGGACTGCTCAATCACCGACTGTGGTAAGGGATTCGGCACCATGTCGAGTGCAGTGCGATTTTGGCCGATTAACCCAAATCGATCGTAGGTGGAGAATATTTGGCGTAGAGAACGATCAACGTAGATCTCCGACAGATTGTGATAGAGATATACATCGTCGTACAGAGGTGTAGTATAATAGGCGGCAGATCCCATCTCCCAATTCAATCCAGCTTCGATACTTGGAGCCGTTGAATGCGTGGCACCCCAATCACTCATAACAATGCCTTTGAACCCAAAGTCGCCACGTACAGTGAGGTTCATGAGCTCTTGATACTGGCAAGCAGGCACTCCATTAATTTGAGCATAAGAGCACATCATAGTGGCAACTCCGGCGTCCACTAGCGCTTCATGAGGCTGCCAGTATACCTAGTGGAGTACCTGTAGATCCACTTGCGAATTTGTGTCACCACCACTGGCACCACTGCTAGATGGGCCTATCTGCTTGGTATTTGCCATTGTTCCCTCCGCCTGGATGCCACGAACAGCCTCAGCTCCAAGCTGGGCATTCAAGTAGGCATCTTCCGAATAAGATTGCCAGGAGCTTCCATCAAAGGGGTCACGAAGTAGATTTACGCGAGGTGCAAGAGAAATACCTTTAAGAGGTTAGTTTCAACCCTAGAATAGGCTGTCCAGGGCTTAGCTTACCGGCTTTGAGTAATCGGGCCTCCAAGCCAGTGACATGGCCTGCGGTTTTTGCCATTAACCTGGACCAAGTCGCAGCAACATTGATCTGGCTCGGAATAGCAGTGGCATCCTGAACACCATTTATTCCGCTTTTTATCATTTTCGTCAAACAAGATCAGCCATGAAGGGTGGTATCAAAGAGAGCTTACGCCTCTCCATCAGCCAACTGGAGGGGAGGAATCCCCAGTCGAGGCACCCCAGTCAGATATCCAGCATAATTCTCACTTCCGGCATAATTAGCTCCATGCAGAAGAGAGATCTTCTCTTCTGGTGTCAACGCCGCGATGATTCTATCAATCTTGCTACTATCTGGGGGCGATCCGCCTCTGTCGATGCTAACATGAACGCCCACGCCAGGTGTAAACACAAGGGATAGGGTTAGAAAAGCAAATTCAAGGAACCACATAGCAGCGTTTTCTATGGGTAAACAAACGATTCGCTCGTTTCTTTGGGCACCGTCCCGAATCCTCCATCTTAATATATGCAAGTCCCACCATTCCGCACAGCCTTAGATTTGTCGCATGTAGACCCCACCGGAAATAAGGAACGGCATAGCAGGCGGCAGTTTTGAATGTTCTACAGGGATATATCTGTCCTATGATTCAACATTTTGAGTACTTCTACGCAAGGGTCCCACCTCCACTCCCTCGGATTGTGGGGAAGCCGCGGGGATAGGAGCGCGGAGATTGACCTATGGCCAGATGAGGAAAGGATAACACCGTGCAAGGTTGCTTTGCATTAGCAAAAAATAACCGAGAATAGTGCATTGTGGGGGCTTCAAGACCCCTAAGCAGCGGGTTCTTCGCTTCTCTCCCGGAGGAGGATTATGTAGGCACAGGCACTCGAGTAAGACTGGAAGCCCTAAGTAACCGCTCACGTGCCCATATTGGCATTGCCGGAAATGTAAGAGATAGGTGATACTGAACATAAAGCTAGTCAATGATTATTTTACACTGCATGTAGCTATAGAATTTTGCTTCGATTTGGTGGCAGGAATGCAGCATATGTTGGGATCCCCGGGTGCTACTTGAATCCTGCTGCCCTCGCCCTTGAGGTCTTTGATTCTTTGATGACTTCTTTGGCCGTTCGACCAGCTAGTTAGCTTATAAGGCTCTGGCTGGCCAGCTTTCATTCTTCACTATCTTCTCATCTCTCAATACACACATCTCTCTATGTGCTCTTTTCCTTCCTGCATCGCGTCGTCTCATTCCAGGTATACCTATATTTTCAAGGCATTGAAGACGCTCATCTTCCGGATCGTGAGAAAGGAAGGTAGAACTTCTCTAGGTATACATTATAGTTGAAAACTCTTTGAGAGTCGCCTGGTTTACTAGGAACTTTCAATCCCATTGTCATCAATATTCTACTTCCTCATTTCGGTCCAGTACCTAAAGCAATCATCCTTCATTTTCCTCTTCTCAATCGTCTACAGGCTAGGTCCAGGAGTCATATGCATATTAACCACGTCGCAAACAGTTTTGAGCACCTCCATCATGCAGCTCAAGCCTTACGCCGACATAGCACTCATCAACGCTATGTTATCAAGCGCTACAGCAGAAGACGATTTTGACAAAGCACAGGCCACCGTATCAGCAATTCTCCACTACTACTTCCTCATCGCAGACGGCTTCCTTGTCACATTTCACAGTGGGACCCCACAGAAACTACCTCACTACTTCCTCATCCGACGAATGGATAAGAACGAAGAAGAGATAAGGTTATGGGCTGTGCTCTTCATGCCCAAAGAGGGTGAAAGCACAGACTGGGTCGACCAACTTTATCAAATGCTGCAAACCGGAATTCCAGGGATTCCAGAGAGAAGATTTCGTTTCGAGAAGAGCAATCTGAACAGACATGGTATGTCCCGTGAATTACAATCTACTCACTCAATATACAGGCGTATGCGACAGGTACTCATGCAGAACACTCTTACTATCTGGGTCACAAGCGCAGAGAGTCACTCGAGCTCAAGTCAATCTAAATAACATGGATCGAGTTTTAGCGGACTGCGAGAAGGAATATTTGTGAATACGCAGGGCCAAAAAAGGGCTATTTGGCGGAATCACCACGAGCTTATTTGGGAACTTCAGAGATTTCAATGCAATTCCATTCTCAACATCGAGCCACAGGTACACATGACAATCAAGAGACAAGTAGAAATAAGCCTGTACCAAAACATTCACCGAGCAATATGCATGACCGTATTCACCATCCATGCTATGGACAATAATCGCACCAAAGATTGAAGGCGACCAGTAGTTTAAGGTAAAGTCCACTTCAATGCTTTTGTCAACCAGCGATATCATCCACCAGGTTCTGAAGAATGGGTCTATTGCCCACCACAGATTCACCATTGAAAAGCTTGACACCCCGCCTTGCAGGTTTCTTACGTCCTGACGAAGGCTGTCGAGAGCCCAGAGGACTAAGAGGCTCTCTGGACGTAGACTTTTTCCTAGGACCGGGACTCATCTTGCTTTTTGTGGATTTAGGGCTCCGGGCGGCATTTGGAGACTGGAATGGCATCTGAGTAGAATCAAGAGCGGCAGAGTGGAAGACATGTTTCTCGGCTGCATCTGGGGGAAGGTCATAGATCCAGCCCTTTCCTTCAACCAGACGAACATACTTGCTCAGGAGCTCGTTGCCGTCACGAAGTGTTGATTTGCTGCCAATCACAAGGAGCTTTGTCCGAGCACGAGTGAAAGCAACATTGACTCGTCGCCAGTCACGTAACAGATCTCCAACATGGTTCTCAGCATTGCTCCGAACACAACTGAGGATGACGATCTCTTTATCGCGGCCCTGGAACTTATCAGTGGTATGCATTTCGAGGTCGGGAGAATAGTGACGAAGGCTCTGGCGCAGAAGGGAGAGCTGGCTGCGATAGAAAGTGATGACACCAATGTCTCGGGCAGGAATACCGCAAGCGATGAGTGCCTCCACGAGTTGAGTGCACAGCACAGCCTCCAAATGATTCACAACTCGTTGTCCTTGCGCTGATTCGAGACCCGATGCCCCCAAAGTATCCGTGTTGACGAGAAGGGTCTTAGCAGATGGCACCAGAAGGTCATTAAGCCAACAGCGTCCATGGCCAGCGCCAAGACATTTTCCTTGCTTGGATTGAGTGGGATAGAAGCCATCGGCATGGAACTGATTTAGGGCCTGTATATTTGGAATCTCCAGCGAGCGAGCTGCGACCTGTGGCGTGCCGCATTTCAAGCTACCAGAATAAATGAGAGTGTTCGAAAGAAGCATTATGTCCTCGCACATGCGATATTGATGCTCCAGATTGACAACCGAGTCCGGCTGAGCGTCTGAAAGCAGTTTGAACAAGCTAACATCGAGACCTCCTTCCTGAGCAGCCTTGTTCTGCACCAGCGGGGGAAGTTGATAATGATCGCCCACAAGAATGAAGGTTCTTGCCATGCGGATGGGACCAAGGCACACTGGGAGAGTGATTTGCGACGCCTCATCAACAATGCAGTAGTCGAAGATTCGCTGGTTGAAGATGTTGTGGTTGACGCCCAGGCATGTCGTTGCCACAACTTGCGGTTTCTCGTACGAGTCCTTGAGCTCTTCAAGGGTCTTCTTTGGAACTGCCGCCAGGTCTGCAAATTGTTGCACCTCTGGATGGACCTTCGTGGTTGCACCAATGCGTAGCATGCGGATATTATCATCGCGAATCTTCAACAAAATATTATCAACTGCAGTGTGGGTGTATGAGGTCAGAAGAACGCTCTTTCCCTGCGCGACTAGAGCTCGGATGATATGGGCGATGGTGGTAGTTTTGCCGGTGCCGGGCATACCAAGGACTAGTGCGTAATCCTTGGCATTCATAACTTTATCGATCGCTTGCTTTTGGTCCACATTGAGGCTTTCAGCATCCGGCAGATTGTATGCAGAGGATGCTGTTTTGAAGACAGGTGGCTGGCCTGCGATGATGAGTCGTCGCAAATGCCTTGACTGGAAGAGATCTTTGTCCATCATGCAGATCAGGTTGTTTCGGACAATGGCCATGCCGTTGCTGAACTCGTCCTTATCGATTCGATAAACGATTTGTTCTTTGGGGTCTTTCAACTCGGAGAGCCCACTACTCCCGATCTCCATGATTCCCCTAAAGGATTGATTCGAAATCGCATCGAAACCGACTGTCTTTGCTCTCGCATTCTGTAGCCTACGATCGACAGCAACCGTGACGTGCGATGTGCTCACGTGGGTTACATAGCCGTTGGCGAGAGCGAAATGACCTTTCTCGTCAGAAACGACTACAGGCTCACCAACTGAAATCTGCGACTCCGTAAAGGAGAAGCCCGGGGATGCTTTCCGCTTGTGAAATGTGTACCTGAAGCGGTTGATTTTGGTCCCACTTTCGTCCTCGTGTGCGGTTCGCGGATCGATCACGACATCTCCAAAGCAACGACCTAAGGACTCACGCTCGTCACTGAGCAAGGTCCATAGCTCACGTTTGAACTTGATCAGATTTCCTTCCTCTTTAGTCAAGAGCTCATCCCATTTACGGAAAAAGTCGCGGTCCGCTTGGTTAAGGTGCTGGGTAAAAGCTTCAAAGTCGTCACCAAGGGCGCTTGTCCCGCCACTGCCATCCTCTGCCAGCTTGTGGTAAATAAGGCACGGTGTCTTCGCATAGCATTTATTACACATCTGTGCCTTTTTGAGCATCGGTGGAAGTTGCATCCTCTCGCGGATATACCCTGCCAATCGGTTTCGCACTTGAATCATTTGAACAAGCTCGTGACGAATACCACGAATGCTCAGGGTCTTCGAGAGCTCAAGGTAGTACAGGAGACCGAAATTCACATCGACATCTGTTGAGAATTAGACAAAAACAACACTACACAACATGACGCTCCTAGCACTCACCATAGCGATCCGAAAGGAGAAGCGTGTAAAGAGCAGTTTGGGCTCTATGTCCCTGATTTGTGTCCCTCTTTCCCGTCTTCAGCTCGAGTGGCACAACGAGATTCTTCAACTTTTCTTTGTCTCGGCAGGCAACTTGCACGGTGGCATCGATATTGCCTTTGAGTCCATACATTGGAGACCAAACATGCTCTTCGACCTCAAGCAACTTGTTGATACTCAAATTGAGCTTTGCACCATTGCGGTCTTCAACGAGAGAATTTACCTGGCGAATCATCAGAATTAGAATTGCCATAACGTTGTGAATGCTCATACCTTCGGTTTGGCTTGCAGAAAGACGTCTGCCCAGGCCTGCACCTGAGGGATTTTACCCATTATGGTCTCAACAGCTTGATGCATAGTCATGTTAATTGTGTAAAGCTCTTCAACATGATTCTTGAGAACCTTTTCGACCAGCAATCTCATTGAGTCTAGATCCCACTGATTGGCCATCAGCGCTTCCTGGAAGACCTCGTGAAAGATAATTCCAAATGCTTGTGGTTGCTCAATCTGGCCAAAAGCCTTGACACGATCTTGAAGCACAGCACGGCGCTGACAGTCTACCGAATCCGCGACAACAGTAGCAGAAATCAGATGATCCGGATGAAGAATGATCATGTGGTTGGTGTTGTCTACGACGCAATGGCCAGCCGAGTCGAAGTCTCCAACCAGATGAATGAATGAATCTTTACTACAAGGAGTGTCAACCCACGACTCCCGCAAAATGATGACCTTGCGGGCATCGGTCTTCTCGTCCTTGACGGATAGCACCTGCATTCGTGTCAGCAGCCTCGAGGCTTTCGGAGTAATATGAAAGATGGCATACCTGCTCAGGCTGTGTACGTCCTCGTGAATTGACATACGTGCTCTCTGCGGTCTCCACGACCTGGTAACGCTTGATAGCTTTCCGAGAATTGAGACTCTATTGTATTCATCGTCTTAGCATACACCTAGGTATTACACCACTAAGAGTGACCAACGTAGGCTGCGTCTTCACCGGTCTGTTTCATAGTCTGTTCGATGGCATCCAGGTCAAAGTCGTCATCGAACTCATCATCAGAGAGCGCAGTAGTGCCACGCGCTGGTCCCTGCGGTGATTTGGTTGGAATTTGAGTGGCAGAGTCGATGGATAGTCCATCCACTTTCCGCACAGGCTGGGAATCCACACTGGCTAAATTTGATGGATTCATCGGCTTGGCATCGCATTCCGCGAGGGCGTCCTCAAAGTCATCATCAAAGTCCCCATAGTCGTCTTCAAAATTGTCAGTGTCGTCAGGTTTCGTATCGTTATTCATAAGGGTTTGCATGGCTGGTGGTTTCTGGTCAGTCATTGATTGGAATCTTGGATGACTAGATTCAAGCTTCTCTGCGGCTAGATTTGACCACGCTGAAGAGCCGAGTGAGTCAAATTCAATGCGATCAGCCACCGAAGCAACGAAGGGGTCCGCTGCGGCATCGGCAAAGTCCATGAAATCTTGATCAAGATCATCGTCCCCAAATTCAGACTCGGAATCTTGAAGAATACCACCTCCCGCAGTCTTTGAATTACCAGTAGTCTTGCCAAGAAGAGTCTCTCTTGCAGCTTCAGTATCTCCTAGGCCCTTTCGATCCATCGTGGGGGATGATGAGCGACATCTTTGCGCGTCCATGCGTTGTCGCAATGGAGAAGAATTTGACGGGCCCATTTCGACTTGCGGGACTGGGTGGAGGCTCTTCTCAATCTTTTCAAGAAGAAAATTGAGTCGTGATGATTTGTGCTTTCCCGAGTCCAGAACATTGCTAGTTGTGCGAGAGAAAATACCTCGGCCTGAGCCCGGCTCCAGCCGATTGACTCGTCTTCGCTTTGCGCGAGATGTAGGCCATTCAGCAGCGCAGCTGATTGATCGCCTCAGGCCGGATGAATCTCGGCTTGTTCTACCTGATGCCGGGGTTTGCGGTGATGAGGAAAGTAGATTTGCAAGACGAGGTGGGGGAAGGTCATCGGTGCCGTCGACCATATTCTTGTCCATATAGTTATTCCATAGCTCGGCCGCCAGATCATGCTGGGGTGTCTTGAATAGAGCCTGGATTGACTGAAGATCGAGGGGTTCCTTCTGGGCTTTCTTGGAGTTTCCATTGGTGGGAGAACCAGCAGACGACGAGCTGTGACGCCGCTTTCTTCGACGATCTGCGGGTGTCTGAGACGATGCATCTGGATTTGAGCTGGCTGGAACATGCTGCCAGATAACATGATCAACCGGGGTTACCTCCGGGCCTGGCGCGGGGTCAAAGGCATCTTCGGCATTGCTGATCAAGTCCGCGAGAGGTATACGGTTCCCCGGTGTTTGAGGGCATTCTTTGACAGGTTTGGTATCCTCGTTTAATGGCACTTCTTGAGGCGGAGGATCTTCTTTATCTGCAGATGTTTGCATTGGTTCCACCACTCCATTCAACCATGAACTTTGGTTCTCCTTGTTGTTATGCGCGGCTTTCGTCTCATTCTTCGAGTTCGTGGTATCAGGCGCCACAGTTTCTTCTTTGTAGCGGAATGCGTTTAGTTTCGTGCGGGAGTTTGAGGAGATAGGGTAAGAATTATTGTTGTTGGTTGCCATGATCTCAATTCGATTTCATCCAAAGGCTTTCTTCTTAAAGCGGGTAATGATGCATTCTCGGCCTTCTATCAGCAAGGTTAGCAGCGAAACGCGAAATGATCACTCAATGGGAAGAAATTTACCATGCCAGTGGAAAGAGAGTATGTACTCAGCAGCTTCAGGGCCCTGTATACATAGAGACTCGACCGTTTTCTGAACGCAGCACTGTGTTGACGGATCAGGGAGATAATTGGGGCAGGATGCGATAAGAACGCGTCGCGCGTCGAGTATTGTTGCCTGATTTGGAAGGCGTGTTGTTAATGCCTGTATACTAAGGCAACAAAAGGCGGCCAAATAAAATCACCTAGAACGGACTAGCGTCATGACTGATCAGCTCCGTCGGCCTTTTGCGGCTTCAACATCAACCCGCCGAACAACCCCTCTCCTCTCCATTCTACCAAACGGTGCCATACCAATTGCCATTGTTGCTGTCACCTTGGCAAGGGGACAATTTATCGGCCTTGTCCTTGAACCTGCATATCCCACAAACCCCAGGCCCCCTCGATCATCGCCAGCCGTCGCACCCCCGTCTTCAACATGGTTGCCCGGCCAGTTTCGCATCTCCTTCGTTCGCGCTGCTTGCTGCGCAAGCCTCAGAACACCCAGGCCTTCTCGACTCGAAACGGCCTCCGCGCCGCCGACCACGGCAATCACTATGACCCCCCGACCGGCTGGCTGTTCGGCGTCAAGCCTGGCCAGAAATACGAGAAGGAAGGCTGGGAGGGTATCTGGTACTACGGATTCATTGGCAGTCTGCTAGTTGCTGGTGTTGCATATGTCTTCAAGCCCGACACCTCGTAAGTCCCGCCCTTGCGCATTTCCTGGACACTTGCCAGGACCTGTCTCCATGCCGAAGCGACTAGCTTGTCTGGACGACGTTGTCAGGGATGAGTGAGATCAGTCGATGCTAATAATTCAAACAGTATACAAACCTGGGCTCTCGAGGAAGCTCGTCGGAGACTTGAGGCTGAGGGTATCCTGGAGGACCCCGAGAAGGTCAAGAAATAAACGGATCGGTTCTTGCGCCTAATCTGTACACTGTACATAGAGAGATCGGAAAAGGGTTATTTCGGTTGGCGCCTGTACCACCTGCGATGGCAGATACGATGTTCCGATCCTTTGGTTAGATGGGGTTTTCGCATGTCCTTCCATTCCATTTTCTTTTTCGTCCCCGACCTGTTGTACTACTTTATATTCCGTCTGAACTGCTTTCCATCGCATCAATACAGGTGAATTGAATCAAAATGATCGTCATTTATCAACATATGTGCACGACAGAAATTTATCAACCTTGCCATAGTCTTGGATTATTCAACTTGGACGTGTACCTGAGTGGGTTGAAGCCTCTGTGTTGGTATTTTCATAGTACGAGATTCCAAGTTAGACCTCTGGGTAGATATCGGTCCTCCTGAGTAGGGGCATTTCCCTTCGAATCTTCGACACCAGGTCAAGGTCAATATTCGCTGTCGCAATCTGCGGTTCTGGGTACTCTTCACCCAATTCTGCTACTACCTCGCCCCAAGGGTTAACAATCATAGAGTGGCCATAGCTGCGCCTCTTCTCATTATGCAGGCCTCCTTGCGCAGCTGCTATCACGTAAGTCTGAGTCTCAATAGCTCTAGCTCTGAGCAGAGATTCCCAATGGGCTTTGCCTGTTGGAACTGTGAATGCAGATGGATAGGTAATGACTTCCGCATTTTGACGCCGCAACGCCAGGCTTATTTCCGGGAAGCGTAGCTAGATTTCAAGAATGAGTGAGTGGATAAGGGTGAGGGTTTACTGGGAATATGCATGGCTGGCAGTAGAATACCAAGTCGGCTTTCAGGTGCTTACACGTACATCAAAGCAGATGGCCAGACCGACACGTCCAACCGGCGTATCAAAGGGTGGAAGGATTTTCTGTCCAGGTTCGACGTTCCTTAAAGGAATGTCAGAAATGTCGCCCCGATCTATTAACAAAATGCATTAACTCACTTGCTCTCTTTTAAGATGGGACCATCCTTGATTTCAACGTCGAATAGATGGACTTTCTGGTAGTTTTGGGTGATGATTCCCTTATCATCAATCCAGACCAAGGAGTTCTTGAGCCTATTCTCAGAAGCCATCTCGTGTATGCCAACATTTATATGCATGCTCTCTCCTCTTGCAGCTTGTTGTAGAGCCGAAATAAAATCACCACAGTCCGGTGACTGGGCAAGGGCGAGGGACTCCTCTGCGGAAGACGCAATATAGTCTGATGCCTCAGGCAAGAAAAGGACCTATAATGATGTTAGCTATATGTGCCAGGCGCATTAAGAGAACTGGAACGGAGTATATCATACCTTAGCACCCGCTGCTGCAGCCTTACGGATTAATGTCTGGCATTGGGCTAGATTGGATGTTATGCTCGCCGTCGCGCAGAGCTGCCCCACGGCCTATCTCGAACAGAGAATGATGAGTGATCAAGAACAGACCGGAGCTCAGCTATCAACAAACTTACTGCAAGAACCATTGTAAAATTTGGTCTCAGGAAATTCAGCTCGCAAATTCCGCAAAAAAGACGTTTCTGTCGCTTGCAGGAGACGGCGATGTCGCAAGACCTTTGGTGAGAGCCTACCTAGGCCGATACCTGGTGATTACTCAGCTATCGCGATTCGGCGATAACCTGGTTCTATCGCCCGCAAAAGATTCGTTTCTCACCTGGACTTTTCACCAAAATTGCGGCTCTCAGGTGATCCAGCAACTGCCGCCAGGCAGGTCAATACAGTCGCAATGAAGAGTCTTAGAAGAGATATTTCTTCAAATCCGCAAGCCGCAAATGTCACCAGCAAAGTCTTCGTGCGATCCACGAAAAGTGGAAAGGTGCAAAAGATTGTTCGAGAGCTCTACCTGAGACAAGACATTCCCTGCTCCTCGAAGCTTTGCTCGCTATGCCCTTCGATCGCCCCGGCAGATGCCAACGGGAATAGTATGAGCGCTTCCTTATGATCTTGAACCTGAGCACCCAGCTAACGCAAAGCAGTTGCGCCATTCGTCCTGTCCGATCGTCCCGCCGGTACCAAGGCATTCCCCCGCGGCCATTACCTTTTCCCAGATACGAATGCGCTTCTGAATGGCATGGATCTTTTTGAACACACTGGCGCCTTCTACGATGTCGTCATCCTCCAGACCGTCCTCGAAGAGCTTCGAAACCAATCGCTGCCTCTCTACAATCGCCTTCTTTCCCTGATCAAGACCGACGAGAAGCGCTTTTACCTGTTCTTCAACGAGTTCCGCCTGGAGACTCATGTCAGGAGAGGTCCGGAGGAATCGATCAACGATCGGAACGACCGTGCCGTTCGCACCGTTGCTAGCTGGTATGAAGAGCATCTCCGTGTTTCGGCCAAGAAGAGCAAGAAAGAGAAATTCGTGCCTGCTATGGTGGTCATTACCGACGACAAAGATAGTATTCGCAAGGCCAAGGCCGAAAATGTGACGGCTTTGTCTCTCGCGGACTATGTCGCCGGTCTTGAGGATTCCGAGAAGCTGCTGGATATGATCAGTGAGGCTAGAGAAGCTCGGGATACAAAGGACTCTGCTCGTGGGGAGCTATTCTACCCCGAGTACTACTCGATGTCAAAGCTTATGACTGGGTTGCGAGCGGGCACCTTGCACCAAGGAGTTTTCAACGTCTCGCCGTACAACTACTTGGAAGGATCTATCAAGGTTCCAGCCTTTGATAAGCCCCTACTCATTCTGGGTCGCGACAACAGCAACCGTGCGATTTCAAGTGATGTCGTTGTGATTGAGCTCTTGCCCAAAGACCAATGGAAGTCGCCCTCAGCGAAGATAGTTGATGAGGAGGCTGTAACGAAGAACGATAATCCCGATACAGACGAATCAGAGGCTGTGGTAACGGACAGAGAGCGCAAGGCTCTTCAAGAAGAGGCCAAGCAGGCGCATGGAAAAAATTCAGAGGGCAACCCGCAGCCAACAGCCAAGGTTGTCGGTGTCATCAAGCGCAACTGGCGCCAATACGTGGGACATGTGGACTCGAATTCGACCGCCTCGCATGCTGGTCGTCGACAGCAGACTGTCTTTGTGCTGCCCATGGAGAAGAGGGTTCCGAAGATCAGAGTCCGCACGAGGCAAGCGAGCGAGCTCATCGGTCAGCGCATCGTTGTCACCATCGACTCCTGGGACCGAGACTCTCGGTATCCCACCGGTCACTACATCCGATCCCTGGGTGAATTGGAGACCAAGGGAGCCGAGACCGAGGCACTTCTACTGGAGTACGACGTGCAGTACAAGCCTTTTCCGAAGTCTGTTCTCGACTGTCTACCCGCAGAAGGTCATGATTGGAAGGTTCCTGCCTCCAAGGAGGACAAGGGCTGGAATGGTCGACGAGACCTACGTGATCTGCTCATTTGCAGTATCGATCCCCCGGGCTGTCAGGATATTGACGATGCACTACATGCACGCCCTCTGCCGAATGGCAACTTTGAGGTTGGCGTCCACATTGCAGACGTCTCACACTTCGTCAAGCCTAACAACGCAATGGATCTCGAAGCAAGTGTCCGCGGTACGACCGTATATCTGGTTGACAAGCGTATCGATATGCTTCCACATCTTCTTGGAACAGACCTTTGCTCGCTGAAGCCCTACGTGGAGCGTTACGCCTTCTCTGTCATCTGGGAAGTCACTCCCAACGCAGAGATCGTGTCTTCAAACTTCACAAAGTCCGTCATTCGCTCACGCGAAGCTTTCAGTTACGAACAGGCTCAACTGCGCATTGACGATCCCTCGCAGACTGACGAACTGACGGAGAGCATGCGGAACCTCCTGCGCTTCTCCAAAATTCTCCGACAGAAGCGTTATGATGCCGGTGCCCTGAACCTCGCCTCGCCTGAAGTCCGCATCGAGGCTGGTGATGAAGCCGGTGACCCTCTTACCGACGTAAAGACCAAAGCCATGCTCGAGACCAACAGCTTGGTCGAAGAGTTCATGCTTCTCGCCAACATCACCGTAGCCACAAAGGTTTACGAATCCTTCTCGCAAACTGCTCTCCTTCGTCGTCACGCCACCCCACCGCCGCAGAACTTCGAGGATCTAACCAATCAGTTGGCCAAGAAACGTGGCATGGAGCTTGACGTCTCCAGCTCTGGCGCACTTGCCAACTCTCTGGACCGCTGCGTCGACCCAGAGAACCCATTCTTCAATACCCTGGTCCGTATCCTGGCGACTCGTTGCATGACCTCCGCCGAGTACTTCTGTGCCGGTGCCCATGCCGAGTCTGAATTCCGCCACTACGGTCTTGCCTCGCCCATCTACACACACTTTACCTCGCCCATCCGTCGATATGCCGATCTTCTTGTCCACCGACAACTGGCCTCGGCTATTGGGTACGAGGGCGAAGATGGACACGCCGTCATCGAGGGTGTCAGCACTCGTGGCAAGCTTGAGGATATCTGCCGCAACATCAACTACCGTCACCGCAATGCTCAATTCGCCGGCCGTGCCAGTATCGAATATTACGTTGGCCAGGCCCTCAAGGCGCGCGGTGAGAAGATGGCTGCAGGCGGCACGGACACTGGCATTGACGAGGAGGGTTACGTGATGCGTGTCTTTGAAAACGGTGTCGTCGTGTTCGTCCCCCGATTCGGTATCGAAGGTGTCGTCCGCTTGGAGGACTTTGTTCTGCCCGGTGAATCTGGTATTTATTCCGTAGCTGAGCGGCGGGAGTTGGCGGTTCATCGGACCACAGACTTTGACAGCGAGGAGTACACGGTTCGAGTATCAGAGAAAAATCACCCCGAGAAGGAACGAAGTGTGCAGGTTGAGCTCTTCCAAAGGGTCAAGGTGAATATCAGCTCGGTCAAGGAAGAGGGTCGTGGTGCTGGCAAGCGCAGAGTTCGGGTATTGATTACTGGTTAAATTAGATTCAGCAAAATAATCCGAAGCATTTTCATGGGTTATACCCCCAGTATTGGTATTCCAGTCACTCTCCCCCCTCATATAGCCTAGTGGTCTATTGACCTTTGGGTGTGCCCTAGAAAGGGCAAACATGTGATGGGAATAGGTACAGGCCTCCAGTGTCGAGTATAACTCCACGGATGGTCAGGCACATCCCTAGGCGGGGAGAGTGGGCGGGTGGGCATGCGAGGTGGTGGTAGCACCTCCTCGCGGATAAAGATCTTTTTTATATTTTTTTGATATAATATATTATTTCTGCTTAGAATATAAGCTATTCTATTTTTTCTTAAAAGAAACTTCTAAGACAGTGTTAGAAGGGTGAGAGTGATGCTGTTAATTATGTATAGTGTCAGCGTTGGCTCTGGGTGATGTACTTCGGCATCGCGGGGTGGCGATGGAGCATTACTATGAAGTATATAGGGAATCAGAAGGTCGGGGGTTCAATTCATGGAGGCGGAGGTATTTATTTTGAGTATATGACATCTTGCATATGCTCATTCAGAGCTTGATCTTATTCATACTAGACGGAATGGTCTACAATAGAGAGACCACAGTACATCATATCTTCTGCGAGGCCTGATGCCGTTCGTCCTCATGATTACAACATAAGAAGAGTTCCTGGAGCGTTGCAAAATCCAAGAATCATTTGAAGGATGTGACTATTTTGTAGCTATACTTGTGTCTAAGCCGGGCCTCTGCACATTCAGGCTTCGTGCTCTTTTAATCGTAATCTTAGACACGCTTGAGGGCAACCATTCTGCGCATCAGGCTGAAAGGAGCCCAAATCTGCGCATCAGTTGCGCCATCAGATGAAGTCGTAAATGCAATAGCTGCAGGAGAATCCTGCTTTTCCCCGTCAGAGTTCTCCGCATTCGTGAGAGCCTCTTCACGAGCAACAAATTCACGCCGTTGCTGCGCCCGCTCGAGCTCTCCCACCTTCCAGCCCCGAACAACCCAGAGACACAGCGAAGCCCCGATATATACAAACCCGGTGAAAATTTGAATATGGAGGTACGAAACGCCCCCACCTACCTTGGTGGTGCGCAGTTCAAGGGCAATCGCCTCAGAGACAGTACACGGTGCAACGAGAGTGAGCCAAGTAATACTCAATCCAGAAGGCAGGTCTCTCAGACCGATAATCTCGGCCAAGACGGGCGAGACAGTGGCCCAGTAGGTTCCGGAGACAGTTCCTACCAGCACGACGAAGAAGCATACGACGCCCATGCTATCAGCGAAAATCCAAATGACCAGGCAAAACAGTCCACACACGAAGGTGAGGACAGTGGCAATATTAATCCGACCAAGACGATCACTGAACATGCCGACAATTGGACGGCCGAGACCCTGTCCGAGGTTCAAGAGAGCGGAAACGATACTCCCCTGATGCGGCGTCAGTCCGACGGAGAGCGCAAAGTTGGCCACACTGAACAGCAGGGCCACATATCCCAGCATGCTGAAGACACCCCAACCTAGGAAAAGCAGAAACTCGGGCCGACGCAGCAGCGGGAAATGAAACGCCGTCAAACGACTTCCAACCAACTTGTTCCGGTCTCGAAGGAGATTGCCACAGACCAGGTTAACAACGCACGAGATGATACCCAAGATGCGGAATGCCCAGCCCAGACCTAGACGTGGGATAATCGCACCCACGGCTAGCGAGTACATCAATCCGCCAACCCCAGATCCCGCCGCGGTGATACTCATTGCAAAGCTGCGACGTTTCAAAAACCACTGTGGAGCAATGCCCACGCTCCCGACGAAGAGGAAGCCCATGCCCCAGCCAAAGCAGACGCCTTGGCTGAGGAAGATGTGCCATTTCTGAGTGGCAAAGGATGAGCCGATGAGGGAGAGAGTTTCGAAAAAGACGCCGAGGTTGACGACCAGTCGGGTGCCGAAGACTTGGATGAGCCAGGTAGCTAGCGGAGCCACGAGGAGGGCACAGGATATGCTGAGACCGCCAGTGAAAGCGTAGGAGAGGGCTGTTGTGTTGGGGAAGACGTTATGAGAAAGATAGTAACTGAGGAAGACACCATAGCTCTGAAGAATGTAGTGTGTTAGCTTGGCAGATATACTTCTACAAGAATGGATATATACTAACGCTGTTGATTCCCCAGGTATGCGCATTGATCCAGAAGACACATGCAACGCAGACCCAGCCATATCCGCCGTCTGGTGGGACATCGCGCGTATATTTCTCATCGGGGTCGGTCTGGGGTTCTACAGGAGCAGAAATGTCATGCTCGTGCTTGGAATCCGCTACCGAGTCCCGATCATCGTCTTGATGAGACTGGATGACATCGACGGGTGTATTATCAGCCATGCCTTGGGCCTATTTAATATGCCGACGAAACTTCCAAGTCTGGTCTCTGTTTGTTCTTGCCAGTGGCAATGCTGAAAACCGCGACCCGAAGCAAATTGCCGTTTTCGTCACGACATAGGGCCCAGCCGTTGACAAGGACGTGGAGGAAAGAGAAGAGAATTATTTTAGAGATTAGAAAGGATCCAGACCAAGAAGATATGAGTCGACCATGATGGAGTGAGTTAGCTTAAGGCTAGTCTCTTAATTATGGGGTCATGGTCGGACTTAACGCCGACATTTTCTACTGTACACGGAACTTGGGGTCGGCCCTTGGTCGAGGAACTATATACCGCGGCCAGTCGGTGACTTTAAGCCAATGGTAAAGCATATTGGACCCGGAATGGATCAAGGATACGACGGGAAGCTTGCTAAGGATCAAAAGCAGAGAAAGATCATTGGGGCCGCTTTGGAGTCGTGGAGCAAGAAAGTGGGGTTTGATGCCGAAGACCCGGTGCGGAGAAAAAGTGACGAGCAGAAGACCAAGAAAAAAAGGCCATCTAAATATGCCTCGATTTTATGCTTTTAACAGATCTATCTGAATGTCTTTGGAACCCTCTTTCTAGATATTCCTGGCATTGTTGTTCAACTTGCCTTCTAAAGTATAGCTAGCTGATGAGATGGGTTTGAACTTTTTCGGGTGTTGCAAAGTTATGGAACACCACTGTATATATCTCCGATGGAATACCTGGAAATGAGCGGACAGGGATCATCATCTTGAGTTCTGACTCATCGCGGGTGGTGAGGTTATCTGCAGGTCCAGTTGTTCGTTGGCAGGTTGGGTATCAACACGTTGACATGTAGACCCAAGGCCGAGTCCAGGGATTGTATATAGTTGATGGAGGGTAACGAAAAGATCTCCGACCGGATCATCGAATCTTTTGCATGACTCGGCATCTAGTGATCACCGCTACCGTTCGTATAAAGTACAGTCAGTACAGATACGCAGTGAATCGCCGAGCGACAGACGCTTTCACGTGCCGTAAGCCCTAAGCCCTGCCCCAAACCGGCCGATGACGGCGTTGCCCGGGGCCTGTTTGTTTTGGACTCCGCAATCAGCGGGACGAGATCGCGACTAAGGCCAGAGCTCCTCCTGAGCTTCTCCTGAGTCTCTAACACTGCAGAGAATCCTGAGCTGATCCGGACGCCCGCCCCTGGAGTAATAGTCGGATCGGACAGAATAAAGCTAGCTACCCATGATGCACAAACATACCAAGCCTATCGGCCAGCGCAAGGTCTCGCCGCCGGGCCCCAGCTATATGAACAATGATCAAATGGGTAAGTTGCCCCTTCATTCCTTCAACTTAGAACTACCCAGCCCCTCCTGAACGTACGCGCAGCCAACATTAAGCATTCACAACGAGTGCAAGCTAACGCGCGCTCGCTTTCCACAGCAAGTTATTTGAAAGATCTCCGAACAAACCGTCCAGCTCGACCAACGGGATCGCGACCTTATCCTGGCAAATCCACCACGGCATCATCTCCCGATCTTGAGGAGGGCCTCCCTCCTCGCGCGGCTTCTGCATTCTCCATGTACCGAACCTCCGGAAGCCCTCCGGACGCAGAACCTCGCTGCGGAAGCGCCATGTCTCATCGTCGCGCAAACTCCAACGCCGCCGAAGCTGGTCCGACCGGCCGCCCTCTAGCCCAAGAACCACGATCAGTCTCGGTGCGAAAGAACGTGTTTCCCTCGCAGATCTTCTCGCACCCCGTGGCTGCATCGCCAGTCCCCTCTTATCGGTCGTATCGGGAAAGTAAACACAGACACCAGGAGAAGGAAGAAGCACGGGAGCTGCGCGACGTGCTGCAAGGGTTAGATTTGGAAGATGATGTTCGATTGCATCAAGCAGCTCAGGATGAGGCGACGGAGCTGGTGTGGATGCATCAAAATCCTGGGATGGCGTATAAGAACCCACATGCGCCTTATCATAACCCAGATGCCGTGGGGAGAGACCCTTCGATCCGAAGTCAGTCCCGGCAGAGCTCTGGATCGAGATCATCACCGATCAAGCACCGCCATTCAATTGCCTCGAGTGGTTCCTCGAGTGGACCTTCGAGTCCCGAGTTCGCAGACGCTGACTTAGTGTCATCTACCCGGAGGCGCTCGTCTCTCGCCGGAACTTTGAAGAAGAACCTCAAGGTCAACTTTGCCTTGCCCGAAGAGAAAAAGCCCGCGCCTAAGCCCCGCACCGTGAGTGGTGATTCCTCCAAAGGTGTCTTTCGAAACCCCGAGGACCACATCTATGAAGAACTGGAAGCGACCGAAACCCAACCCGACTTCTCCAAGTCTGACTCTTCAGCGCTGCGAAATAAACCGCGCAACGCGCTCCCCAGACTCGGCAAACCGCTGCCCTGGTTACAGGGCCGGAATACCAATGGTTCCGTGCGCGACAAGATCTCCAAGTTCGACATCCACAAGAACCCGCCCAGCCAGTCCCGTAATCCAGGGTATACACAGAATGAGCCTGTGGCGCCGTCGCCTCCTAGAAAGGATGAAGAGCCTGTTCCCATGAAGGATGGGAAGGAAATCCGCAGCGATGATATCCGGGCTGCTACCAGCAAAAAGCTCAAGGACCGCAGTGAGAACCTGCCCATGCCTTCTGCAGTCAGTGACCGCGTTGGACGGCCCATCGTGAGCTTTGATCGGAAATGGCAACCGAGTGACCTGCCCAAGCCCAAGCCGCAGCCGCCAACAGCCGCACCTCCAGTGCCTACCATAGCTCCCAGTATTGAGATCTCTGAGCCACAGGCTGCTCCCCCTCCAATCCCGGTCATCAATATCCCCGATATCAAGGAACCAACAATATCCGAGATGACCGAGCCGGTCCAACACCAAGGCAAACCAGCGAGATCAATGACCCAGCCCGCAGGTAATCAGGGCCGCCCGGCGCCTGTGAAAAGACACCCGTCAGAACCACAACGCAATGCGTATACTCCGTATACTCGATCCGGGGTCCCAACAGCACGCTGCGAGTCCTGTTCCCTCTCTATCTCCGGCAAGATCGTCACCGCTGGAGGCTGCCGATTCCACCCTGAATGCTTCATCTGCCACCACTGCCACACTGCCCTGGAGTGTGTTGCGTTTTACGAGGAGCCCGAAGCGTCCCGGGCTGAGAGACTGGCGCATAACCCAGACGAAGAGGCGCGTATCCCGCGCTTCTACTGCCACTTGGATTTCCACGAGCTCTTTAGTCCCCGCTGCAAGAGCTGCAAGACCCCCATCGAGGGCGAAGTCGTCGTTGCATGTGGCGCAGAATGGCACGTGGGCCACTTTTTCTGCGCCGAATGTGGTGATGTAAGTAGTCTTTCACTCCCCTCTTCTTACACGCTAGACCATATTCACTAACTCTCACCTCCCAAAAGCCCTTCAACTCGACGACTCCGTTTGTCGAGAAAGATGGTTTTGCATGGTGTCTGCAATGCCACGGCCGTCGTACTGCGCCCCGCTGTCTAGGCTGCAAGCAGCATGTCCTTGACGACCTGGTCATTACCGCTATCGGTGGACAATGGCACGAGCGCTGCTTTGTCTGCCACGAGTGTGGTGACGGGTTCGGACCCGAGGGCCGTTTCTTTGTTCGTGAGGGTGAACCGAAGCGCACTGCTAAGGGTCGGATTATTGGTGGACCTGTGCAGTTGGCTATCTGTGAACGATGTGAGGGTATTCGTCTCAAGGCTCCTGGAATGTGTTGAGGCAGGTTACATGTGTCCTGCCTTTACTTGAAGCCTTTCGGGTCTTTTGAGACTGGTGCCTGAGCATTTGATGCTTTTTATGACTTTATTGCGTGACGATTTACTGATTGTTTTTGGGGGATTTTGTTTCCGGATATGAGAGTGCATTGGTCAGGTTTATGATTGTGTTTATATGATTTTCGTTCTGTTGTTTCGGTTCTATTTTGTCTGCTTTTTGCCCATTTTGGCGGGAGTTTATCATGTTCGATTCATCAAGCGCAGATTGTTTATTACAAGATTTGTTTCATGGTTGTGGTATTGGCAATGCATGCATAATAGAGAGATAAACTTGGACATGGACTTGGACTTGAAGATGGAAAACGCCTGTACACCAGAGATTCTTTTTCAGGCCATATAGAGACCAATCAAACACACACATGCATCTTTTTCTTTTCTTTTCTCAAGCAGGCCACTCGGGGTCCGCCTTGCGACGGAACACCGCAACGTACTTGTTACCGTTGTTCCGAGTGACCTTCTTGGACTCTTCGGTCTCAAACTTCATCACCTGGACACAAGGATCCGCATCAAGCTCCTCTTCGGAGAGAAGTTCCCAAAGATCTCTAATGCCCTCCGTAGGCTCATCTCCCTTCTCAGTCACATTTCCCCCTCCTCAGTTTCATATTTGAAATGCCGCAGCACCCAGTGGTGATATTCCTCCACATCAGTGATAGTATACATCAAACCACCCGGCTTCAGAACATACGCATATTCAGCATTCAAGCTCTCGGAGACAATACGAGCCTTGTGCTTGCGCGCCTTAAAGTGCGGATCAGGGAAACACACAAAGATTTTGGAGAGTTGGTGGTGGCCGAAGAAATTGGGGAGGAATTTCATCGTGTTGGCCCGAATACCAGTGATGTTCTCGTAGTTTCCTGGGACGATGGTCGTCGTGCTGCCGACTTCGTCGTCTTCGTCTTCGGGGACTGTGGGGGTTTCGGAGGGGGTTTGGTTTGTGCTCTTTTCCGCGGCGGTCTTTTTGAGGACTTGCTGTTTTAAGCGGAGGGCGGATACGCGGCTGCGGACGTAGTCGAGGACTGAGACGCGGATTTCCATGCCTGGAGGGAAGGTTAGTATTCGCATGATATGGAATACTTGATTGAGGTGGTGTCAAGCAAAGAGGGTGTGCGAATTTGAACGTACCGACCATCAAGGTATCTGGTAGTAGAGGTGCCAGTCCAACCAGCAACCCGCCGAATCCACAACCAATGTCCACAACTTCCACATCCTTGATCAATTTTCTCGTACCACCGAGATTGATCTTGGACGGATCTGGATCGACAAAGGCAGGATAATGCGACGCCCAGTCCATATGCGCAGGGCTAATCGGGCTATAGTTTCGTCATGGTTAGCTCCAGCACAGCCAGCACAGTACCCAGAACCACATCGTCCACGAAGCTAATGTCTTCACAGTACGTTCTGAAACATTCGCCAGGAAGGTATATAGGCCACATACTAGTCCAGATTATGATCCGAGAACACGTTCGCATGCGCGCGCGCTGCCGGAAGAATCTCTTCTTCGGCATTTTCACATTGGAAACGTCGCCATCAACGCGCTCAGCCTGTTCCTGGATCTTGCGGCGGTATTCCTCGCGCTGTTGGCGCTTACCCGCTACCTGGGTAGCCATTGTGAGAATGACCGTGGATATTCGAGAATTGGGTGGTGGGAAGGAAAAAAAACGAGGATTCGAGAACGAGAAAGTTGGAGGTCGTTGGAGGAATAATTTGCGCGGGCCGCTCTCCCCCCACTCCACACTCCGCCCGAGCTTTGGGATCTGCTTATCAGCAATCCATCTCCTCCTTCATCAACACCCGATTTTCGTTTATTCGCCACTCGACATAACTGCTAGAGGCTTGTCTCCAAAAGTAAATACTCCGCAGAAATGGCTACGACAGCAGCTACTGCGGGCACAGCAGCTACCCCCTTCGCCTTCCCATCGACCTACAACTTCCCACCCTTCTTCACCCCGCAACCAAACAGCACCACGCGACACTCGCAGCTCCAAAAATGGTCCTCACTAATCCAGTCCTGGTGTCGACACCACCGCACCTACCGCCTCTCCCTCGTCGATGCCGTCGATTCCCCTCTTTTCCATAATGCAGCCCTGCGCAAGCGGCTAAATTTGGCCGAAGCGCGCGCCGTCGTGGACTGGATGACTAAAAAGGAGGAGGAAGGGGGCGGTGGTCAGCGCGCGGAGTGGATTGAGGGAGCTGCGGCGGGTGGGAATACAGCGCCCAAGAGTGTTGCGTGGATCTGGTGGCGGAGGCCGGAGGAGTGGGCGGATGTGCTGGTGGATTGGATTGATGTTACTGGGCAGCGGGGGGTAGTGTTGACGGTGTTTGAGCTGGTGCAGGGCGAGGCAACGGTTTCTCAAGGTAGGTCACTTATTACCCAGACGGGGTCTACGGAAAATGGTCGTGCTGATCATCTTGCAGAGTTTCATGGCATGGACAACGATGCCATGATGAAGGCGCTTAATGTCCTCGTCAAGCGAGGCAAGGCATCGGTCTTTGGTAATGAGGGCGAGGAGGGAGTCAAGTTCTTTTAAACAAACAGAGTCTGTATTGCTATGCCTATGTGATGAATCGTGGCTATTCGTTACAAAGCAAACGCTCAAAGGGTCCATCCATGTTGTTGGTCAACCCAGACTGCCAATACTCCCTAAACATTTACAATACCCCCATCGAGCTCAGCGGCTTGAATGAATCTCGAGACGAGCCCTACTCGTCTACATCCTCGATCAAGCTCTCATCCAGTTCGTACTCGTCCGTGGCTCGCAGATCCTGCGACATGGCCATGTCGAGTAGCCAGTCCACTCGCACGATGCGAGGGGTTCGCTTGACGTCGCCGGCCAATTGACGGAACCGAGGCCAGAGTCGAGCGTGTTTGCGCTCGGCACCACTGAGAAGGAAAGCCTCGTTGCGGCCAGGTTCATCATCTTGCATCTCCTCGTCTTCATCGTCGCTCTCCTCGCGTCGAGAAGTGTTGTTCAGTGCGAGGCGACCACGGAAAAGCAGACACTCTCCACCATTTGCCTCCACGATCGATTTGAAGGCGTCGAATCCTCCGCGGATATCTTCCACGCAAAAGACGCGGAACCCGTGCAGGAGCTTGTTCTTGTTCCTCTTCGCATTTCCCAGGGACTTGGCAAGAGAAATATGGAACTTTGACTCGGCCGTCCTGTCCACAAGGGGGAAGTCCTTTGGGTCAAGCAACTCATCATGCTTGAGACAGTTATCGACAAAGTCAGTGCTCATGATCACCGGCGCATAGGCCAATGCATTGACGAATTTGGCGGTGCGCAGGATAGAGGGCGCTGCCAGGTGAGTGCATCGGCGGGCATCTTGAACTACCATAATTCCAAGATCTCGGAGATGGCGCTGTTCATGTAACATTAGCATTCGCATCATGTATATAGATGGCATTGACAAACCTTATCCGCATCCTCTTTCTTCTCATTGCCCTTGCCAACCCACTTTTGATAACCAGTAATCAGCAAGTGCATGGAGATCGGCAGACGGGACTTCTTCTGTCGCTTGGCATCCATCGCCTGTTCGCCGTCGCTTTCATCCTGTGGCTCGGCAGAGCGGCGCTTCTTCGAATTATTGGATACACGATCCTCGTCAGACTTTCGTCGGCCACCGTAGATAACACCGCCAACGCGCTTCATCTCCTTCTCATACAGGGCAATATCGGGAGCGATCTCATGGAGCCGGGCGGCTGCTGCGTCTTTAGACTTGCGGCTGCTGGTCGAAGAAGGTGTCTCATTCTCCTTGTCATCAGGAATCAGGCGAGATCGCGTAGGTGTCTGTGCCGGCTTGTTGTCTGCTGCCCGGCGAGTGGCTTTGGTCTTCACTTGAGGAGTTCCTTGGGCAGTCTCGGAGACCTTCTCGGTTTCGTTTCGAGGCTTCTCCGCGGGGGGTAGCATTGATGCCGCGTTCTGATCTTTGGCCCGCATGGCACGGGGAGGACTCGCAAGCTCTTCCATGGGTTCAGTAGAGAAGAAGTTCTGCTCAAGAACGTCTCGATCGAGCATTTTCTGTCCAGCAACGTCGCCAAGGTTTGTCCGAGGCGGGAAGTGGTTGTAGCGAGGGTTAGACACTGGTTGCAGCTTCCATGCGGCGTAGCTGTCTTCCAACCACAAGTGATTGACTACCTGTAGTCCCCATTCTCGTGCCGCGCTGCATTTTTCACTGTTACCATGTGCGGTGATCAGATGCGTGTTCTCTTGCTTCAGGGTCTTTGTGCATTCAGCGCCCGCTGCTGCAATCAAATTCTCGAGGTAAATCCGTGCCTCGCCAACATAGTTTGATAGACTGATCTTCAACCCTTCAAATCCAGGGATTGCCGTGCGAGACACGGGATAATGCAGGAGTCTACTCAGGGGACGAGTCCAAGTATTGAATGTCATGAGATGATACAGCCAGGCGAGGTTTCCAACAATCTTGTCCAAGCGGGATGCTGTCCTGTACACAAAGCCCTCTCGGAATCGGCAAACCAACCAGTCCGCATCCTCAACCTTGGATGTGACAGAAGCGCCGCCTTGACCGAGGACAGCCTCGATTGATTCCAGCATATGTGAGCCAATTCCAAGATCTGGCGAGAGCATGATACATTTGCCTGCAAAGACACTCAGTTGGTCTCCAATAAATGAAATATTGGCCGGCGCAGGCATTATGGATGGTTCAGGGGCGGATGCACCCGCCAAACCCTTGTTCTCATTTGAACGAATGGGAGCATCGAGACCTGGGCGCAAGATTTCAGGGTCTGGAAGTGTGTACGGGCGTTCATCAATGCGTTGACCGAGTTTCAGACAATCATCGAACCTGTGTCGCATCAATCAGTCTCATACCGTCGAATGACGACCGATCAAGGGCGAAGCATACCAGTGTGGCAGGACAATCTTCACACGCAACTTTTTGGCCTGTACAAGTCGCGCCTTGTCCGATTCTACCGTTAAGTCCACCAGATGGGTGACCATTCCGGTCATTCGAGGGCTGTACAATCCACCCTTGGCCACCACCCCGCCGATAATCGCATCCTTGTCACCTTCTGGGATATCACCACAGGTCACAACCACATCACTGAGGAAGAGGCGCGGATCAGGGCTGTGTTGACGTGGGTTGGCCACTTTCCGTTTCGCGAGGGAGGTATGCACCCAAGAGGGCTTCACCACGGGGATAAGAGTCTTGCGAGCGAGATCGTAAGTGTGGAAGTCGGTGTTGTTCGCAACAATATGAGTACATTCAAGAGTGTCCTCTTTTTCAGGGCTGGACTCGTGTATTGACGGTTCGCCGCCGTATTCTCCGATCACCGCCGCAAGCTAGTTAGGCGAAAATATGAGTTTCGTCTTCGGTATATGCGCATGCGATCGTAGTAATACATACCTGCTCAGCGGTTTCCAGGGGGAGGGCATTTGAGCACACAATACAGATGCGACACTGGTCGAAGAGCTTGGGGTCGTCGTCTGCCATGGTGACAACACTGAGTTGCTCTCGTTTGTGATTGTCAGGAACGAGTCGAAGACGCGCCGCGCGCGTAAAGCGCCGACGCCGAGTCACGTGCCGATACGCGGGGGAGTGTACATGAGAGTTGGCCCTGGCATTGACTGTCTTTGTCATTTGAATATTTCTATAAATAACGCCTTCTCAGTCTCATTAATAAAGTTCAATTTTAGATTACTGGTTTGATTTGGGATTGGTTTCGATTTCGATTGTCATTGACTTGGACGGTACCAATGTACATTTGGCACGTCGACGGGCACAATGAGCCTCGAGATAAAAATGGCACTAAACACAAAGAAGACCACTGTCTGTACTAAGTTTTCCGGCCTTCATTTTGTCTTTCATTCCCACCTCTGTATAGACAGAAGAGACGGATCCGAACAAAGACACAAGCTTAAATTATCTCGTCATGTACTTGAACAATGCGCAATGAACGAAGTACACCGAGTTTAAAGACACTCACAGCGAGTCCTCACGCATAAATAGCCTCCTCAACCCCCTCTATCCATCTTGTTCCTCACCAACACTCTCATATTTGAGACTCCTGCCTACTTCCAAATTTTTTGGAGATTAACAAGTATTCTCCATCAATTCCTCAAGAGCGCTTCTCAGACTATAACTAGTCACTCTCAAAATGAGCTCTTACAACCCTCACGATGACAGCATTGGGCCTTTTGACGTGGATCCCAATCAAAAACCCCCGAGCAAGGTTCCAGGTAGGACACCTTCTCTCTTTCCAATGACTATTCAGCAGTTCCAGGCTAGCCGTGCTGATTTCGTGGCCAAACTCAAGGACTGGCGCGAAGGCACTTCGGGAAAGACCCCCCCGCAAATGGCCGAGATCCTTGAGTACATGGCAGATGATATTGATCACTTCAAGACTGCCATGATTCCCAACGTGACTAGAGCCTGCTTCACTACCAAGTGTGATTACATTAAGCACGAAGTCTTGCGGTTGATCGAGAGGCTCAAGGGTAGCACGGAATTGGGCCTCGAGACCGAGGAGTATATGGCTTACCTTGGCAGCGCTATCCGTAGACTCGCACTCGAAGATGACGATGACGTCGAAGCGGTGAATGAGACTTTTAGATTTGTCCGCATCCATGAGCGTCATGTATGGGATATGCCTGAATTTGGTTTTACTAAAGAAGCCGAGGCACTGCGCACTAGGCTCTGGACCGTCTATATCAACCTCAACTACTCGAGGGCGGGTTGTGGCTGTTTCCAGTGCAAGATGGTCTGGGATAAGAAAGCACCTAAGCAGGAGGACTGAAACGGTAAAGAAGATTGGTCAGTGGGTTGCTCTTTTTCCTTGTCTTGGTGTATTGTGTTCCTTTTCGTCCACTATTTCCATCCTTTGTTCTTAGCCTGTTGGTGTTTTTGAAGACTCCATGGTCCTAGTTGTTACCCTCTCATAATATTTGAAACATCTATTTTATTACAGCCCAATCTACAAGCTGTATAGAGCAGAGATGCTTATCCTTTCTCATTTTTCCAAAATAATGCACGTAGAGAAATTTCTTGTAAAGTTCTGTCGAAGTGGTCAAACTCCCTTTGTAGTTAGTTGGTTTATCGATATGCCAAGGATTCCAAAAAGATCATGATAAAGGGATATCTTATGCATATAAAGTACAGTACATGAAGGGACGGAATATTCATTTGAGTTGTACATAGATTCGCCTAAAATTCCGAATCCAGAGGTATGAACGTTCAAACGTGGGGCCCCGGCAGTTGCGGTCGCGGAGAATGCCACTCGGCCCTTTGGGGGCCTCGGCTCAATCGTTCGGTATCCTGCCATTTAATACCCTGGGCATCCCTGTGAACGCTGCTCGTTCACCCACAAAAGCTCTCTGTACGGAGAGCTATTAAATTTCAAGCATGTCATCTTCACCGTTTCGAATCGTCGAGCACGTCGTGCCTTGCCAGCATATTCGCGAGTATCCCGCCGCCACAGCCAACGAGCAGGAACAGCCCTTACACCTCGCTGTGAAACAATACATCCCACTTGACAACCCGAATCCGCAACCCGGCGATGTGACTATCCTCGCTGCACATGCTAATGGCTTCCCAAAGGTATGTTATGAATCATAGATCTCTGCGCACATTGTCGCTGGGCCGATCGCATACAATATGCGCCCACAAGGCGGCACTTTTCAGGATGTCGCATGCTGGCGCAATCTAGCACGAGACTAACCTGCAACAGGAGCTATACGAGCCTCTTTGGGAGGAAATCCACGCGCGGTCTCAAGCCAACGGATTCCGAATTCGAAGCATCTGGATGGCCGACGTCGCACAAGAAGGCGAGAGCAGCGTAATTAATGAAGACTCCATGGGCAATGACCGTACGCGACACCCGCTTCAAAGACTTTATACCATGAGATGCATACTAACAATATCACAGCTAGCTGGTTCGATCACCCCCGAGACCTCCTTCATCTGGTCAATGTCAAGCGTGCCGAGATGCCCCGGCCCATAATCGGCATTGGCCACAGCATGGGTGGCGCACATCTGTCAGTCCCGAGACCGTTGCACTAAAATCCAATCGACATCGCACTAACTAGAACCTGTAGTACACAATTGAGCTTGATGCACCCCCGACTGTTACACACCTTGGTTCTACTGGACCCTGTCATCCAACGACATACCACTCAACTCGACGCGCTAACCATGCTCGAACGCAAGCGTATGATCGCAAAGACCACCCAGCTCTCCACCCACAGACGCGACCTCTGGCCCTCCCGTCAAGCCGCCGCAGAGGGCTTCCTGCGCAGTCCCTTCTATCAAGCCTGGGATCCACGTGTTCTAGACCGCTGGGTCAAGTATGGTCTACGAGATCTTCCCACGGCCATCCACCCTCTCGGTCCCAACACTGTCGTAGACAAGAAGAACCCCCCGGTAACACTACGAACCCCGCTCCACCAGGAAGTCTTCACCTTCTCGCGTCCAAACTATAATCACATCCCCGGCAGCGACAAGCCCGTCAACCGCGTAACACACCCCGACCTTGACGCGGACCACCCAGACTGCCATCCCTTCTATCGGCCCGAGCCGGCGCGAATCTTCTCACAGCTACCCCACCTACGCCCTAGCGTCCTCTACATTTTCGGAGGCAAGTCAGACATGTGTCTCCCAGATATGATGGCCGACAAGCTAGCCAACACAGGCACGGGGCTCGGTGGTAGCGGCGGCGTCGCAAAGGGCCGCGTGCGAGACGTCTATCTCAAGGACTTTGGCCACTTACTCGCCCAGGAAGCTGTAAATGAATGTGCCGATGCAGCGGCATGCTGGCTGGCGCCGGAACTGCGGCGCTGGCGTGATGAGGAGGAAAGCTTCTGGTCGGTGTGGAATAAGAAGTCGAAGGTCGAGAAGATGACTATTGACAAGCAGTGGCTGGACAATGTTCCTTCACCGGCACGGCGACCCAAGAATGGGGAACAGAAGGCCGGTGAGTCGAAGCTGTGAAGGGGGGGGCCGTGCAATCACCTTGTATATAGATTTGCATATCTCAACCTTCATGGGGGTGTTGTCCGATCCATTGTCACGGCATTTCTAGTCATGGTGTACATATCGATTTGGGATCAGTGTCATAGTAGGAAGAGAATAGGTACTTGGGATATACAAGATTAGTTAGACCAAGCTCAGTTCAAGTCATTTAACAGCCTTGATTCTTTTTATCGCAGAACAACGGGGGCAACCTGGAAGCAGCAGAGCTGGAAAAAAACATCACAAACGGAGGAAAAGCCAGCAGCTACAATGAAAAAAGGCCCCGGCTCCAGTCTATAGCAACACCATTGTACGTCTTTTTCTCATTCATGTCATCGGGGAATATGGGTTTAGGGCGTACACTCCGAGGAGAGGTAGAACTACTATCGCCTAAGATTCCGTCACCGGGACAAATGAAGGATATGCCGGAGGAGGGTGCCAGCCCGATGCACCCCGAACCGGCGGAGAGCACAATTCAACACATATCAAGAGAAAAACTGAACGGCAGGACAGTTTCTACTGCAGTCAGAGGGTCACATCCCAGGGTAGTCACCATACCCCCCGACAGCGGCCGAAAAAACCGATGTAATCAACCGAGCATTTGAAGTAAGACACTTAGGTAGACTTTTTAGCTCGAGCAACCCCATTCTCAGACAGGGGTGTGGTACGAATGATCTCGGGGATGTGCCAGAAGTGCGCCCAGCGCAGGTGAAAGTCGTCCTGGCGACCATTCAGGCAGTGTCGCAGCCAGATACCCCAGATGATATACAAGTATGCACCGACACCGGTCATGATATGCCTGAATAAAAAAAGTTAGTACAATCAGACTAACATGGCAAGAGTTTAATCAGAGTACGTACCACCAACCATGTCCCTCCAGGAAAATCCCCCACGGCAAGCCCACCTTCCGACGCAACACGCGGATCTGCGAACAGAACTGGTTGTCCAGATTCCAGATGAAAAAGCCGCCGATGAACATACTAAGCCCGTAGGCAACCATGAACCACATCGTCTTTATGGTCTTCCTGTCGCGCTCATTCTCGAAATGCTGGCGTTCCTTGGTAGGTACCGGGAGACCCTTCTTCTGGCGCTCTAGTCGATCTTCCTCGCGGGAGTGGCGCCACCGGGGCCGAAGCGTGGTCTCCATGGTGTGCACGCTGCGCAGGACGACGACTGTGGTCAAGAGAGCGTAGGCAATCTGGTGGAAGACTGGGTCTTGGAGGTAATGGTAATAGAGGGTGATGAAGACTGCTAGACTGAGGAGGGAGATGGCGAGGAATACGCGGATACCGGTTGAACGCGAGTATGAGAATGAGGCGTAGGCCATCAAACAGGTTGTGTAGATCATGGAGAGCTCGTCGACAAGCTGCATCGGGTCTGTGCGTGCATTCAACGGTTAGCATGCCGGTTGAAGTGTAACCTAGATCGACATGGCCGATCTATACAATTGAGATCGCTGGGAGCCGTGGTATATTAAGGTTCGGATGTGAGGGCATGACACTTGCATTTCAAAGTTGAATGAAACAGGAAGCTACCCGTTCCTACAACCAGATAGCCCAAAAAGGCAACGGTGAAGATCTGGTCGTGTCCATTGCGGCGACAGCTGATGATGCCCTTGATACCCAGCCACATAAACAAGAGATTTGTTAGGGCATTGACAATCTCTGCGGAGTAGACGGTCGCATAGTAGTCCTAAATATCAAGAGACATTTGTCAGTTTGATGTTTGAGTCGAATAAATCGCTTCCAGGCAGCTGCCTGGCCACGTTCGAGGCAATCGCGGGGTGATCAGAATAAGCAAAGAACAAGGCCTGGATAACACACCTCTTCACACCAGTTTAGTGTCGATGTGACAGGGCTCCAGAATCCAGCCTTTGCAGGCGGATATGGAATATGAGGCAGAGACCACCGCATTTTTGTGGGAGAGGATTGAAGAAGAAGAGAAGAAGAGGAAGTCGAGAGGCAACAGCCCCAAGGACACAGGTGACGTCGATTACACACGCACCACCATTGGGGCCCACTGATTGGCTCCGAGCTGGCTCCGCGAGTTGCCGGGCTGCTTGCGGGTGTTTGGCGGCGGTAACGGACGATCGTTTGGCACCGTTTTGGAGGATTTGGGGGCGAACGAGAATGTTATGTGCCGATTTCTGGAAACGGATATTAAGTATATTCAAACTATTGATAATTGGTATTACCGTGCTACCTTTATTCTTGTGCACAATAAGTGACGAGCGAACGAGTATGTGCTGTACAGTACTCCGTAGGGTCCACGCCTTATCGATATGACTGATACGGGCTGATACGGGCGAGACCGAGGCCCTCCGAAGCAAGGCCTTGGAAAATCACTGATGACTTCACCGAGCCCTGTGTAATCTCCAACGGCCTCAACTACCACCTCATCCCATCACCCCTCCCTGGATTCTGCCCTCGGTGGAATTGCGCATGACTCGGGAATGCAGAGTGCCTCACACCCATTCCAACTGTGACCGTTCCGGAACGGGCAGTTCTGTCTCAGCTTCCGCCGATACTGAATTCCTGCGGAGAAATCTTCCACCCCAACTGTTCACGACTCATTCACTCCGATATCGAAGCCTTTTCCTCTCCTACACTTTCTGCCGACACCCACTCGCGGCCAGTTGATCTCGTGCGAGATCTGGCGCCGAAGCCATGTCGAATAACAGCGCCTATGTGGTGCCACCAGTGAAGAAGACTAGCACATCCACATGTATGCATATCTCCTGCAGGCCCTAACAAGACCAATACGACCATGAAGTTTGCCCAGACTAACCAATATTATTGGACTGGTAGCATCCAAAACAGTCTTCCACTTTGCCGCCGGCCTCTGCTCAGGTCTCACCTCCTCCATCCTTCTCCAACCAGCCGATCTTCTCAAAACCCGAGTCCAACAATCCGGCAAAGCCAACGCGCTCCTCCCCACTCTCAAAGCCATCCTCTCTTCTCAAAATCCTATCCGCAATCTATGGCGTGGAACACTTCCCTCCGCCCTTCGAACGGGGTTCGGTTCTGCCCTCTACTTCACCAGTCTGAACGCCCTGCGCCAGACAATCGCCCAGGCCAATCCTCCTCTCGCCCTATCAAATCCATCAACAACAAGCACATCCTCCTCCGCTCTACCAAAACTCTCTAATACGGCAAACTTGGCCACGGGTGCCGTCGCTCGCGTCGCCGCAGGATTCGTGATGATGCCCGTCACCGTGCTCAAGGTGCGCTATGAGTCAGACTACTACGCCTACCGCAGCCTCTGGGGCGCCGGCCGTGATATAGTACGCACCGAGGGTGTGCGCGGTCTCTTCGCTGGCTTCGGCGCCACGGCGGCTCGAGACGCCCCCTATGCCGGCCTCTACGTGCTTCTCTATGAGCAGCTAAAACGCCGTCTTGCCTCAATGACCACGACAAGCTCTACCACCTCTGACGGGACCCCTCTGGCAGGAGTGTCCTCGTCCTCAATCAACTTTGTCTCAGGCGCCACGGCAGCTGGTCTAGCCACCGCTATCACAAACCCCTTCGACGCGGTCAAAACGCGGCTGCAACTGATGCCCGCCAAATACGGCAACATGGTCCGGGCAGTGCGCTTAATGATTCATGAAGATGGCATGCGCAGTCTCTTTGGTGGTCTGGGCCTGCGTATGGCTCGAAAGGCATTGAGCTCTGCGCTGGCCTGGACAGTCTATGAGGAACTCATCTTGCGGGCTGAGAAGCGATGGGCCGCGAATCATCAGATGAGTCTGTAGAGAGGAAACTGGAACCTTTCTCTCGACCTCCGCTCAGCTTCAAAAGCACGACTTCCCTCATCATGTATTATTAGCTTTCATCTCAATCTCCACTTGCAGGTCTATCCTGCAGATGCATCACGCACACCCTTGCATTCAGGCTTGGCCCAATAGGACTTTTCTTAACAATCTACACTTTTAGAATTGAAAGCTGCATTGTGCATGTGTCAGACGTCTTCAAATTTCGACTTCGGCAACTAAGTCGGCAGCTAGGACCGATATTTTTCAGACGGACACATCCCCTACTGCGACAAACGTGTTTCATAAAGAACCATACATTCGGTGAGATGGTTTGGATACATAGAACAGAGTGGGGAACAAATATGAAGAGGAAGGAAGAACAATTCAGCAAGTGAAAGAGGGAAAAGTCATCAACTCGTGTCTCGTTACTGTACCACGCGTATGGTGACAACCGGCTCCAAGAAATCTGGCATAAAATAACTCAAAAAGAGGAAAACACATTCAACAGGCATGATCTGGGTCTCGTAGTTCAAACGCAAGAAAGTCGAAAGACTAGAAAATGGAAGCTATACGGGGGAAAAAAAAGCAGAATCCAAGAATAAACAATGGCTTGTCTAACGATCCAACTCATTCTGAACGGGGGTATGGGAGTGGACAAGACGAGGCGAAATGCTTTATACGAACATGCGCAGCCGTCGGCTCGGGCTCTTCTTCCGCACCAGGTACATCTTGTCCTTGCCGCGGTCGTTGATCCGGAGTTCGGTGGTGGAGCTTGAGGTCTGGGTGACCAGCTTGCCCTCGCGGATACGGCGGGTGTGGGAGAAGAGCTCTTCTTGGAAGTCTTCGGTGATCCAGCGCTTGATGATGATATAATTGCTGTCACGCTAAAGAGTGGAGAGGTATGGTTAGCTATAGGGGGATTTGGTTTGTTTGTGCTCAAGAATATGCTTACCTCGTCCCAATCCCAGGGCAAGTTGTATGCCAAAAGGGTTTCAGGGAGCAGGTGCTTGCGGTGGACCTGAGCCAGAATTAGTACTGTGGCAACCCTAATCTGATAATATTCTCCCTCGGGCATACCTTGATCCAAGTGGTTTTCCCCCCTCGATAAGCTCATCTTTCTTCTCTTTCTTCTCCTTCTCTTTCTTCTCCTTCTCCTTCTCAGCCTTCTTCTTCTTGTTGAGGATTTCCTCAATCTCATCCTCGGTATATCCAAACTCGAGGCGCAGGCGTTCTCGGAATTCCTTATCCTTCTTGATCGCCTCTTCCTTCTGCTTCAGCTTGATACGCTCCTGCTCAAGTTTCCACTCCTCGATCGCAGCATTCTTCATTGCCTGCTCCTTTTTCTTCTTCTCCTCCGCCTCGGCGGCCTTGCGGCGCTCTTCCTCGACGAACTGCTTCCGCAGTCTCTCGCGCTCTTCCTCCTCCTCCTTCTGCTTGACAATCTCCTTCAATTTCTCCTCGCGGATTTTCTGCTTCATCTCTTCCCGCTCGGCGGCCTCCTTCTCAGCCTCCTCGAGCCTCTTCAGTCGCCAGGCCTTCTTCTCTGAAGCCTCGCGCTCCTGTTCCTCAAGCCTCTTTAGGCGCCAGTTCTTCTCTACATTGCGCCGCTCCTCTTCAGCACGGTTCTTGCGGTCATACCGCTCCAGTCGACGCAGTCGATCACTAATCTCATCCTCATACCACTCTTCCTCTTCGCGCAGCAGTCGTGACTCCCGTGAATCACGCGGCTCAGGCCGCTCACGGTGCTTCTCCAGCTCACGCTCCAACCGCTCGATCTCTTGCTGCTGCTTCCAGATCTCCAGATCTTGGCGGAGATCACTCTTCTCGAGGAGCTTCTGGTTGAGGGCGAGTTCGGCATCGCGCTCATGGTGGAATGGGGATGGGTCACGAGAGACGCCGCTCACGGCACGACGACGGGACGTAATCACCTCCTCGTCAAAGTCGTGGTCGATGACCTTTTGCTGCACACGGCGGGGCTTGTTGCTGTTGCTGTTATCAGTGCGCTGGGCCTGCTCGTTGAGAATCACGACGGCAGGGACTGGGCTGCGATCGCGGTGTCGGCGAGCACCCGTTGAAGCGGAGCGATGGACTCGTGTGGACGGCATGGGGACCGTCAGGGTTTCTCGCACCTCGGTGCGACGGGGACGAGAGTGTGATCGCCGGCGTCCTGAGGCACGTCGATGGCCATGGACGGACCAGTCGGCCTCGGAGAATTCCGAGTCATCGGACTCGACAAAGATATCTGCGGGCATGATGGGCGATAGATGGGAAATCAGAAGAAATCAGACCAGAGTGAGGTGAATATAGAAAGATTCAAATCGAAGGACGCCGAGTGATCGACCCAGATGGAACGGAGGGGAAGGGTCTGAGCACTCGACACCACTTGGAAGGGGGGAGGACAAGGAGATCGTGCTGGAGGAGGGGTGCGGGGTGAGGATAGGAAAGTCCAAAAAAAGGGAAGAAACGGAAGAAGAAAAAGACGACTGGGCCCCCGGATGTAGCGAATTAGTATTTCGAAACTAGTTTTCGTCTTAGGGCAAGGCCGATGAAGGAAAAGAGGGGAGGAATACGAGTTGGTGAAAAGTCGGGGCTTATCGACGATCGCTCAGCTGAACGGAGGGGCTGGAAAAAAGGAAAAAAAGAAGAGAAGAGCACAGCAGGGAAGGCCGTTGGTGGGCTATTTATTGGAGCCCGGGCTGGACTCTGATGTACGGGCGTTTCATAATTCAGAGATTTGGTCAATTTAGAGAGTCCCAATAGGTGGTACTATCCTCTTAAGCCAGCGAATGTGGCCGGGGTCATCTCCTGCGAGACTGTGCATATCAGCCTCAACGATCATCGAGTCATCTAGTCCGATCGAAGAATGAGACAAGAGGGACAAGAGTATAAAATGAGACTGAAGAATTAATAGCAGAAACTAAGAAATAGATTCTATAAACTCTCGACGCTACGATATCCCACTTCCATCTTCCTTCTATTCAACCTTCGCTCTTCTTCATTCTCCATCAACCAGTCAACCACCCCAAAGTAAGTACCCCTCCTCTTCCAAGGTTCTCGGCAGGATAGCATCATCGTCTCCAGCCACTCACCTAAAGCCCCCACTTTGGGAGCCCAGCGACCGTCAGACCTGCCCAGCCCAGTGCCCCACTATGTCCTCCGTACGGAGCGTGTAGTGCTGACGCGCTACTGTGCTACTGTTCGATCCAATTCTCTTCAAGACAAATCTCTGCGAATCATTCTGGATTGCATTTGCGCCATGAGCCTCCCAAATTAGACGGTCGCAGCCCTATGCTGTTGCATCTAGCGCTAACGATCCACAGCCCCTGGGCGCTTTGAGGGCCAAGCTAACGGTTAGCGTCTGTTGAAACAGATCAGATCTATATACAGTACAGGACAGTCCTCTGTACGCAGTACCATCGCCTTCTGATCCTCATTATCTGTGCCTTTCGATGCAATATTTTTTGGCACTGGAAAGGCCCCAGGACCGTGGTCTGGACCTGTACAGTACTTTGGGTACTAACTATACTTGGGTACCTGCGTGATCTCGACGAGAGAACACAACCAAAGATCGGGCAGCCGCCCCATCATCCCCCTGAATCTAATATTGGGCACGAGAAGATTCTCCACGGATAGTCATCCGACTGTCGGAAATATCTCCAAATCAAAACAAAAACATCGCATCCAAGGGACGCGGTCGGGTGTTCCCGCAGGTGACCCAAGGACCACGCGTGACTGGAACCTCACCCACCATGCTCCCTTCTCACCTGCCATCCAGCCGAAGATGGATGAACCAGATACACCATGATCACTGTCGAAGAATTCTAGGTACACATTCCAGACGTTGTCTTTTCTCCGGACTGTATCTAGTTGACGAATGACAGCATGACGCCGTTGCCGCTGGCCCCAAGCCCAGTGGTAGATGCCCTGTTGATGAGTACTTGTTGAGGCAGCTTATATTCAATTTCACAGCCTGTTGCTAACACTATAGGATGGACATCATCGATGCCAGGAGATGCAATATATTCATATGGCTCTGCAGCTAGACTCTCGCTCCCTCTACCTATGAAAACTGGTTTGCCGCCTGGCGGTGTCCTTTCCGATTATCATTTTCGAATCTAGGACCTGAAGAAGTCGTTATCTTGATGTCGACGTGGTTGTCAAGCCTTTAAATGAAAAGACAGACTTACCTTCAAGCTGGACGAGGAAGCCCAAGGCCTGCTCAATGAGCCACAGACACATGGACATTTCAGGACAGTCAGACGGAAACCACTCCAACATCAACCTAGTATAAAGTTGACCCAATGAAATCAACCCTACTGAAGACCGCACGTCCGCTATTACAGTACTGGCCCTTCAACCTCTACCCATACCATCTTCAACGCCAGAGGATAGCACCTCTTCACTACTGTAGGCATCTACATACCTCTCTACAAATTGGCTGTGCAGAACAGGGATGGCCCCGGGCGATCCTCAAGTGTCTATTAGCGGGCTTCGCTCCCACGTCATTTTTAATTTAAATCCCGGCCAGGGCCGCACGACCCTTCCTCGTCAGGCGCAGAGAGATTGAGAAGTACAGTATTCTGGGTATGCAGATGACGATGATGGCGGCGGCGAATTTGGGTCAAACTGCTGCATTGCTGTGCCACACGTCAAGTTGTGTTGGGCGTGGCATAAGTCGGTGTATCTCTTCGAATGATGTGGCGGTGTCTCTCTTGTTGGGTGGGATGTTGGGCTGTGCTGCTAAGCCACAATTATCTGTCTGTAGGATTTACATGGGATACACTAACGACTACGTTCGTGGCTTCTACGTTCGTGGCTTCTACTTGCATATTATTGCTTCTGTGATTCTTCGATTCAATGGGTCTGTGTATCTTTGAAAGAGCGTGTGTGTGTCTATACCCATGATGCCGATAAGCTCTTATCGGACCGTGTGGGAGGTTGGATTAAGCAGTATCAGTGGTGATATGCGACATTTAAGCATGAAATCCTACCCTGAGAGGCAGAGAGGGAAATCAATATTATATAATTAAACTCTCAACTTCTGAATTATTACAATGAGGATACTGTAGATTTCTTTTGGAATTGGACAATGGTCCGTGTTGCGATTCTGCTCATGACCTGCAAAGCCATTTCTTCATATAAAACTCCTGGGTATCCAAATCGCCGGTAAAACAATGCAGTCCCTCGGAAAGAAAAGCCAAAGGACATATCTCACAGGTCAGGGGCCCGGCTACCCTGATCTATATCCGGTTCACCCTCAAACGAAGTCTTCACTCCTACCATTTCAGCCTCGGCTGATGACCTCGTCGCTTTGAGGAGTCTTCGCCCATCTGTTTGGAAACCTGACAGCACCGATCCAGAGAAAGAGTGCTCTATGTGTGAGCCTTATTCTCAAGGGCCTCCAGACCCTCGGAGATAACCATCGACGGAGTCTCCATGTCAGTGTCCTCTGGATGCCAGTGTCACTTTCATCATTCCATCTCAACCTTCTCACGCGCGTCCTCCGGACGTCAGAATCTGCTCCAGGTTCTCTCGGCTATTCTTGAATGTAGTCTCGTGGTAGTGTAGCTTCTTCTCGAGGTTGGTGATCTCGGAAGAGGCCTCCGAACTCTCGCGGGTGAGACGCTTGTTGACGGTGGCAATGGGAACGTTGACGAACCTGATTCACAGCCAATTAGCGTTCGCTTATATGGAGCGAAGACGAGAAATCGTCCGACGGTGGCATCGAAAGACTTGTGGTGTTGTGAATGCGGGAGTTGATAGGGGATGGTGGGACTCACATTTTCCCCACACCCTCATATACCGGCGTCTCAGAGGGCAAGTCAGCCAGTTCCTTCGATGTCAGCTGCAGCATACGAATATCGCGCTGCTTGGTGGTGATCTGGGCCTTGGTGACACCAATCTGCTGCTGTGAGGCAATGGCGCGGGTCTCGATCTCTTGCAGGATCTGGGGTAGCCTCTTGTTAGCATCTCTAGCTCACGGCAGGTTCGTGTTTGGATTCCCAATGATAGACATAGTTATTGATAACATCTTAGGAGTATGATTTCTTACCTTCTGCAGGGCTTCGTTGGGAATGGACATTTTTGGGAATGTGGGGGTTGTTTGCCAAACTTTGGCTTCGTTGAAGGAGGGGGAGGGGTAATGTGCGGGTCGGCAAAAAAGATTCCGGTATGTAAACCGTGAGTTCTTAATCGTCAGCGTCTTCAGCAGTGACGGAGATCGGATTGAGGTGTGTTCGAAGCTGCGAGTAGCTTAGGAATGGCCGTTGGCAAGCTGTCGTGAGCCCGCTCCGTACGTGGGCGGTGAGGATTAACTCCAAGGCGGTGAGGCTTCCATTGGCTTCGATATATGCACTTATGCTTCTCTTCGATGTAGACAGATTCGATCGGATCAAGTCTTGAAAGGATCTGAATTCAACGTGCCCACTATGGACTACTGTATTCTCGACGAACGCTCAAACCCATAGGGCTGCCCCACGAATAGCTGCTACCAAGGGTGTGAGCCCGAAATGAAAACAGTTGTATGGCTTTGGATAAACATTTAGTAACTGGGTCATGGGTAACCTAACTAAAAGCTTGACTACGCTCCCAAGTAGCCTCCTTATATCTAACCTCTCCTTTTCTTATTATCCTATATAATTACTTATATACTTTATTCTACTCTAGATTTCTTATCTTTTCGTAGCCTCTATAGTCCCCTCTAAATTTATAGAGACTTCTTATACTAGTAAAACTTAGTTTTACTAATAGATATATTATATTTTTCTATATTATAAGGCTATAGATAGATACTAACAAATAGCTTCTTTAATAGGTAGCTAGAGTTCTTTAACTTAAGCTATATCATTACGTTAACAACTATTAACTCCCGATGCGTATCGCCAACAACTAGTTAGTTAGTATAAGGAGTTAAATTGAAAGCTTTCGAAGCTCACAAGAAAATTACAAATCAAGCACGCTGTTGTGATGGCAAGAGCAGAGTGCATCCAACGAGAATACTAAAGCTGGGGGAAAAAAGAAGATCATTCAACTCAGGTAGCCATGAGTGATAGTACGTATCTTGACTACATTTCTCAGACCCAAGAAAATCAAGAATAAAATAATGCTTCGAGCAAAATAATGAAGCCGAAACGTGGCTTGATATGCGCACTCCTCTGCACAATTGATGCAAACAATCCAAGCATAACCCATACCTGACCCATTACATCGCCTTGCGGTCCTCATACATAGGGATGTTAATCTTCGACTCCCCATATCTTTGCCTTGTTAACATTCATCTCCTAGCTTATCACAGATGCCGAAATTACTTGATCAGCTTCCCGATGGGTCGACACGAGATATGAACTTCTACGACTCGTCCTTCTTCAAAGAGGCAGGTAATCGTCTACCGACGCCGGCGCAAGTGAAAGCTTTGTCAAGAGATATTCACACAAGCCCTCGCCCACAGCCTGTCATATTCGAAGCTTCAAAAGTCTTGGTCAAATTTGGTCCCCATGTCACAACGACGGAAGCGCAGTGTCTATGGTTCATCAAACGGACCTTTGGCGATAAGGTTCCAGTCCCCGAGATTTTTGGGTGGCAAGTCGACGAGGAAAATCATGTTTATCTCTATATGGAGTTTATCCAAGGGCAGACATTACAAGATCGCTGGAATGGACTCGATGATCTAGACAGAGTCTCTCTACGATCAGCTATATCAAATCGTCAACGTTTTACGCCAACTTAAGCAAGATCCCTCTGACCAGTATATCGGACGCCTTAGGCTAAAATTAAAACGAGCTAGATATATATCTAATCAAATCACTTCAGGCTCCCTAGGTCATCAGAGACTTCAGGATTATATTTTTCAATCATACCCAAACGCCGGCCCTTTCTTTACTATCAAGAATTTTAATGACTGGGTTTCATATTTACCACGGTTATAGCTTCCTGAATTAGAGAAATACAAAGACCCCTCCAGGGTCTCCTTACCAGACCGTGGGGGCATCAAGTTTACACATGCTGACCTCCACCGAGGGAATATCATTGTCTCTTGCAGCAAACCCGCTCGCGTTCTTGCCATCGTGGATTGGGCGCAATCAGGATGGTATCCAGACTATTGGGAATATTGTAAAGCACACTACACCTGCTGGTCTGAGGGTGAATGGTGACGAGACTGGATCGACAACTTTCTATGTCCTCGAATGCAAGAATTTCTGGTATTCTCAGAATACACGATGGCGATGGGGTCTGTGTGAAAATTTCATTTGTCTTGATATTATTATCTTATGTATATTCCTGAAGTTGTCGTCATGTCATTAGAACAAGTCACAAATGATGGAAGATACGTGTATGTAGCAAATGTAAAGTCTACATGCGGATGAATTCCCTTCCTAGAATAGTGATCACGGAGCTGGACAGCGTAATTTCGAAAGTATGATAGATACAATGCTGGGCAGTATCAAATGCCATACAATCTTAAGCCAGATGCATGGAATACCGCGAAAATAGGTACAGATGACTGTTGGAAAAACAAATGCGCGGCCGTAGCTATTAGACAGGTTCAAGAAGCACTATTTTTGGCCATCAGTCACACAACTGGGCTTGTGGTTTAGTGGTATAATACTCCCTTAGCATGGGAGTGGTCCGGGGTTCGATTCCCCGCGAGTCCAGATCTTTTTGTTCATTTCCTAATCGTCCATACGGCTGGTGGAGTCGACTGAAATCTGGGCCCGTCTCTTGAAGTTTTTTTCTTCTCAGCGGATGGACCTAGTGAGGATCTTACTAAGCGGAAGCGCCAATCCAGGAAGACAGCGCCAGACAACAGAACGATCTCCCCATAGTTAGAGAGTCGGTACGTGTACACGCTTGCGTTGATCAACAATTTGGTTCATTTTAAAATTTCAATTCAAATTGTAGCCCAAATCAAAACAGATGACAGAGCAACAAGCTGAAACACTAAGGGAAAGGATAATACTGGAGAACGACTCAGCTTTGGACTGCCCATCGTCGGCCTATTTTCGCCCCCTATAGCAGTTCGCAAATACGACAAAAATGGCTCTACGTGAAATCTTGTGGCGTTCGATACGTTTGCTTAAATTGACCCAAGGAAGGCTCGTTTTCTGGGGGCGGAAATATTAAGCGGTTCCATTTGCTGTTTTGCTCAGTCTATTTATTTACCAGGTGTAGGAGTAAGCGATTGAATATGGATTACCCATTGCTATTAGTGAAGCAGGGTCAAAATTGTGTTTCTCCATTTTTCCGACTCAAGAAATCCATGATCTTTAAGAATACAGGGTCGAACCCAGTGAGTGTCCTACCAAGTGACAGCTGGGCGAGTCAAGAGGCTACGACAACTTGCACTGGACATCCCATTGCGCAGACTGATTTTAGAGATAGATCAAGCGAGTTGAGGATGCTGCATAATGGGGCTTCCTACCTCTTCTGTCGAGACGAGCTATAAGAAGTATTAAGCCTCCCTAGTAACTACATTGACAAGACTAATCTGTGATGCTCATGTAAAAGCTGACAATGGGATAATTGATTGGACTTATCCGTGCCCTTGAGATGTGCTTTGGCACATCTTTGTACCAATAGCAAAATCTATCCATTAATCTCAGGTATCTAAATTTTTCAGAGTCGATACCAAGCTCTTGTGCCATCAGCTAGGTGGAAGACTTTGCACCAACAGGACTACTACAGAGACTAGCAGAGCTGCGGCCTGTCATCAAGGGAAGAAATTAAGCTACTCTTGAAGAAAGCTTTTCATGTAGCTAGGTCACAGCATTCGACTTGGGCTGAAGGATTTGGGCTTGATACACGGAGAACGGAATGACGACACCACGATGGCTGGGTGATTCCCAATGCTTTTCAGGAACATAGGTGCATAAAACACCGAAAATATACGATAATTCAGTAAGAACTATGCAGATATGAAGAAGCCAGGATGTTTATCAGAATCGTGTCTATGTGGAGTTTACAGTCAATTAAGAACCGCGCGGTGTACGCATCTAAGCTCCAATAAACCGCAATCGCTTTGGTCCCTCTAGAATAACTGTCTCTCAATCAGACCTTGCCGTAGCGGTGAGCAGTCTGGAGGATGATTTAACCTAGCCTCTCTTCTTGTTCGAACTCGGGGATTGTTAGTGTCAACAAATTCAAACCTGGGTACAACTGACAAGATATTCAAGATGGGGGCTACAGGAGGTCCTTCAGGGCGATAGTTGCTGAACTCTTTATTCTACTGTGCACTGCTATAGAGTTTGAATGATCGAAAAGCCTGGCGAAATTCAGTTGCATTGATTCAAACAGATAGCCACCCGCCATTCTTTGACATACGAGTCATCTATCGTAAATTAAACGAGCAAATCCCAAAACCCAAAACAGAAATGACAGGTATCCTCCAGCCCACGAACAGAAAAGGCAAGTAGACAAATAAGAAGACAAGGAAAAGAAAGAAAAGACAAATCAGAATGTCAATAGTTAAATAGGAGACAAGAAAATAGAAAGAAAAACGAACAACTCCAGCCCTGATCTAACTCCCACGGCGCCTGCTGTAGCGCCTCGCTAAACTAAATCCATTCCAATTCACCTCAGGAACTTTGCTCCACAAAGCCCATCGGCATGGTCCACCTTCAATCTCCCAAGCTCGACCAGGAACACAGGAGTCGGAGAGATAGGCCAGCCAGTTGTAAATTGAGACATCCATCCGGGGACACTGCTTCCACGCACGCTTCATGACTCATCTTCGGTCGTGGGCATCAAATAATCTCTCTTCACCATCCCCGTCTTAGTAGTTGGAAGACGATGGCTCCAGCCACGAGTCTATTTCGTTACTCGTTGAGTCACCCAAGAGGCTGTTGGGGTCATACTTGGCATCCCAAGAAGGTCCACGCTGCATAGCGACTGAATAGATAGCAGGCACGGGGAATGGGATGGGGCTGGGAACTGCGGAGTGTGCTGTTGGAAGATAGCACTCTTCCCCGGGCCAGGATTGGTAAGGATTGGTTGGGGGAGTGAGAGGGCCAACGACGATTGGAAGACCGTTCGTCTCGCTTGCATAGCTGAGTAGCTGAGGATCCAAGTGGTCGCCGACAACGTGGGTCGGCAATGGGTGGATGGGTTGAGGCTGGAGCAGCTCGTGTGAGGCGCCGGGGATGCCTGTCAGACCGTTGGTTGATGAGGTGTATGGAAGCTCGTGTGGCATTGGGCTGGCCCGAGAGAACTTCAGGTCTTCAACATGTGGTCCGATAGCTTGCAATCCAACGCCGGGGTAGCTGGTGTTGGGCCACATCGGTGTCATGTAGCCACTTGGACCCAGCATAGAGTCAGGAGTACCGAAAGGCGTTGAGCAGCGGCTACTGGTGATGTAGTCGACTTCGAAGCATTCTGAACTGTAATGTCCCATACTGGGTGTTCCATCTCGCACGTATCTGTCGTCCCATTCGTCCGAGCTCCCACGCATCGAAACTCCCGGAGTAGCAGACGAGCGCGGAGGAGTATATTCGTCGCTCCTTCGCGTGGTCGTGACTGGCCCCTTGTGTGGCTTGAATTTGTATCCCGGGTGTGAAGCTGCGTGGTTCTGGCGCTCCATGATGGCCAGATTTTCAAACTTCTGCCGAATCTCCTTGGTCTCTGCCTTCCAGCTGATACCGGCGATCCGAGAGACATTCTGATTGCAGTTCTTGCCCAGCATGTGCTTGATGCGAGCAATGTATGAAGACCGATAAAGCATGAAAGAGTTCATTGGACGGGGGATTTCACCATTCTTGGCCTCGACCTCCCGTTGGCGCTCCTCAAGGGAGCGATTGACCCAAGCCTCCATGTCTCGCACTGGAGGGTCGACCATGTCCTTGGTCATGATACTCAGTGGCCCAGTCAGATGAAGGTTACAATTGGCAGCTGTTCCGTCTCTTTTGCCACGGGACCTTGCACTGCGCGACTTAGTGACTTTGGATTTGGAGGCTGGGTTTTGATTGCGACTTGGCGGAGACCATGATGGCGAAGAAGAAGACAACCTCTCTGCTGGGGGCGTACTGATGGGAAGCTATCGAAGTTGAGAAGTTTCTCAGCCCAGTTCAATCTCTCCGTAAGGATAGTGGAGCTCACCGTGAAAGAAGGAGGCTGATATTCGCCGGTTGGGGGATAGAAAGATGCGGGGACAGGATAGATCTGGAGAAAAGTCAGTACTTTGATAGCTCAACCAGAATGGAAAGATTTCTCACGTACAACTTGTGGAGGCTGAGAATGAGGGTTGATTCCAATTCCGTGCAATGCTCCTTGATCCAAACCATTGTTTATGGCGTACATTGGCACTGGAGGATATGGTTCCAAGGGGACTTCCAGACGGTGGTCTGGAGTCTTCTCCTCCTCTGATGTCTGTGGAGGAGTTGGTGGAAACCCACCAGCTGGGAGAGTAGGATCCATTGTCATGATGATGATATTAGAGTCGATCTTTTGGATAGACGACTTCCCCAAAAATTAGGAAAGTAACCGGTAATCCTTGAGGATCAGGCCGGTTCGCAAGAGACCCTGGACGGAATAATGCTAAGCTAGGCCAGCGATCAACGGGACTTTCCAGAAGAAGATTTCTTCCAGAAAGAGAAGAGAAGGGGATGAGAAGAGGAAATGTAAAAGAAAGACTGCGTGGCTGCTGTCCGACCCTGCGGAGGGCAGTCTTTCATTTGAGGGAGCCTTCCGGACAAGAAAGCTGATCTCAGACACCTACACCGTACAGATGGAAAGGAGCTGAGACACGCAAGCACGGACAACCACAATTTCAGGTTGCCGGGTAGAAGAAGAGTGGGTTTGTTTCCCGTCAAGTGGAGTGGACAGGCACTTGATTGTATGTGGAAGAGGGAAGGAGTAGTGGGAGGGCAAACAACAAGTAGGTCAAGTATATAGATTGTCGATGGATTGATAGAAGATGGAGGTCCACCGAAGTTCCCACCTGGCGGGGGCCGGTTGAATAAATAAGAAAAATAAAACAGAGATCCAGGATCTGGGTCTTCCGTGAGGACCACAGAGTGGAGAGGGAAGTGACAAGGCGAGGAACGCCAGGTGGGTAAAAAGAGTATAGGAGCATTATTTTGGGGGCATTTTGGGGGAAGCACTTTTTGGGAGACGCCAAGCGGGAGATCGCGTTTTCGCAGTTGCAAATACCCGTCATCAACCAACCGAACCAACCGAACCAGAGGCTGAAACTGACTCAGGAAGAAGGGTAGCTCGTAGAATACGATACAGATGGCACAGATGGCGTGGGGCTATTACTCCTGGTGGCCGTTAGTGCCACTATTTTCTCCTCTATCACTTTATTATGATTTTTTTTTTTTTAGAAAAGAAAAATGAAAAAATGAAAAAACTTCTCGGCTTTTGCAGTCTTTCCATTATCTTTTTTCCCATTTACTCTTTTCTGAACCCCCGTCTAGCGGCGGGGCGTTCTTGTCACAGATTGGTGTCTTTGTTGCAAAAACGATTCTCTTCTGCTTGCAATTGGTCCACCGTCCTCTTATTTCTATTCGTTCTTTGATGCTGATTATTTTAAGCCATGTCGAATCTATATCGCATCTTCATCGTTCCTGCGCTTCAGTCGACACCACTGTCATAGCAGCTCCCCCCGTAGGCCCCAGTTTTCTGCGACATCTTTGTGCTAAATATGGAGACATAGGATAGGATTCTTCGAGAATGGATGGTCCGTTATTTTGGGAAACAGACATAGAATAGAATATCTGGGTCAACCGGGATCAAGAGTCCACATGGGCAGATCTAGCTCGTAGAGGAGTCCTTGCTCTGGACCATTAATTCAATTGCCTGGATAAGAAGAGGGGGACTATAGGTCACAGACCATGGGCCCCTCGGAAATCTACTGCCCGTTGCAAATCACCCGGGGATGTAATGGGACAGATAGAAATCGCCGGAGACCATGGCCGGGGTACGGAAGTCTGTCAATTGTCCGGAGAGACCAAATTCCAAGATCCCTGAACTTTTCCCCCCTCTGACCGGGGTCGTAGATGCAGGAGGTGGTGGTATGGGATCTATGGGACTGAGCCGGAAAAGCAATCATGGATGAGGTTTGTGCATTTTGAGAATGCAAGTCTCCAGATTGAGTACTCACAACGCAGGCAGAATTGACATCTTTTAACTCTATGATCCTTCCTATACGTTTACTAATTCCTTTTCTTCTAATGTAGTGTGGATGGGACGCGGGTGTTGGGTGTTGGGCACACCGAATTTCGAGGGATATTTAGATAACAGCTAGCGCTGAAATGGCCCGAACTAAGCCTGCAAGACATTGTAACGGGTGTCAAGTTCAGGGTAATGCAGCTTGTAAAAATCGGGAATAAATTACACCGACTCGTGAACTAGCTTTAGTGTTATGGATATTATTCTGCTAGATTGCACCTGAAAAGCATGCTGTTTCTCCGTAGACCGACGATACGACCGACAAGCCACTCACTTCACGATCCAACACCCTGATCACCTCCATTAGAGGTATAGAAGAGGGGGTTCCCAATAGTGTCCAGAACTTAGAACCATTTCTGAAAGACATCTGAGGGCCTAGCACATCGCAGAAGGGTGACCATGGTTTGGACGGCGAGGTTGGACGGGGCAAAAGATCGAAAAGAAACTCGTTAAAGTATTATTATGAAAATTAAACTATTTCGCTGATTCGACGAGCAGAGCCGACGCAGCCACTCGCATCATTGGCGAAATAAGGACATGCCAGACCTACAAGGCTCGAGGTTGACTTCGGGGAGGGTCACGATGGGTCTCCCCTACGGTCAGGCCCGTCTGGCTCGACTGCACAGGACAAAGTGGAGTACGATCCTCCTGATCGACGCGGGTGGACCAGAGACTTGACAGGTTGGAGTACGTTCAGGTTGTCCAGAGATCGTCCGAGCATCTCCCTCCAAGCCGCCATCATCTACCAGTAGGTCGACGCCACTGATGTGTTGATTGGTTCAGCGGGTGCCGGGGTGTTGAATCCGGCCTGACTGGACTGGATCACCGACCTCGCACTATGCCGGGAACGGACTAGTAGGACGAGTCCCAAGCCTATCCGGGGTATGGTCTGTCCACTCACATAACATCACCTTCTTCCCTATTTTCCCCCTTGAAGGCTTGAATTTCTGGTAGTCGAGATTTGAGGTGATCGCGCAGGTTTCCGAGGAGATCCTGGAGCTTCTGGTCCAATGAGCCCGTTCCAATGACACCTCCTCACGTGGGATCCTAGGATGACACACCAAAATCTGAAGCCCGTAACATCATTTTGTAACTCTATTTTCCTTGGGGGGAGTTAACTACGTACTTTGGGAAGATTAATAATAGGTTACTAATGATCCTGATTAATAACTGGTTACTAATGACACTAATGATGAGGAATATACAGCCTAAGCATTCAAAGTGGGACAGAATCAAACGCATAGCGGCTGTGCGCTTAAACGATGAACAACATGACTAGGCGTACTGTACTATCCATTACGCCCCCACTCGAAGTGAGTCCAATATGGTCGAGTATAACCAACAAGACCACATCTTTCTCTTTGATCAACCGTTGATCCCACCCTCCAGTCTTCACGAGGGGGGCTGTATCTCAAGCTCATGCGGTGGGACTACTGCAAGGCTGCATGAACGTGTTCTTGGTATACACCATGCTCCCCGACGACTCACGCAGGGACGCCCTGCCACGTTTTTGCTATGATCCTCGTCCCGTCTATGGCCAGAGTCTTTTCTTTGATGCCCTCTTTGCAGATTCCAATAGGCTCGTCGGACCCTCGGTCTTTGCGAGGGCGTCCGACAAGCCTTTTCATTGGACTGATGACCAGGGTCGATTGCCATGTGGTTCACGGAAAGGGAAAGGCTGAAGGCTGAGTCGTACATGAACCGCGTGGATGCCCGGTCAAAAGTAGCGGCAGAGGGCCTGTCGATTGCGGGCTCGAGCTTATCTTGGCCCTACAGGTTGATGTTCCTGTCAGCACTCTACCCTTTTCGAGCGTTGGCTTGAGTGGAAACATGGCACCGCCTCCTCCACCATCTCTTCATGAAAGCGGGAATGTATGATCATCAATGCCCCACTGTTTAAGAACTGTATCTCCCTTCGGCCCTCCTAATGCCGAACTGACCAGTGAGATGGTATCGGGGAGACTATTCGGAAGAGGCTCAGACCCTCTCACCCATGCTGAGGGCCTGCCAAACCCTGCAGGCTATTACCAAATTTGGACAACGATAGACCAACCTGAGTTCACATCTGAAAGGAGCATCCACTAGAGGAGGCCCGTCCATGGCTTCTAGAAGAGTCATGCCAGGGGCCAAGATGATCAGGAAAAAGAAGAAAGAAAGAAAAAAAGCATGAAATCCTCACCCCTGTCCCTTACCTATTACCCCATGATCCGGTGACTCTGCCACGAGAGCATCTTTAGTGATTGTCCAGATCTGCCCATGGTCTGCTTGTCAGATACACGTTTCAGTCGTGCCTCCTGATTTCCTATTCCGGCCAATATTCTAAGAATAATTCATCGTATCCCTCGTGTGTGTTTCAGGGTGCTTCAGATGTTGTTATTCTTGGGTACTGCGCCGCCTGGCGGATCTCTGGGAGATCGACAACAGTCATAGAAGCAGCCGATCCCATGATAAAGCCTAGATATGCAAAAATATGGGGGCCATAGACAAATTGTACCATTGCATTGAAGATAAATCCACCTCGAGCCCACTGCAACCCCACATAGGCGATCGAATATCCCGTGGGTGGGTTGGTCGGGTGATAATCAGCGGCTCTCGGCCCTCGTTACCACAGGCTACGTGAAAAAGAGGAATAAAAGAAGGGGGAAACAGCCCAAAGTTACAATTAGCGTCGGCTATCCAGATGGGCTGGCGCAGATCTTCAGATTGAGTAGTTCAGCTACTCCCTTGAGAATGCCACCATCGAGGTAATATGAATGGGTTCTTTGGCTCTGGCGGGAAGCCATGACCGCTTGCTTCGTGAAGAGGTCTCTATCTGCGGTGACATGAGTTTCCACTCTCTATCCCGGACGGATTTCCACCGGGCTTTGGAGATTTCAGCTCTTCCCGAAGTATACGAAAGCAGGAGGAGACGTCTGATTTCCTTTATCCCATGAGGTAGTTGGACGGTGCCCCGTTGGAAGAGCCCTTCAAGCCATCGTCCCAAGTATCGTCGCCATGAATGGAGGGTCCTTGAAAGAAAAAAAAGTAGAAGGGAGGGGGGCTCATGGACGCCATTGCGATCAAACCCCTTCCTACGTATACATGCTTCTGACCGCTCCTCTTCAGAGAGACCATGGCGTAATCGGCAGTTCAAGTGACAGCAAAAGAAGCGACGAACCATACCGGGGTCCAGCGAACTATACCAGGATATGAGAGGAATCCTGGCTGATGGACATGACTCGCACTGGGCTAAGCACAGTCAAGAATTGTGC